GCTATTGTTGCTGCTTGGTGATCTTCGTCGGATAGTCGCAATGGCGCGGTCCTCCAGGCTGCTGGTTTGGTCTCCCATTGGATTCTGTAACCTTCCGAAATGACCGATAATGGCCATGGATGTTGAATAGTAGATTGCCAATATGGTAAAAATCGCTGCAACCTCCCGCCAGGAAGAATTCCGTCTAGTGGTACTGAGTAATTGTTGGTTGGAGTGTTGATTGTGTTGATGGTGTTGATGGTGTTGTAATTTTTGTGATTGTTGAATTGCATCGTCGCATTGTTGTTGATTGTTGTTTTTTGTGTCAGGTATCTGTCTGTTTGTGCTAAGGTTGAAGTTAAAGATATTGGCAACGGTGCATGATGTACTGATTGATCTGTTACTGCTGTTGGCTTGCTGGGTTTGAATTCGTATGTTGGAGCTTCTCTGTTGGTTGCTGTTGTTTGTAATTGGTTCTTCCAAAAAAATATCGTCCTCTTCCCTGTCCTCTAACTCGATGAGCTGAGCCTCGGGGGTTGTTGTACCCCTGTCTATAACTCGTGAACCGACTGTTGGCTGCTCGTTGTAAAAGAGCTGTTTCGAATCTGGCTTGGGCAATCTCCTTGACAGACTCGGGAGAGAATGCCATTCGTTTGTTTTCCTCTTGACTTGTTTCGAGATATTTAAGAGTGGAAGGAAGTTTAAGTGCTTTAATGGCCAAATCTCGTGCTTCTCTATCGATATCCCTTGCTGTGATGAAGCCATAAATCGCCCATCTCCTTGCTTTTTCGATGATGTTTGCGAAAGCGGTTGGATCTGTGTTATGCGTGGATATGTAGACCAAGTCTTCGTAGATATCTATGGCTGCCTTTGCTGTGTTGCGGATTCTTTCCGCATCTTTGTAACGACTTTGAAGGGCTTGGTAAGCATCGATCTGGAATCGCTTGATGTCAGGTGTAAACTCTTTATTGATTGTCTCATTGATTGTCCAGTCACCTCCTTCGTAGTTGGGAAGATCACGGATGTGTTTTTTGATGTTTGACTGCATCTCCAATTTGGGAGCCTCTTCCAGGTCTGTCTGAATGGCCTCTGGGAGGATAAGTTGATAGTGTTTTCGTTGTTCTTCTTCGATTCGAAATCGAGCGGCAAATTGCTGGTACAGTTCTTCGATTTGCTCAGGAGAGAGATTCTGGTTTTGTTGTACATTGTGTTCACTTTCCATAATACTGCCCACGGTGCGCGGCTTGAAAAGGGTTAAAAGAGATAGGCTACACTTTTTTGTTTATTTTATATATTTTCAAATAAAAAACGCGGCTCGAAGAGCTTATACCACAACCTCTGTCCTCCTTTCGTCAACTGTAGTATTGAAGATCCACGCTCATTCAGCATGCATTGATAAGCTACAAAAAAAATGTTGTTAGATTCTATCTTCCCATTTACAATCAACAAATACATCTACTTTACATATAATCATAAATTCTTTTGATATTTTTTTCTTTGATGTTTCTTGGCGAGTGTTTTTCTATAGTAGCAATTGCTTTATTTATAGCTTTCGTTGTATTGATCTAAATAAAAGAGAGAATTATACAAAATAACAAGTTATATCATTTATTATGATATTCATTAACAAAGCAAATATTTACCTTTTTTATTTGCTTTATTAAGCAACTGATGTTTCGAGAATCTAGCTCGGTTGCTGGAATTGTGAATTTTGTCTGTATTGACTTTTGAATCGAGACGGTGAAGTAACTCACTTGTGAATTGTTTGCTGCATTCGAAATATCCAAGATACAGTTGTTAGACAGACTATAATAGGGAAGTAGTTAGTCAGTCTATTATTTCAAAATGATTATTATTTGCCGCATAATAAAAAATACTGAAATTTAAACAACTAGAAACAGAGACTTTTGTGCTTTTTATAGACAGCTTTTTATTTCTATTAGTAAATTGTCTTTGATAACTATAGGATAATACATACTTAAAGGTTGATAAATTAATGAATACTTTTTTTTATCAGTTAACAGCAGTAAAAACTGATGGAGAGAAAAGGGATGGAAAAGCTCATATTCTCATTAAGTAGTCTTTTGCTACTGTCATTTGGAAGCACCAAAATTTACTCGTACTACGTTTTTCTAATTTTTTGCATTTCCAAACCAATACCTTTCGCTTTTTGTTTGAATTTGAACTACTGGTACTCTCTTCTTCTAGAAGCTGTTAAAAATATAGAAACAATGATAATAAAGAGTTAGAAACGGGTGAAACCTTGTTAATAGTAGTTGCTCAAATACCTTTTCTGCTTGACGGATTCTTTGCAATTGCACTTTAGAGACAAGAATTAACTGTGCATCTGCGATCTGAGAGAGAGAATTTATATACTCTTGTGACATTTGAAGGTTTGATGAAAAAGATAAAGGTGTGTGTTTTGGGGCGGGAAGAAATATCAAAAAAAAAAGGTGAAAAACGCTAGCACACGCGAAAATGCACGCGAAAACAAAATTAATGTTGACTATACATAATTGTTTTTTGGGTTACTTACCCCATAGATACTCCATGTTGTTACTCTTTGAAGAAAGAAAAAGAAAAAAAAGACTGACCATAAAATGTATTATTCTTATAGATGTGTTATGCCCATTGCCCATTGATCCGTGATAAATCCATGCGATAATCCTGTTTTCTTATAAAATAATGCTATTTTTAATGATGAACTCTCAGCATAATAAAGATATTATTACAGACTCATCGATGTATGCTTCTCTTATAATTCAGTATTGTACATAATATTGAATGTAAGTGTGGTTTGTTTGGTGTTATAAATTAGACATAACGATAAATTATACAATAAAGCTTGAATAGCATCACTCATGCAGGCAAAGTTCACTTTAGATCTGACTGTGAATTGCATCATAAGGAACAAATAATAAATTACGAATGATGAATAAACTTTATAGTCTTTGAAGTAAACCATTTGTGATCCAATGTTGACAATAAGGCTGTACTGAGACACGTAGAGGACCAATGAATACAATAAGATAAGATGAAGCTTCACAATGACATAACAATAGAACTGAAATACAGTGTTTCTAAAAATTAATGTCGCGCCAAAATGTCGTATTCCTATATATTTTGTATTGTAAAAATTAAATTTTTGCGACATTACTTTCTGGAAATACTGTAGAATAAATACAGGAGCTTTTCCGATTTCCACAACTATCGCATACTCTTTACCTTATTTGGAAAGTGAATTCTGTATTGATACATCAAAGCAATTCAACAGAGTTTCCATATAATAAACCAATACCTACTATGAGTTCAATCAACAGAGGCCACAAAGTCACTAAGAATATACTTACTGTTGAACAAATCCATTGTTTAACTAAGAGATTTAATTCACTAAGACGACAACTTGTATGCCGTAACTGTAAAGAGACAAACTCTTTTCTCGCAACGGTAATACACCTGGCAATCCTCTTCAACCTACCTTTATCTGCAAATCCTGTGGCAAAACTTATAACGCACTTACTATGGTTGAGATTGTTGGTCTTATCTCTGCAGAAACGACCCTCCACTCTTCGGATCGCAACGCTATGAAAATTTCTAGATATGAGGATGAACAACCCGACAATGTCAATGGTGAAACTGTAGACATCGCTCAGTTACAAGCAACCATTCAACAATTATATACTGGATTGAAACAAACTAGCTGAATTCCAGCATGCACATGCAGAATTAGCAACTCTACGCAATCAACGTGTGCAAGCTCCCTCTCAATCAACCGTCGACAGCAGTGACGATGATTCCCCCACTTTGCCAGCCGCTACTCAATCACCCTTCTCTTGGAGAGATACTAACCACCTCAACCTCATCAAGCAATGGACGTTAGAAAACGACAACAGCGTCGTCTCCAAAGACAAGAGATTGCTGCTCGTTTTCTCCAACCTCCCTCCGATAACCATGATTTTCAATATATCTATTTACCCACCAAAGCTCGAGTGCCTGTTAGTCAATTAATAAGCCGTCTCCGTAAGCTGGAGATTAATAATAGCCGAATCCTGGGCATATATTATCCCACTAGAAATGTTGTGGCTCTCCTAGTTCACAATGACTACACTCCCGAACTTAAGGCCCATCTTCGAAAGTTTAAAGTACATACTAAAGAGGATTTTAACCCTAGCGGCGGTTCTACTCTCATGGACCCTCACTACGCCCAGAATACCAAGGAAGAACGAGACTCTTATGCCGTCATGCATCATCGGGGCCGATTAAAACGTGCCCTTACATACATTCGTGCACCTGTTAAATACGCAATGGCACGCTATTTCTACAGCCAAGGTTGGATTAACAAAGAAGCCCTTAATGACACACTTGCATCAAAGGAATCCAAATCTACCGAAGTCTTATATCTTGACCATGACATTGAGACGTCCAAGCAAGGCCTTGAGAATAACTCCTCTCATCTACTATGAGAATTATTTCTCTTTCGTTATTTAATGCTACTGGCTTACCGAAACAAGCCATCTGGCCGATCCTTAAACTAGTTAAACCTTCTTCTGCCTTATTAATCACTGAAACCTGGCTTCTTCCGCCAAACAAATATCCTATTTCATGGAAACAATTTCACACCTATAGTCAGCCTATCCAATCGTCAAAACACCGAGGTAGTCTCGACTTCACTTAACTCATCAACCCCGCTTTTCCTTACTCAGTCCACCATATTCAGCATAATCACACATTACTAGCCAAATATGTTCTCTCCTTCACATAGCCAACACGCTCGTTCGCTGTTTTTATTTGCCTCCTTCTCTATCTCATGCAGAGTTTTCTGAATTCTTGGAATTGTTACCCTTGAATATCCCCAATACCAACTCAACGGTAATTTGTAGTGACTTTAATGCAAGAGTGGGATTTTATACTGGAGACTCTCTCTTTACCACTCGTGGCCGGATATTACAAGACTGAATACAATCATATGACCTAATTACCAGGAATTCAAGACTGAAATATGGGCACCCTACCTCTATTACCTATCAAGGCAGTAGTATCATCTACTACTTTCTCAGTACTACTGAACTTGACTCGCCCCACTTGACGATTAGAGACGATCTGTCATTCGACTCTAATCATAAACTCATGACTTTTTCTTTTCGGATACTTAACATAACCCAAACCATCTACCACCGAAGAGAATGCTATGGCACCTGAGGAAACTGCAGAAACCAAAAACAATGGAAAAATATAGACAAGCATTCACAAACTCTACAAAGAAACTGCTTCCATCCTCTACTCCTTCTTTCAACAACAGACATTCTGCAATTCATCACATCGAAGAGTTTAACATTAAATTTTGCCAAGCCATATATACATCTCTGGACCAAATTTGCGGACGGCAAACAAATCAAAAAGACTCTCAAGCCAAATACTTTTAGACACCAGAAATGCAGGATGCCTTTAAGCTCAAGGAGTACTATTATCAAAAATGGAGAAAAGCTCGTGAGCTAAACTGTCTCAAGTACTGGATCCTTTACCAGGAAACCAAAGCATATCTACGGCAACTTGTTTTACGTCGAAGAAAGGAAACTTGGCGTCAGTTCTGTGAACAAATGGAACACAGCGAGTATACAAAGGCTATCGTAAAGTTCTATAAAATTCGTAAAAACAGAAACTTACAGCCCTTCTTTAGTTCTATAGAAGGACCTCGGCATGCGGCTAATACTATGGCTTCTCACTTACAGTCAATATACTCGGGAAACTTACTGCAAGATATAAGTCAAGATTTAAATGTACTACCAACTTCCTTTGGCCCATTTGATGACAAAGGTAGCCCTACTTCACTAGAGAACATACAGGCATCCATCAAACGACCGTCTCTTAAAAAAGCTCCTGGTGTCGACCATATCCGACAAGAAATGTTAGTTCCTATTCTAGAACAAATTTCACCTTTCTCGCTCCGGTTATTCCAACTATGCTGGAAATGGTCATATACACCGTCCAACTGGAGAATAGCGCAAGTGATACCAATCTATAAAAAAGGTGATCCAAACGACTCCAGCAATTATAGGTCAATTAGTCTTACTTCCGTGCTACGTAAACTATTGGAGCGCTGTCTTCTTCAATATCTTATTAATAATAGTCCACCCTTAGATCTGGCTCAAAGTGGTTTTCGTCAAGCTAGAGGTTCGCTGGATCAAGCACTATGCCTAGTGGAAATCTGCAACATCCTTCGCCACTACTATCATGTTACTCCATTACTAGCCTTTCTAGACATCAAATCGTCATATGATACTGTCGATTGCCGATTTATATGGAAAGCTTTAGAAACAACAGCACCGAAGGCGATTATTTGCCTACTTCAGAGTATTTTCGATGAAGACCAGATTGAAGTTCTGTTGAACAATGCCACTTCCTTTCGATTTTCCCCTATGACCTGTGTCCTTCAAGGTTTTATTCTCTCGCCTTTCTTATACTCTATTTACATTAATGAACTCCCTAAGCTGCTTCGATCACGGCCTATGCCACAAGATATTTCGACACTCCAGCTAGCCCCATTGATCAACTGCCTTTTATATACGGACGACGTAGTGCTCATCACTAACAAAGAACACATGAAAGATCTGTTGAGAATATGTGAAAATCACAGTTACGACCTTGGCCATAGATGGAATCTAGCAAATGTGTAGTTTTAAACCCTACAGATCAATCGCTTAATTACTGCCTTTATGGAGACCTGCTTCCGACTAGAACTTCCTTTTATTACCTTGGGGTCCCTTTTCACCCTGGAGGTTATCTAAATACATTCGAGCTTCTTACTAACAACATAAACAAATCACTAGCGACCATGAATCAATTAGCTATGATTGGACTTAATCCCAATGGTCTCAACCGGCTGCTTGCTACTCGTTTTTACAAACAAATAGTCCGATCTCAATTAGAATATGGTCTTGCTATTAGCAAGGTTAGCTCTCTTTTGCTCAACAAACTGGAAGACGTTCAAAATACGTGCTTACGCAGAATATTTGGTGGTTCTTGCAGATCCTCTATAAAAGTAATGCTACAACTGACGAAGTTGCCGACTATGACAGAACGTACCCATATACTACAAGCGCAATTCCTCTTACGATCTCTGTCATTGCCAAATGATGCGCTTCTAACTTACTTATTTCCACATATACGCCTCTCCACAAGTCATTCACAGTGGTATACTTATCAAAAACGCCCCTGTGGAAACGTTGTGCGCAATATACTGATATACTAGATAAACGATTATTAAAGAAGATAGGTCTGCAATATCTACAAGATAACCTAGGACAGCGGCGTACTGCACGCAGCTCAAATCTGATCTCACTGTGTCGCTCAACAATCTCTTTGGATCTAATTCTTTGGTTACCTATGACAAGGCTAGAAAGAAGCCGATGCATACGGTGGCGTCTTGGTTGGTTACCCAACTATAACACTACTCGCTGCCTCCGACACACCTCACAGCTCCTTACAAAACAACATGCCATCTATTGCCTCGATATGCATCACCGTCTACAAATAACGAAGTCTATAACTGATCCTCTGTCCCTCCTTTTAAATAAGCTTCTCACTCGAAAACCACGCTCTTTTCAAACAAGATCGTTTTGGATTATCAGATGGCCCATAATCTGCGCTACCTTAGATGAGCTTGATTGCATATACCATGAAAAAGAGTCACCATCGTCATCTGACCCAGGGCAGAAACTGATTAAATGGTTATTTAATCCTTCATAGCAGTGTTTTTAACACTTGTTCCGTGAACCTGTCAGCCAAAGCATTTTTGCCCTCGAGCCCAGAGGGATTTTTAGATACTGCCTCACAACTTGAACTGGTCAGGGCAAAAACGATATAATAAAAATTTCACGTTCCCCTTGTGGCCTTTATATTTTTCATAAACAAATAAATAAAATTGTTTAACCGTAGAATAAATACTCTCCTGCTTGTGCCTAGGTTTTAACTCCCAGATCAACAACTGGTCGGGTACAAATTCAAGTGCCGTCTAAAAGAAGAACTCCTTTTTACAAAAAAAAAAAGAAGAACTCTAAATCATCTATGATCAAAGAATGATATTTTATAAATATCGAAGCCCTGTTTTTTCTTATATACACGCGAAAACGCTATGAACATTGTGATAATCTGTGAATAAGTAGTTTTAATTCGGAAATGATTTAGAATATAAGAAGGTAAATGTTTCTCTTTGTAATCCTTTTATTAATAGGGTAAGGAAGAGACACATGAGAAAAATGAAATTGATCTTCAAATGCAAGAATAATTATTGTCAACATCTTGTGAACTGTATTAATGCACGCACTTATATCACCTACGTATAAGCGTTGTTTGAAATATACTTTGATGACATGTATAAGGTTAGAAAAAACTCGAAAAAAGCTGAAGCAGCATTTGAACCTTCAGATTCAACTCTGACTCGAAAAAATACCTGTTGAAATTCAAAAAATCCTTGACCGACTTCCTTTTTGAAAAGTATTTTTTAGTCTGCTAGCCTAAAAATACCTTAAAAATTACTGTAGTAATAACCTACAAAGACTCATTGTAACTCATAACATTTAGAAGACGGCTTATCCAATAAAATGATGCTTTTTTATGCTGAGATCTGGCTTATTTTCTTTATATAGTAATTAACAAAATCAAGGCACCAAGGCTTCAAAGGGAATTACTAGGAACACGCAAATTATGTAACATTCTCCGTCGAATGAATTCTCTGGAGAATTTTATGAGACGGTCGGATAGAGTCAACAAGGAAGGATATATACTGTGACCTTCTTTTTATTTAGAATAGTGAAATTTAAAACCAATAAAACCAATAAAGAAATACAATGTCCTATAATTATTATTTGATCTTCTTTTTCGCTCGGTCAAAACCGCATCTAGATCATCCTTTATGTCAGAATTTACTGAAGAATCTTTTAATGCGCTTCGCCAGCAATTGGCTGAAACTCAAGCTATTGTACAGCAATTGGTACAAGAACGTCAAGCATCTCCAAGCGCGACTGATAGTTCATTGCATTCTCCCTTGCATGCTTTTGGAGTTCGTCTCCACTACGACTGGACTCCAGATCTTTTGGTAAAATATCGCTTTGGTCTTGACCGATATCTCTTTACTGCTCCAATGCTCTCCGATGCAGATCGTACTAGTATCATTGACAATTACCTACCTATCCGTTGCCCTTCTTATGTACCACCAAATATACTTCCTGAAGCCCGTAGTCGTATGAATCGTGGCCAAATACGGGAGGATAATAATCTAAAATCTCCCCAGTACTTATTATCTGGTGGAAACTCTCCAAGCGGAGAGTTTCAGGTCTGGTGTAGGATCCATTCCTGATTTATCTGATGTGTCGTCTTCTATCTTACTGGATCGACGTCTTGAAAACTCAACCACCAACTGCACTTACCGACGTGGGCAATTTCTCTTTTTAGAATGGTCCTTACAGCACCGCGTAAATATCAATGGATTTTCAGCTGCAGACATTGTCAATTTTCTTTCGGATATGCACTATCAATTTGGTTATTCCTCCTCAACATTGCGCTTGTTCCGTTCTTCCATCCTAGCTTTTCATCAAAATAAAGCCTCACTGGACAACGAACTACACTTGGTAAATAGCCTTCTTAATACACTTACTCGCAGGGTGCCTCCGAAAGAAATCCATCGCCCAACAATTGACATTTCCCCAACTCTGAACTATATACGACAGATTCAATCTTCCACGTCCACACCACTGCCCCTCTTGCAGAAGAAAACAGCCTTTCTCCTAGCGATGACAGCCTTTTTACGACCTTCAGGACTCCATTGTATCGATTTGCAGTCGGCAGACATCAACAATGGTTTTCAACTGACATTTCAAGTGGTCTCTTCAAAAGAAACTCGTGACCATCGTCGTATCATCAAACCCTTTACAATCTTTCCGAACCAAGACTACTCTCTTTGTCCTGTTAGAACATTCATAGCTCTTAGAGATCACCCCTCATTATCACACTTTTCCACTTGTTCTTCGCTTTTCGTGAATTCAAGGTGTCCACAAGAGCCTTTAGCCACGTCAACAATCTCTACATGGCTCCGCAGCATGATTAGAATTTCCACAGAAGAGCGAAATGTAAGCGTCAGATCTATTGCATCCTCGTTAGCTCTACGCCTTGGTATCCCAAAAGAAGATATTGTTACTCTTAGAAATTGGACAAACTCTTCGACTTTTGAAAACCATTATCAACGAGAACATATGCCATGCTTCAATTTCACGCAGATATTATTATCAACAGATTCATCAACATCAACGGAAGAAGAACGAGCAGATTTCGATATGGATGACCAAGAAGAAGACACGTTCTTTGACGCGATGCAAGAATGATCTAGATGCTCACTCTGAAGCAGCATATATCCTTCCTTGTTGGCTCTATCCGATCGTCTAATAAAATTCTCCAGAGAATTCATTCGATAGAGAATGATACTTGACACTACTCGAGGTGATTATGTTTGTAAACTCATCATGGTTCTTCCACTTAACGATACTTTTGGATCAATGCCACAGACATTGCACCTATATCACCCAATATTAATCCAAGTGCCCCCTCGAGCACTCCTCACACAGACACTGATATTGTCAACTCTTCACAACCAACTGCAACTCGTACCTATGCCGCGACCGCTTCCCTTTCATAAACAACCAAGACATCTCCCAAAGGAATCTCTACAGTTCGAAAGGAAATCTCTTTATACCGATCCTTTGACTCTACTACTAAGACAGCACAATTGACCTATTCAATTCATCAAACGGGTATCACTGATTATTCTGTGTTTTATCGAAATTCCCCATCGTCTCGAGAATATTAAGGTTCCTTTTAACATCGCCCTCAGCGAAAAGTTTCCTTTCGGTGTAGGATTGGGCTTTATCACCCATGAAGACACCCAAGGCATAGTCGTCGAAGTCACCCTCATTTCTGCTGAACATTGCAAAGAAGCTGTAGCTGTTATGTAATGGTTTAAATGACACAAGACAAAGACAAAAGAAATACTCTTTAAGACTAATCTTTATTCTGGGATAAAGACAGAAGGAACATGCAATTGAATAAAGGATTTACTATTTATAGTTGCTATCAAATGGCTGGTAAGCCACTATTCTAAGCGTGGATTATAATTACTGAGAATGTGATTGACTAGCGATTCCTGAGTTCATAAAGAAAACTTTTAATTCGTTCCTGACGCTGATCTTATCGCTCATTTCATGATCTGGGCTATGTTACTGCTTTTACCGTGAGAAGAATCGTCTTTTAAAGAAGTATATCCTTTTATATAAAGAAGCAATGACTCATATTCAAAGGAGAGATTCTATTTAATTTAACTTATCGCTAGAAATGTGTACACTAAATCTTATAATGTATGAATTCACTCTATTCATACTGACTACAATCGTTTATCTCAATGTCAGTCATAAGCAGACATTGTTCTACGACAGTAGCGACCCTCTTGGTCGTCGAAAATCAAGTTTTTACTACCTCACCTGCTGTACACCTGGACCGTGCACTCCGGGAGCAAATTTAACTAAGATTTTTATTACGCCTATTGAACAGTTAAGAGATAAGCTATTGAATAACTTCGCCCGGTACAGTATAGTTAGAAAGTTAGTTATTTATCTTGATGATTGGGCCCTGCACTGGTTTTCCGGTAATGGGCGCATTTGCCTAGAAAGACCGCCTAGCTCTGAAATTAAGTTTGATCCTTTGATATATAGGTACCTCTTGATGGTGACCATTCATGCTTGGGTACGTGGTCCAAAATGGACAAACATTGCATTTACTGTAAGGCTATGGGCCATATTAGGAAGGATTGTCCTTCACTTTCGACTGAAACGCGTACCTGCTTCGTACGCCATAGCCATGGTCACATCGCTTGCAGCTGCCCTAAGATTACAAACCCTAATCAGACAGCCTCCAAATGCCGTCGACCTACCCCTGTCGACAGTAGTTACGAAGCACCTGTCATTGTTCTTTCTCGCCCTGTTGAAACACTATCGTCCACTACTCTACCAACTTCCCCCGAACCGGTACTACATGAAGTTCCAACGACCTCTGAGGAAGTGACCTCTGCACCTGCCCCCAAGTATCAAACCGCAGCTCCGATGCCTAGTGCAGACTCCTCAGTAGACCTTGTCTTTGACCCTATTCCTGTACAGGAGAATGTCGCTACTCAGCCAATATTAGATCACACAACGTCAACAGAAATCTTAAACGATGTCGATATGGATGATTCTGACAACGAATTTATGGTTTCTTCGACGCTTTCTATCAAGAAATCTGCGGCTAAAATCGCTAAAAATAAGGCATCCATTAACCCTACTCGCAAATTTTCTCGTCTTAATAGGGGTCAAACTGGAGAGAAGTTTCATTATTCCAAACGTTCCACGTTAGGCACATCGGTCGCTGTTACTACACATTTGGGCCACGGGATGGAGAATGATACTGACACGGTCAGTTCTTCTCCATGTCATTAAGTAAGTCCTTCATTTTAAATTACATATTCTAATACTTTGCTAATTATGAATAACCTTATGAATAACAATACTAATTCCAACTTTAGCGACCTGCTCGTCTCTCACTCGACAAATAATAATAATAATCACAGCAAATTTACTACTCTAAATATTGGATCTCTTAACTACCGAAGGGTTGCTAAGCTATCTCTTCCTAAAAAACGTCAATCCTTCGTTCGCCATCTTCGTCTCCAATCGTTAGTTATCTTCTCGTTACATGATACTAACGCTGAGGATGAACATACCCAGTCAGCTCTTAACATCCTCTTCAGCTCTAAAAGCACCTTTTGGACTAGGGACTCACTTGAACCGATCAAAGTGTTAGCTTATGTTAATGATACGTTGGACTTACTCAATTCGACAAGTGATATGTCCGCTCTCCTGCAGATTATTACGCTTTATGAGCGCTCTTCCAACGCCAAGTTGAACCATTCGAAGACTAAAGCGTTTTCTCTCTCTGGTGCTCTCTCGACAACATGAACTAACTTCCTACACCAACTTCCCACACCAATTACATCCTGGCACGACAAGACGTCGCCACAACCATTGGTTTACTTAGGTTATCCCGTTTACACCAGTATAGCTCAGCGTAATTCATTCGTCGACCAGCTATTGCTTAAAGCACAAATAGCCTGCACCTTGCACTCTCAGCGGTCATTGTCGATCCGCGGTCGCGTGACAGTACTGAACGCGCTGCTGTTTTCCAAACTCTAGCATGTCCTGTGTATTATAGACGAAGATTATAATTTCCATAATAAGACGAGTCCGTGCGTAGTCAATAAGAAATATAAAATGATTTATAAGCACTATTCCAATGTGTAGTCTTTAAAATAAGATTAACCAATTAGAGTAATTTAGTAAGCATCCAGATCATTGTCGTAAGTCAGGCACCGCAGCTTTAGCCATTACCGTAGCAGAGCGAATCAAACCGTACCTTGATTTAACCTACATCAAAAAGTATAAATAGAGCCCTCTTTTTCATTGTATTTTGCATTATCTCAATTCTCAGGAATAAACGAATTCTCACAAATACTTGTTTGTCCCTGTCTTCGTCTTTTACACCTTAAATCTACCACAAGTTATCTCACTGCGTGTCTTGCCATTGACTTCTGCACAGCTCCAATGGTTCCGAGGAGTGATCAGTGCCTTTCTCAATGGTTATCGATTTCTAAAGGTCAGTTTTGCGACTCTGTCTCACCTAAGGAAACATGGTGGTGTAGGGGCATTGAATCTTCACATCCAACAAATGACGTTACAGTGATGTTGGTTGCTTCCGCTTCTTGCCAACAGATCTCATACGGCGCAGTCTCTACGTTGTCTCCCTTACCTTGAGCGTATCCTTGCTGACATCAGTGGCTATCCTAGCAGCCATCTCTGGTCGGTGCTGTTCCCTTTTCTTTGGCCTCGCCTTCTCCAACTCGTGAATAACCTATTCAAGTTGCTTTTCCAAGCTTTCGATGAACTATTACCATTGTCTATTTCGGAGCACCTGAACGCAAAGACCTTCTTGGCTATGCCGATCCATCGTGTCTTAACAAGTCCTTCTGAACGCTCTCCCTAGTGCTATACGCTCAATATTCTGCAAACACTATCTCCTGCTAATCCAGGATTACGCAAGCTTTTGATCAGTGATATTATCATCCATGGCCATCAGACCACTAACCTTCGTCTGCGGACAGTAACGTGTTTAGTGAGATAAATTATCATAACACCCGAGTATAAACTTACAGTAGAGCATACATTCTACTCTCTGCTTCTTTATCGTATCAGATGAGAGCACACAATAAGATATAAGCCTCAATTCTATAACGGTAGCTACTGACATTTTATACTAACGTATTCACATGTTCACTATAGCAATATTGATCTCGGTTTCAATAACTCATACTCAGTTTCTCTCCCTTTGAATATGTATTCTTATCCAAATATAAAAATTTTCTCTTCTTCTTCATAATAAACTCTTTGATTGAAAGTCATTGACTTATTAGTTCTTTTTATCTGCTTCCCACTCATAATCCATCAGACAGCTAACGAATATCCTCGGTTTCGACGGCTTTGTCGTAAAACTATTGCTTTACTGCTCCAAGGGCAAGCTTTATTGTCCCCTGTTTTCCTGCCTCTGTGCATCCTCGGGAGCATTTCTACACCTGATCTGAATGCAGCCACTATAGATTTGACACCTCTTTGTCAGCATAGTGTTTTCGGGACCCTCTGTAGAAACCTCACATGAAGAAGTGCTTCCTCAATCACCGGTATCATAGCAGTTGTCTTTCCAGTAAGGCTCGCTATCCATCGACAAGATTTCTGTTCCCTATTGTTCAGCAGTTGTCGAGTCCTGATATCTAACTTCTGTATTTTTATCTGTGGAACTTGTATCGACATATCTTGAGAATTGAACAAGAAGCCAAGGAACAACTGTGCCCGTTGAGGGTACCAGGATTCTCTTCTTTCTGTTGACCAAAAACCCCAATTGTTCTAAATAAGCTATCATCTTGGATGTGTATTCTTGCATTTCTTCCTTCGTCTTCGCTAGTACACATATGTCGTCGAGGTAAAAGACAAACCTGATTCCGGACTTGTGTAATAGTTCCAGGGCGTACTTCATGAGCTTGAGAAAGCCTGAGGCGCTACATTGAGACCGAATGCTAGACTCTTGTATCGGTATACCACGCCTTGATGTAAAAAGGTCAAAAAATCCCTGGAGTTCTCGTGTACCGACACTACTGCATTTGCATCTTTCAAATTTATCTTGCACATGTTATCATTCTTGTCAAACAACTCCCGTAAGGCTGGTACACCTTCCATTTTGAAGTGGTTGCATTGAATGTACTGGTTCAAGTTCGTGCAATCCAATATCGGCCTGCGTTTGTTTGGTTCCTGCACAGTAAATAATTTCGATAGATAGCTCTTGTACTGAGACGGAGAACGCTCGATCATGCCTGAATTCAGAGATTTCTTCACTGCTTTGTCCGTTGCTACTTTCTTCTCTCCCATGAACTTCATCGGAGTATATTTCCATGGTCGAGGTTCATGGTTCCACTGAAGTTGATATCCTTGTGTTACTACTAATACAGGCCATGAATGAAGTATTGTCCGTTTTCATTGCTCTGGGAAACATTGGAGATGACCCCCTGGTAACATGCCATCGCTTGGTGTGGTGTAATGTGCTTTTTTGGCGGAGGAAGACGTCGGCGTTGATAGCGGTCTTACTGGGGTTGATTGGAGCTTTGGGCCTCCGTATGTAGTTGGTTCTTGCTGCGTCCAAAAAAAATGTGTGGAAGGTTCCACGGCCTCCGGTGTATCTCTGTTGACACCTAAATCCTCTGTTGCTGCGATTGAATGGCTGTTGTTGTCGTCCAACTACATTTTTAAGGATGGACTGTTCGTATCTGGCTTGAAAAATTCTTTCAACTTTTTTCCTGCCCAAGGCTAAGACTTTGTCACTAGGTTCTTCTTCCAAGTGTTTGACGCTGTCGGGGAGCCTGAGCGCCTTGATCACCATTGTCCTAGCTTCACTTTTAGTGGCCTTACTCGTGGCGTATGAGTAAACTGCGAGTTGTCGGATGTCTTCCATGATATGAAATAACTGTTCTTCACTTCCTCCTGATTCCAGGAATTTTCGGCGTTCTTCGTAAAGGTCTGTTGCTGCTCTTCCGCGATGATGAGTCAATCAGCTCCCTTGTATACTACGTTTGTGCTTTGGAGGGCATTCACAGTTTTCCTTTTAAGTTCTCTGTGGAGCTCTTTGTTGAAGATCTCACTGTTGATCCATTCACTACCTTCGTACTTTGGAAGGTTCTTAACAAATTCTTTGATGTTCTTCTGTAAATTGATGGACGGGCCGTTCTCCACTTCTTCCAAGATTTCGTTTGGAAGGTTTATGGGACCTTCACTTGATCTGTCAAGATTGAGCTTCCTTGACATTTCCTCAATGATTTGTTCGACTTGTTCTCTTGTAAACAATTGTTCAGATTGATCATTGAACATATTATTACCACGGTGCGCGGCGCGAAAAAGATCTAAAGAAATAGGAACCGAAAATTTTTTTTATATGTTATCTGAAAATAAAGCGTGGCGCGAAAGAGCCTTTTACCACCTCATCGGAACCTGGAACGGAGACAACAGTGATTGGGAAAAGAATGACTTCCAATAAAAGATAAGTTATAAAAGATGGGTAGATTCGTTAGTATAGACTAGCTCAAGAAGATGTTGCAGGATGTATAGAACAGTTTTTTGACTCTGCAATCTGGGACAATCCAACCGAGATTATACTCAAAAGAAACAAAGGGTAACAGTTGATTAATACTGTTAGAAAGAGGACAATCAGCAAAAGCCTAATCAGCGTATGTTCGTAAAAAAATACATGTTCAAAATCAGGCGTCTTTTTTCTTTGTTTGGACACTTTAAAAGCCACATTTAAAAAAGAAAACAAACAAGCCTATGTGAATAGTTGATATTTATTAGAAGAAAAAAAAAAAGCAAAAAAAAGCAAAGAAAAAAAAAAAAGGAAAAAAAAAAAAAAAAAAAAAAAAAAAAAAAAAAAAAAACCTCTAGTGAGAATGAAAAAAAAAAAAAAACTAGTAAAAGTTTCTCCAAGAAATAGGTCTTGCTGTAACATTCAAGTGTTGATCATTAGTTGCATTCGTATAGGATCCCTGACAGCGTAAGCTATAAGCAAGAGGATCCCATGATTTTTGAGATAAGTTAGTGATTGGATGGTTACGATTTACATATCGGCATGCATTACTATAACCTCCGTAACGAACTGCAGGTGGTTGTAAAGTGATAGGTAATTGGTTCGGAGCTAATAAGGGCGGTTGGACACTGCGCCTTTCTGTTGTTGCTGTCGTTGTTATAGAGACCGTTGGGGTAGTAGTAATGGGTCTAAGACGATAGTAATTAAGGTATTCATCATCCAATTTAACCTTCCTTTGTCGTTCTTGATTTTCAACAGATGCAAGATACTTTTTGTAGGATTTATCCAACAAATCAGTAATGCGACTGATATGGTCTGTCTCTTGTACTTTTTCTTGTACAATTCTGTGTTCAAACTGATCATGATAGAGACCAAGTGTGTGAAGTGTATTAGAAATTGCTTTCTGTCTTTGCTCAGGTGTATCTAAATAACTGAATTGGTATCGATCACGACAGGATTCCAATAGTATCTTCCAGATAGCAAAGTCTTGAGCACGGATATGCAAGTTAAAATCGATGGCCTCAAGGAATTCAGCCTCCATAATGTTTAAATCATTTATTTTCATTCCACTGACTTCTGACCATGTCTTGTTGGTATATGTATTATCATCCAAGTATTTATTAGCCAACATCAAGGCGACAACAAACAATCGATATTCTGAACCTTCAGCACCTTCGATACCAGGGTTAGCTTGCAGAAGATTGGCAATATACTTCAGACAGAGATAGACTACGGAGTCCTTAAGTTGAGTGGCAGATAAGATTTGATAACAGAATTTTTTGAATGCTGGACTAGCTGTAAACATGATGGTGTGATCATGTCTCATATTCGTCATTGGTTTCTTTGCTTGCCACATCAGATAGGCCATGTCATTTCCCATAGGATTAGCAAATGATTGTTCATGTGTTGTCATTTTAGTAGTAGTACTTGGTCTGCGTGCATGCCACATCAAATAAGTGATAGAAGCAGCAAAATCTGCGAGTTGAGTCACAGTGAGTTCTGAAGAAGGCGTTGATAGAGTTGGATGCATTGCCCTTCTGTTTTACTGACAATAAGTTGTTTATTGAAAGAATAAAAGGCAAAGACAGAAAGACAAGGTAAAAAAGAGACAGAGTTGGAAAAGTTTGAATAAAAAAGAAAAAGAAGGGAAAAGAAAGAAGATTTTTAAATATAAAATCTCTTTCTTTGTCTTTTGTCTTTGTTTTGCTCCTCTTCTTCTTTGTGTATGTGTTGTTGAAACTTTTCGTAAGAAAAAAGATTAAGTAAAAAAGAAAGAGATTCAAAGGAGAATTTACAAACAAGAAAATTTTTTCTGTTTCGTCAAAAAGTTGTCACGTGCAAATCAAAGATTGATGTAATCCACAACTACTTTGTTTGTGTGTGTATTCGGTTAATCTACTTTATGAATTCATTGAATGAATACCACCCAGTTAAGCACATATCATCATAGATAAAGAAGAGGAGCAATTTCCCCTTTACAGTTAAATTGTCAGTGCCAAAAAGAATGACAAAAACTTTCAATTATCCATTTGCTGATTGCTTCGAATTAGGCATCAAGAGCCATTGCAACAAAGCATATGATTTAGCAATATGATTATTGTATACATTTTTCTATCACGTTAGATGAAAACAATAAGACAATAATCACACTGACAACAATGATGTCAAAGATGACATTAAAGAACCGACTTAAAGAAAAGGATATCATTACAATTACACTAAGTGATCTTGGTCGTTCCCACCCTTCTTTCCCTAATTGTCTTTTTTTTTTTACATTTGCTCTTACAAAAGAAGACGAAAAGAAAGAAAGAAAGCTCTTTATTTACATTTTATAATATTGTCCAAGCTCGATCAAACAAAGAAGAGAATGATAACAAGCAAGATCACTCAAGTGTGTAATTTGGATATCCTGTATTAAATTGGAACAGAAGGGAAAGACAGGATTTCTGATAGTGAACTCTCCGCTGATGGATGATTATAGCATATATCCTATGTTTTATGAGTTGTATGTCCTTATTATGCTTTTTTTTTTACCTTTTGTAAATCATTCACTTCTGATTCCATTTGCTTAAAATCGTATTCTAATTGCTGGACGATATCATCCTTTATCTTTAATTCCTCTTTTAATTCTTTATTATCTCGTTCTTTCTCTTTTATTAATTCTGTCAGTAGTTCATTTTCTTGTATTAAGGAATCCAGCTTATCTTTCAGTTCTTCATTCTCCAATTGAATTTTACCCCGCGATAGATTAGACTGTACTGTCGGTCTACAAGCATGTTTGTCTTTATCAGTGATCTGTTTGTTGGTATAGCAACATGTCTGTGCACATTGTGGTTTATTTGTCAATAGCTGTCTGTATAATATATTGACCACTTGAACCAAATACTCATATTCTGGTCCTACTTGTGTCATGTCTCGTATATGATTTTGCTTAATATTCCTTAACTCCTCCTTTATATATAAAGTATTATTTAATGTATTCATATATTTTATCTTAAACTTACTCGTAGTGTATCAGAATCGTCCTTTAATAGTCGATTGGATCTTTGTAACCTGATATTTTGTTCTAAAAGTCTCTTCAAGGCCTGCTTGAGTTCGACCGTCTTTTCGTCCACTTTCTTGTCACTTTCCATTTTTAACATGCGATTGGCTCTCTTTAGTCGAGCATTCGCTATTGACAAATGTTCCACTTGTTGAGTTAGCTGTCTTATTTGTGTTTCAAATTCTTCATTATTCTTTTTGGAATCAGTAGGTGAAGAAGAATCAAACGAGCTATAAGAACCTAGACTGTAATTGTTTAGTTCATGAATAGAAACAATTTCTGGCTTTGACATAAGCCTAGTCATTAAAATATATATATAAAAAAAAAAAGAGTCTTCTTTACCTTTGCTTCTGCAACTTCGGACACTTAAATAAAGGACATTTCTTCCCCTAATTAAACATTAATGTATTTGTGTGTTCCCTCCTTTTAAATCGTGATTTTCAATCACCCCTAAAAAGTTCCTAATGACTCAAGCAATAAACAGAAAAACTTGGTTATATAATATAAACTTGAAGTTCCTTTAATTTACTTGGAAACCAAACTTTAATAAAATACATACAGTACTATTTTGACAGATCAAGGGTTTGATGTCTCCTTTAACAAATATCTATTATGCTCATTGATTGAGTATTATATTTTGCATAGGATTACTAAGGTAATACTTGATCGATGACTAATTCATTCAGATGCAAGGGTTTTGTTATTCTCTCCTCGATACATTGAAGTTATGCTATTCATCTTATCTAACTTCATTTCATACTTTTAAAAAAAGATAGAGGCTCAAGTTCTTGTGCGTTTCAAAAAAACACATGTGTCAAAGCATCGTCAGTTTAAATACTGATCAGATGTATGACTGTTTCGGATCACAACTACATAACTTGTAACTTTTCTCTGAATGAGACCATCTAGCGGCTGCTGTAATCCAACAATTCATGTCGAGCTTGTAGGAGCACAACGTACCATGTTCTATTTCCTAGTAAATATGGGCGATAGGGATATAGTCATAGAAATTATACTTCTATACAGATGCATACGTAGAAGCAATTTGAGACTTTCTTACATTGAGTGGAAAAACCGTCAATCAGATCTGCAAAGAAGCTTGTGGCAATAATATACTCCCAAAATCAAGCACATTTCATGTATGCTTCACATATCTTACTTTTTATTATTGAAATCAACAGAGTGTTCATCCATGTACTTGTGCATTTTGAATTGTATTTTTGATGATTTACAGCAACACTACGCACTATTGACTATGAGCACAGCCATTTCAAGGTAATAATTGATAAAGAAGCAAGAGGATATGCGTGTGTACACCTGTACTGCATGAATTAAACCATGGGATTGCACATCTCATACAGCCCTTTAAACTAAAATTAATGATAAAAAATGTGTCAATTAGATGATTAATATTCATTTTAGACACAATTAAATAATATGCTTGTCTTTATCTATGGTAATATCTTTTAATTGTGTCATCTATTCCTTCATACTTCATTTAATTGGGTAGCAAGTCAAAGTCTCTGCCTTTGCCTGTAAAAAAAAAAAAGGACCGGTAATTTAAATTAGAAGGCGATGCGGAAATCCAAATTAAGCAATGAAGAGCATGATACTTGGTTGATGACTTCTTCCTTTTCTTTATTTTAAAAACTTCACTTCTATATCTACTACAATGTATAGTGGTAATAGCGGTAGTCCTTCAAAAGGTATGTGTTTATGCTCGAGATTATTACATTCGCTGACAATTAAAAAAGGAATCCGGTTTACCTTCTTGTCACCATCTGACCAAGCTAAATTTGAGCAACTTTTTATTCAAGGTGCTGCTCAATTTGGAGGAAATCAGATTGGAGGTATGAACTTATTTCAATACTGTATCATTATATTCACACTTTACAATAGCTCAGGCAGTAGGTGATATATTGAAGCGCTCAAACCTTGACAATGAATCCTTGGCAAAAATTTGGTAAAAGAAACTGGGATGAAGAGAAAAAATAACACTTATGCTCATTCCTGTAGGGATCTCGCATCTGTTGCCAACGCACCTTATATGACTTTTCCCGAATTTGCAACTGCAATGTATCTTACTTCCCGGAAGCTTATCGGACAAGAAATTCCTTCTGCACTCCCACCTAGTATGAGAGAGGAGATAGAGATAGCCATAGCAACCATTGCCTCAACAGAAACTTCACAACCATCACAGCCGCAACAACAACAACAACAACATCTCATTGATACAAGCTTTTCTCTGCAGCCTACAATAAGCCCACAAGTTCCGATGATGACAGGTATGATGCCACAAATGGCTCTAAGAACAGGTATTCAGAACATGCAAAGTTTAAGGCCTGCTGCACCTCAGATGCCCATGCAGACAGGGCTAATGAACAACAGTATGCCAAGTTTTCAAGCACCAATGCACACTGGTTTCCACCCTACTCCGCCACCACCAAACAAGCCTCGTCTTCAGAACCTTGATTTTGCGAAAAAGATGATGCCTGACCAGAACGGAGTGACCAATCTTCTTAATCCCAGCCTTGGAACAAGTGAAGCAGACAGAATTTCTTGGAAAATCAGTCCACAGGACAAAGCAAGATATAGGGAAATATTTAATGCTTGGGAAGGCTCTAATACTGGATTTATGTCGGGCGATACAGCAAAAGATGTATTCACTCAGTCCCAATTGCCGCCTAGAGACCTGATGAAGATTTGGAATTTGGCAGATTCAGAAAACAGAGGAAGCTTGGATATCGATGAATTTTGTATCGCAATGCACTTGATCTATAGAAAGCTCAATGGCTTCGAAATCCCTAATAAGTTGCCTCCTGAATTAGCACCTCCCTCTAGCGTTCTTAAAAAGTTCGTGCTCGGTCGTCGTCCTCCCCCCTCGGTCCCTTCGTTTAGTCCTCAGCAGCACCATCGATCTATAGAAGAGCCAGATGAGGATGATTATGATCATCACGAAAATGATTACGTATCAAGCTCTCGAAGAAAAGGCCATACAAGCAGATCTTTAAGAAGATACAATCAATACGACGCCGAAGAAGAGGCAGATCCTGTTATTTTAGAAGACCTTCGTCGTCAGATCTATGAGACTAAACGTAAATTAGACGGCATCAATATCCCTCGAACCAAGGGTTATAGCACAGCAACAAGCAAGTACACTTTAGAAGAGCTCAAAGAAAACATTAGAAAGGCACATGCTCAATTGGAACAACTTCTTCAAAACAACAATGCAGCCAGAAAGTATACTGAAAACTCTGAAATTTTACTTAATTTGCTAGAGACTCAAAAGTCCCTTCAAGACGAGATACAGTACCTCTGCAATCGTGATATCCCCGTATTGGCTCGTCAGCTTCGTGGTGCTGCTGCAGAGTTAAGAGATGCAAAGGTTCGTCACAGCAAGAGGCATGATGGCACGCAGGACTATATGGCATTCATTCAACCCACGGGACCCGGAGGCTCAATTACAGAAAGCGACCGTGTTCGCGCAAAGGCTAAAGCTATGATGGCTGCCCGTAAGATGGGTAGCAGTGGTGCAAGCTCGGACAGTAGTTTCGTTCTTAGACGCGCCGAAGAAGAAAAGGAAGATGCTGACAGATTGGCTGATACTATCGAGCGTGACATGGAGCGATCAAGGACCGCTTTGCTTGATATGAGAGGTGACTTGAGATACTTGGAGGAAATGACATCTTATTTGGAAGACAAGAAGAGATTTGAGATAAGCCAGCAAGACCTTTCATACGAACTTCGCCGCTTTATTGAGGAGCTGAATACAAAGCCTATCTCTCAGCCCTCCTATGCTTCTCGTGGTCTCACTAGCAGCTTCTCCTCCATGAACATTAGCAGTCAAAGTCCTACTGTCACGACACCCACTCTATCGAATGCTAGCCCTAGTCCAACGCCAAAACCTGCTCCTGTTAGGGCACGTACTGCTGAGGAAATTAAAAAAGAGGTAACAGTAAAAGATGAATAACCATTTTAGCAAACTGATCTTTACGATATTCTTAGGCTGAACGCCGAGTACAAGAACGCTTAGCAGCTCTTCAAGCCAGAAGAAATCCAGGTAGCTCACCTAAGCCTGCTCCGCCTACTTCATCCATACCTACTCCATCCCCATCTGTTTTATCAGTCAGTAAACCAGATGAGGCAGAAATGGCTGCTCAAGGTATTGATGTCTTTCTTTTTTACCAAAGAGAAATAATCTAACTTTTGTAATAGAGCGTCTACGCAATGCTGAGCGTGAAGCACAGGAACAACTGAGAGCATCTGTTACTCAACGAGAAGGATATGAGAGACAAAAACGAGACATGGAGATTGAACGGGAAAGAATCGAGCGACAAAAATTAGAAGATGAACAGCGCGAAGAGGAGCGTATTCGTCAGGACAGAGAAGAAGAAGAAAGACGCCATGAGCAAGAAGAAAGAGAATTAGAGGAGCGAAGAAGGAAAGTACTAGAAAAAGAAGAAGCTGATAGAAGAGCTAGATATGAAGCAATTCAGCGTGAACAAGAAGAGGAGGAAAGAAGGAAGGCTGAACAGACTCAAGCAGCTCCAAAGGAACATAAGCCTGAAGAAGCTCCTAACGTGCCAGAAGCAGTTTCTCCTTCAACTACCCCACCTGCTCCACCTGCTCCACCTGCTCCATCAGTTCCATCAGTTATCCATGAAACCAGTTCAGTGGCAAGCTCGACTAACCCCTTTGCAAAGTTTCAGCAGTCTACTTCAACTACTTTGGAAGGATCTTCCCAAGCAGAGAAGCCCAATGAAACAGCCAACAAACGCGTAAGCTATAATCCATTTGCTGCATTTTCCGCGTTTTCAGCTACTAAAGCTGGCGCTGAAGAATCAGATTCTGACGATAGCTGGGATGCAGATGATCATGAATCTGAAGATGAAAGCGAGTTCCCTGCTGCCGGTAGCGCAAAGAACTTGGCAGGCAGGCTCTTTAGCGTTTTAAGTCAGAGACAAGGAGGTATGTTGATCTATGTATCACTACATTCAAATTAAACTTACATCTACTACTAGGCGCTTCACCTGTACCATCACCTAAACCTTCAACAATAAGCGCTCCCTCACAGGTATCTACTCCTGCTTCTTCTGATACAAGTATACCACCACCACCTCCTCCTCCTCCTTCAGCAAACTCAACTGTTCCCTCTCCTCCACCCCCTCCTTCTATCGTACCTAGCCCACCAGCAGTACCACCAGTTCCTCAAGCACAGCCTGCGCCTTCTCAAGCTAGTTCACCACCTTCAGGTGATGCAAGAAGTGCTTTATTAAGTCAAATTCAATTGGGAGCAAAATTGAAGAAAGCAGTAACAAATGATCGCAGTACATCTTCAGTGGCAGGTCGTGTTTTATAATGACATGCTTACATTTTTGAAATAAAATAGCTCCAAGTAATTATATAAAAATAAACAATGGGAGGCTGAAATTAAATGCTGGACGGCATCAAGGCACAATCATAGGCACCAGTATATGCATTTACCATTCTTTACTACTTTTATATGAGACTATTTCAATACTGCGTTTGTCGCAGCCATATCACTTGTTGAATTGTAAATTATTTATATGCTTTATTTTAATATTGTCAGTGCCTTATTTCTCTTGTAAAGACTCTCATCGATATCCTATCTTTTTCTATTTTGCCTCAACTCAGGTATAAGAAGTAATAACTACTAAAATATCGCAGGCGTTTCTCGTACAATAAGCACAGCAGTTTAGAAAAAAAGCACGCGAATTCACACGATGCATACATCTTGGTGATAGAGAAATCTTGGAAAAGGTCCTTAGAATTGGAGTCAACGTTACATCTTCAAAAAACTTGAAGTATGGCGTGTTTAGTGAAATAAATCATTATAATATTTTATAATAAAGCATACGCTCTACTTCCTATTTCTTTACTGTGTATCAGATAATGATAAGTAATCATATTGACAGCAATAAATCTTTACTAATAAAAATCACATCTATCTTGCTTGGTAATATTCAGCTTTTTATAAATATAAAATCAAATATACCAAGGGAAAATGCTATTGCATACCCTAGAGGTACTGCATTCCGTTTTGCCGAGTTTGCAAGCGTTATTAGAACCTACACCACAGTTTGCAAGAAAAATGGAGACGAAGTAAAAATGGTAACACATGCAAAAGTGTTAATTCCTTTGATCATGCATTGAATGCTTCCAAAATTTAACTTCAACTTTCCATTGTTTATGTTAAAAAGAGCGACCAAACCTCATGCCTTTACACCTTATGTTTCTGCTTGGACTTTATATGAAGCTTTTGCTCCACTTGAACTAGTGTTTGCTGTAAATTCTAAGTGATCATTAATAACAAAGAAAAAACTTTTTTTTGTGGCCGCTATTCGATTATTCCTTCTTTGGTTATGAATAAGATATACATATATCTATACTTTATTTAAAATAAATCAATTACATACTCCTTTAATGCAAGATTCTTTGCAGTCTCTACTGCTGGAGCAACAGGCATCCTTGGGGCCATTGCCTTTCTTTTTGCCACTGTAACCGGTAGAGCATGAGGCAAGAGAGGGACCGTTACACTTTCCTTTGACACAGCTTTCCCAGCAGTCATCGCTAGTCTTGCAGCAGGCGTTCTTGTAGCCATCTCCTCTTCTCTTTCCCTTTGAGCCAGAATAACACGTGGAGGCGATAGGAGTATTACATTTTCCTTTGATGCAGCTTTCTTGACAATCGTCACTGTGCGAGCAACAAGCGCCTTCGGGGCCCTTTCCATTCCTCTTACCTCTATAACCAGACTTGCAAGAAGAGGGTGTAGGGCAAGAAGTAATAGTGCCAGTAGCGGCGCTAGTCGTAGTTTGAGTTACAGTAGCTGTAGTGGTGCTAGAAGTAGCTGTAGAGGAGCCTCCTGGATTAGCAGATGTTGAACCAGTCTTAGTTGCTGTCGAAGTGTCATTGCCCTTGGTAGAGGTGGAGGTCGAACCAGCCTTGGACGTGGTGGTAGTCTTGGTAGTAGTACTAGTAGTAGTAGTCTTGGAATCACACTTGTCATTCTTGTGGGCATTCCACCAAGCACAAGCACCAGCAAATTCTTTGTTAAAGTCTTCAGGATCGGAATCCTTGCAGCCAGCCATACAGATACCGGCAGTAGTCATGAAACTAGCATAGTTAGGACCAGATTTATCGCACATGACGGTAAGAGACTTAATGAAAAGTTCAGAAGTGTGATCCATTGTCCAGCCAGGCACAAACTTTTGACCAGCTTTCTATAAAACTCATAGTCAGTTACAAAATTATTTTCACCAACTGGCTTACTTACAATATTACAGTTTGTATAGCATTCACCAGACCCAGGGACGTTATAAGAAGGATTACAGTTTGCAGCGAAGGCAGATGTAAAGAGAGAGACAGCTACAGCAGAAATGGCAATGGTACTACGCATCTTGAGAACTTTTCAAAGTCGATTAAACTAAGATTTAATGAATGTATCCATGGTGAATAATCCCTTCTTATTTATACGCTTTTGACTCTTTGGTGTCACTTCAGATTGAATTATGTCTGTTGACTCATGCAATGTAGCCAACATTAAAGAACTCCGGTAAAGTTTAGTTACACCAATTTCGTGTACCATTGAAGTTATCAGATTTTTCTATGGTTACATTGGATCTGATAACTTTTCCATCCTGACTTTAATATCAGCTATACATAGATATAGATATTCATTATCTTAACTTGGTCAAACAATTCCTAAAATATTTTCTTATTTGAATCTATGTTATATTAATCTTGTGTATTGAAGATTATATGTTCAAACCACTATTGAATCATTAGCGAGTTTTTCTATGGTGCCACAATGTGAGAGCTGAGAAAAATCTCCGACTAGATTTTCTAAAGAATCTGATAATTTTTCCATCTGATAAAAATTCCATTCAATCGTTACAGTCTCCTGTCTTTGTGCTTCTGTCGGGATATAGATCCATAGATTACAATTACATTCATATATTTTCCTCCTTTCCATGACTCATTGAATATTGATATATCCGACTCCCGGACCTACGTTACTACTACTTCTATACTACTGTATAGTCCTTAAAGTACCATTACTTATTTAATACAAGTACTAGCCTTGGCTCTTTCCCTGTACATGTATAAACACTATTAATGGTGAAAAAGCTGATGATTAAAGTCTTGATTTCGCTGAAAAGAATCATTATACTCTCTTTAAAAGTTTTTTAAAAGATTTTTGAGAATTCTACTGTAACTTGCGTTCAATTGAACTTCAAAATACGTTCACCTACTCCCCAGTGATACACGAATGGACTGACTTTTTTATTGGTTACGCGAGAGCAGAAACTAATGTAACTTGAAGTATTTCCTTATGAACTTTTTTCTGAAGAGAGTTTTATAAAAGCAAGAAAAAGCAAGTAATGTTGAACTTGTGAACGAGAGACATAAATGACAGGATATCTTTTGATCGAATTATAAAAAGAAGCATCGCTGTCTTTATTAAAACTATGTTTTGCAATGCAGTCAAGATGACAATAATGCTCCTGTTTGAAATAACAGTGTCTATAGCTCCACCTAATTCCTTTATAATAGAGAACTCTGTGTTAGCTTGCTATAAAAATAAAATTAGGTTATTTTATTATCAATACTAGCAAGAGCAATTGCAGACATACACTATGTTAGACTATTTTTAGCAAATAATAAAGAAGCAGGCAGGAAAATGCTAATACTCAGCATCCGTGCAATCATCGATTTTCTTGCTTTTCTATTAGTCAGCCTTTTCAATAAGAAAAAATAATATTTTACACGAAAAAAAAAAAAAAAAAACATGCAATAGATACCATTCAACAATTGGTGCTGCAAGGCACCGTCAAGCAACAACTTACAGCATCAATACATTATTTTGCTAATCAAGTTGAACGTATAGTTGTAATTGCTTTTGGAATAACCATTTTTTTTATTTACTACGTTCACAGTTATGACAAGCATTGACCGCTAATTATCCAAAAGACTTTTTTTGAATAAAGAACTAGCTCGATGCTTTATCATTTTAGCACATGTCATCATAGCTATGATATTATCAGTACAGTGCACTCTTGATTACGACATACAACCACACGTAGTATTCTCGATATTAGATTGTGGCTTTTGAAAAGCTTAACCGTCCCCGCTTTAAGATTTCAACCTCGATTATTGTATCAGAATTCGCCTTCGTGCCTTCCATACTCCATTATAAAGAATTTTGAGTTGAAAATTTTCAGGATTTCATTGGATATGATACTGGAAAGTCTAATTTATTTTTAAATTGGAAGCCTGCTTTTGTATTTCCATACACTCTTTGTTTGCTCTGCCTAGCATCAATTCCAGAAGTTTGAATTCCTCTGTATTCCTTAGCATAATACTTGCCAACGCCAGCTTTAGTCCCAATTTAGCAGCGGTTCTTCTGCGTTTGGAAAGACGCTCTCCTTTTTCTTCATCGATGCCTTCCTCGGGATTCTCCGTGATCTGTTCCTCAGTTAAAGCTTCGAGCTGTACCTTTAATTTAAATACACTTTATAAGAATTGTTTCTATTTACCTTCACCTCCGTGCATTTCTTTGTCCTCAGTATCACCAAGCATATCAACTTCCTCTATGCTAATATCAGGATGCATACCCGAATACATACGACTGACACTTGTTAACACAGAATCCGTTTCTTCAGCAATGCTAGCCTGACTTACGCGCTTAGAATGGTTGGCTGACGGTTCAAAGGTTCCTGTACAATCAAAACAGTTGCTAATTGCTTTGGTCGTGACATTCTGCCATGCATTAAGCACATAGTTCATTGTTGCCAACTGATTAAACGCGTTTAATTCTTTGCAAATCAGAGGCAGCAGTTTTCTTCTATATTTTCTCTCTTTTAGCTTCAGCATATACTAAGTGGGCCTTTCTGAAATGCAACGACCTATGTGTAGATGAGATCAAGGATATTGTTGTTGCGCCATCACAAAACTATCAATAAATATTTGTAGTAATCGTTAGTCAGCTAGGAGTTCTTCCATATATGACCTATCATATGTGAGTTTACTCTTAGGGTGCCATTACAACATCTATATGAAACGTCTGTGCTCTAACTTCCAGGTCAACGGTTCCTTATTCGACAAGACATTGCCAGATCATGTACCATCTCATTACAAGTCACCTCGAACATACGTCGAACCGATGGTTAATATTAGTTAGTTTCTTCGCAGTTATTCCCATTGTAGCTGGTCGCTTATAGGCGCGCTTATGATATCCAATTATTATTATTGATTGTAGATGTTAAAAAGTACAAATACTATTATTTTATTCATCGTAAATAAAGATATCATATATTTCAGTCTCACTGACTTATTGTCCTTTTTCTATTCTCTTCTTATCTTATTAGTCTTTGTCTCTTACCTTTGTACTTGGCAAAACAATTGTCATCAAATATATCGCTGGAAACGGCATACCGGACGATGCCTACACTCTGGGACCAACTGAACTGAGAGATGACCGACCTGTCGATATGCTTTACCTTCCTCTTAATGTAATTACCAAGGGCCAGCACTGCATGCACCAGAAAATAAGCCAAATAATGCAAATACAAGTTTATCATAATTACACGTTATTGACCAAACCGAAAACATAAAATTAAAACAAATAACAATGTTTTTTATATTTCTTTTTATCTCTTCTTCTTGAAATAAAACACAAACCAAGATGGCGACTTTATAAAATCATATTTAGCTTGACGCTACTCATTGAAAAGGTTTGGTGACGACATTACAGGTAATGGGCAGGGGTAGTGTTCATAGAATTAGTTTAACTTCTGGTATATTTTCTGGCGCATGTGGTGTTTTCCTTTATCGAAAGCCTTGCCCCAGTGACTGTAGAGGCTCAAAAAAAAAAGTCGACAAGGATTTTGTTGGTCGAGCGATCCTCTACTTTTTGAACATTTTCAATGCCACAAGTTCACGCCCCTATCTCGCTATCATATCTACTGGGGGTTTCTTCAGCAAGCGATTTCGCGATACCACATTCAACAAAAAGGAGGATGGCCCTTTCTACACTTACCCCTGCCAATCGTGAGCAGAAAGTACCAAATTTTATACAGTGATAACGGTAAATAGTAGGTCGTTCCTTCCACAATGGCCTAGTTGGCGAAACGGAGACGGAGGATGTGGTGGGTACCCGCTCTTGGTACCAGTCCTGGTGGCCTTTTCCCAGCCCTAAATTACTCTAAAATTCTTAGCAACTTTTCAGGTATAAGGGACGTAGAATGTAGAAAAATTATTTTTTTATGTAATTATGACAATAAAAGCGCGAACCGAAGGCATATGATCACATCCTCCGTCTCCATTTCACTAACTAGGCCAATGGCACTAACCCAAAAATGATTGTCCCTTTATGTCTAGAACCCTTGTCCTTTTGAAATAAAAGAAATGTCACAATAAGTCAAATTGAATTGACCTAAAAATGATATGTATTTTTTGATTTCAAAATGATTAGAATGTAGTTTTATTATAATATTGAATGATTTGTCTTTTAGAATGACTGGCAAAGTTGTATAGAATCTCAGTAGGTATGGTATTACATGCTTTAGCAATTCTATCAGGCAATTTTTCTTCAGTCAACAGTTTGTGGCGTTTCAATTTTCCTTTTAAGATTGCCCAAAACTGTTCAATTGGGTTTAATTCAGGCGAATATGGAGGCAGATACATCGGCTTACAGCCACAACTTTCGATTTTGGTAAAAAAACAAGTCAATCACAATTTTTTGTATGTTGCTATGTTTACTACAAAAATTGTCGTCAGTTTACGTCTTAGAATACATATTGTCACTAATTATCTGAGTAGGTTCTTTAGATCACTCATGTTGGTGGTGAAACCGGCATAATCAATTGCCACTATGCATATCTTCGTCTTCTTCTCCTTAACATAAGTTAAAAAATCTATAAAAACCGTGTTAATCCTTCAAGGTTTGACTAAAAGTTATATTATTGTTTAATTCTATTTTTTTCACCTTATGTATTTCCGTGGATTTTATCTAGGCTGGATAGAATACCTTGGTCAAATAAATCTCGTTTGCTTAAAGCTTGCTTAACACTGCTACTGGGAGAGACGAACACTTTTTGCACGAGAGATCTTTGATACAGTATGTTTATCATTCTTTCTAGTAGTAAAGCCCGATTGTCACATGCTTTTTTCGACTTCCTGCAATACCCAATGATTTCGTAACCATCATCTTTGAGTTGTTTAATGTATGTATGGTGTCTGGGGGTTGTACTGACAATGTTATCTACAACTTCATCTATAAAACTGGAATCAGCCTGTTATCTTGTCCTATAATACCACTTTCAAGCTTACCATGATACTGACTGTCTAACACGCTCAAAATCCTGATTCTTAATTTTCTGGTTTAGATCCTTGAATTTTCAATACTTTTCGCTCAGGCTCCTGATTTAAGAAGTCGATGTCTTGTTTCTTCAACCATTGGTTGAACCCCAAAACCGTAGTCTTATTGAAGCGCTCTGTGTATTTCCGAAGTACCTCCAAAACAGTTTTATCAGAAGCATGTGTTAGCTTGAAAAGAGAGTTTGTAAAGTGCTCTGACTTTGGACGATAGACATAGTTTATAAAGTCCACAATTTGTGTTTCGTTTTCTACTTTATTTTTAATAAGAATTTTAGCTACCAAGTTACTCTCTGACTCACCAAAGCTGATATTCTTATTCGTATCATCCTCTTCCTCTTCTTCACATTTTTCTTCTAGATCTTCTCTTGATTTGTAAAGCTTATATAGATTTGGAGCTCCAAACACGCGGGCGTTACAAACAAGGTTTGGCTCATATGGATTTTCACGATAACAAACCTGAATGTCCTCCATCTTCTTTACTCTATCAGTACACATTTTTGCATTCAGATCATTATACTCTTCACAATAGAAAATACAGCAAGCTTGTTCGAAGCAGATGGGGTTCATTTAGTCAATATCCAGTAAAAGAGTGATCAAGAAAAGTGGATTTGGACCGGTTGAAATTTTTTTATTTTCTAAGCAGTGAAATGGACCAACGATGAGGAAAATCGAAAGCTGTGGCTGTAAGCCGATGTATCTGCCTCCATATTCGCCTGAATTAAACCCAATTGAACAGTTTTGGGCAATCTTAAAAGGAAAATTGAAACGCCACAAACTGTTGACTGAAGAAAAATTGCCTGATAGAATTGCTAAAGCATGTAATACCATACCTACTGAGATTCTATACAACTTTGCCAGTCATTCTAAAAGACAAATCATTCAATATTATAATAAAACTACATTCTAATCATTTTGAAATCAAAAAATACATATCATTTTTAGGTCAATTCAATTTGACTTATTGTGACATTTCTTTTATTTCAAAAGGACAAGGGTTCTAGACATAAAGGGACAATCATTTTTGGGTTAATGCCATTAGTTTTGTTTAAACATGATATTTTATTGATGGTCCAAATGAGCGCAAAAATAAAATAATATAACAAATGTCCGCCTGGACTCGTTCAATCCGTTTGGAAGTGAATGGTAGCGAAAAAACCCCTTATGGGTACAAGAGTAAAAAATGTAAACGGAAATTAATGAGTAGGGTTATCGATGAAAAGTTAAATGAATTGCTTTAACCATATAAGAAGCTTTTGACCATGGGGATGCTTAGTAGAGATCAATTTGTTATGGTGTAACTGATCTAATTCATGAAGTAGAGAGCATATAATCGGTCATCGTTGAGACCAGGTGAGGGCTAGGTTTGGGGAACTGAAGGGCGTAAAGGAAGCATATTTAGAAGGAATGACAATGGATCTCGTGTTGTTTCAGGCATGAACAGACATCGATGTATATCAAGGCAACTAATAGCGTGATTCTTAGATAGCTGTTGCGTTGGGTGCTTAGGACATGGTCGAGGTTTGCCACCAGGAAGCCAGCCTAATCTCCAGCGTATACAACGACTGCGCTCTGACTTAGGCATGAGCAACCAGAGTATAGGATCCAGAGAGGTTGATCAACGGCAGCTAGAAAGCAATTTGGAGTTTCGGCATCGTTGGCGGATCTCCAGATTCTGTTGCAAAAAGCGCCGTTTAGCAGCCTTGAGTGAGCGAGCATCGTGTTCTTCAGTATTAGACAGCACCGTTTTCCAAAGCGCTGTGCGAGATAGAGCGTACCACTGGCTTCTTCTGGTATTGCAGATATAAGGTAACAGACAAGCAAGCAGTGCATCTTCTGGCAAATATAAGGAACGAAAGATGAACTGTGCCTGTAGTATACTGACTCGTTCCGACATAAAGGGTAGCTTAGACATGTGAAGCATAACCTTAGTGGGCGCTTTACCTTGAACACCGTAGATTTTCTTGATACAACTATTCTGGACTTCCTCTAGAGCGTGAAGTTGAGAGACCGTGAAGCGATTGATAGCTAGGCCGTATTCAAGCTGAGGTCGAACGATGTGAGCGTAAAACTTAGTGCAAAGAAGTTTGGAGAAACCGGAAGGATTCACGCCAGCAGATGACAGCATGTTCATCGTTGCAAGAGCCTTACGGGTATTACGTTGAATTAATTCTTCTGGATCGAGGTGCTCGCCCGGTTTAAAGGGGACGCCAAGGTATGCGAAAGTTGCTTCTCTTGGTAATGACTGATCGTAAAGAGTATATGTAATTGGATCTGTGCTACTGTCCAAGATCACGCATTTAGATGGATTCCATTTTATACTATTTGTATACTATGATTATCGCATTACCGCAGTAGGTCAACTATATTTGAGCGTTCGGCGATGAGAGCTACATCGTCAGCATAGAGTAGGCAATTCAGGGACGATATCATTTCCAGCGGCGATGAGCTAGATGGAAGAACTTGAGTGCGCAGTTGAGCTGGTAGTTGGTTGATGTATATCGAGTAAAGATACGGTGAGAGTATGGAGCCCTGTAAAACGCCTGTTTTTGGACGAAATCGACGAGAAGTAGCATTAGAAAGTAAAACTTCGATTTGGACGTCATCGAAAAGATTACGTAGTAGGCTCAGTAAAGGAGGCGAGATATATTGATTGAGGATTTCCCAAACGAAGCTGACAATCATTTTTGGGTTAATGACATTAATTTTTTAGTAAGTGACATTTATTTTTTGGTTACGGACATTTAATTTTCTCAAAGTGACAAAATTTACCGTTCTCACTGTACCCCTTTAGATGAAATGATTGCTCTGTTCCTTGTTTTTGTCAAGCAGGAAAAGAATATCATGCTACTCGAAAAATATGATGATGCTACCATTCAAGCCATATACAAAGTTGCTCTTAACATTTGCTCCATTGAAACAGACCAGATAGCAAAGCAGACCGTAAATGTACAATAGCTTCGTGATATCGTTGCATACCAATTTCAAAAGGTTTTGAACGAAGGCGATAGGAAACGACAATTTAAATATGCTGAGGATGGCGTACATTTTGCACGTCAATTCAAACGTAAGTGCCTACCATCGACAGATGAATGGTGCGGTCATCCCATTAAAAGCATCTGCGAACAACAAGAAAATGCAGACTTGGTTTTTACCAAGGGCAAGAAGGCAATCAATATTGGGCGTTTTAACTGGACAGCATACTACAACGAGAGTAAGCTTGAAGGCTTTTTCCAATGACATAGCAGCCATGCAACGCTACGAAAGCATTTGAAAGAAAAATCTGATAAAAGACAATATTTGACCCCAAATGAGATGAAGGACTGTATAATTATCTCACTAAGATCTTAAACAAGAAATCTTTTACAAATCATTGAATCTCTTGAGTCTCTATTGATAAGAGGCAAATAGTTATTAGTAGATCAAAGATAAACATGAAAGTCTCTTTTTTTCACATTTAATTTACTTCTTTGGTTAGTGCTATGATGTCATATGAAATATATACTTTTATGGGCAAGCTAAATACTATAATGGAGTATGCTTCTTGATGACACGCTGTAGTAAATAAAATGATGTTGACAAAGAACCCTTGCCTAAGGTTACACAATATGCAGTAGATGTAATTGTGACAGCTAAACTTTTTACAATGAGACAAAAAGAAATCTCGTAGCAAAAGATTAGCTTTTTTTCTTTCTGTTGACTGAGATGCAGGCATTAACAAATATAAGAAAAATAGCATTAAGACCTTCTTTAGTTGTAACATATAATCATGAGCACATGAGTATAGAATGCTAACTTTATAAACAAAAAAGTCTCGATCAGTGACCACAACAAGGTACACACGCGTATACAAAAAGGAGACAGCAATCCCAAAAAAAGTAGAAGAGGAGCAAGTGAAAGCGATTGATAAAGTAGAAGCTGAAAAACAATTAAATTCACCCGTGGTCGACTTTCCAACTACTACTCAGTTTGATACATTAAAACTGGACAATCCACCTGCAGAAGGTTCGCATAACTGGTCTACTTCCTTCCATGGCCTCTCAACAGCTCGTTTCCCGGATGAAGTTGCAAACATATTACTTGAACCTATTAAACCTGAAGATATTGAAATAAAACCCGGTAAGCTTTTAAATATCAGAATATTCCTCTTATGAAGCTTATGTTTGTTTTTTACTACAAGATGGTATGCTTTATCTACCAGAAATCAAATACCGTCGTATTTTGAACAGAGCATTTGGTCCAGGTGGATGGGGCTTAGCACCTCGTGGAGAGCATACTATTTCCCCAAAGAATATATCAAGAGAATATGCCCTGATATGTGCCGGGCGATTTGTTTCACAAGCTAGAGGAGAACAAGACTTTTTTGATGTCTCTGGTTTACCAACTGCAGCTGAAGGATGCAAGAGTAATGCGTTAATGCGTTGCTGTAAAGATTTAGGCGTAGCATCTGAATTATGGTAATATATAAAAGTTATCATCTATAATACATATTAATGTCTTTTTTAGGGATCCTGTATTTATCCGTAAATTTAAAAAGAAGTATTGTGTTGAAGTTTGGGCTGAACATGTAACAACAAAAAAGAAGAAGAAGTTATGGAAAAAGAAGGATGATACATTAGGTAAATATAAATAAAATGTAAAGCTACAAGTAACTCATGATCTGTCTATTTAGAGTATCCTTATAAAGAAACTTAATTCCCCCTCTCTCTCGATACAATTTACAAACAAGGTAAAGCTATAAAAGGGCATATTATGTCACTTGAATCAATTATTCACATGTATAAAACCAGTGGAACTTTTTTTATTATTATTATTTCCATCTTTTCATTCAGTAATAAAAAAACCATGGCACTTCATTCCATTCTAGCCTTTCTACTATTCCTTAAGTTAATCACATTCATAGTCAAGAGTGATACAGAGCAACAAGAAGAAGAGGAGAAACCAATGTTGATCTGCCATCCAAGTACAAGCACGCCTACTACACACACTACATTTTAATTCACACGTATTATCCAACATTGAATGCATATAAAACAAGTAAATGACAACTGTGAAACTCGTCTTGCTGTCTCCTTTTAAATTTTGGATAAAGCTACAAAATGATAAGTGGAAAAGAGGATCTGTTGATGATGTAGACAATATCATCTCTAATCTAATGATCATTTTTTTTTTACCAAAGAAGAAAGGTTGTCAAGTGGTGTTTGTATGTGGAAAGATGAATATGGCTGGAATAATAATAATTTCTCTTATTTGTTCACTTGATCAACCCATTTGATACACTCTTGAATAAAATAACTTTAATTTTCCCTTTTATACTAAATGAAAGTGTTGTCCATTTATCGAGAATAGAATCACTTTAAGAGTAAAAATAAACAAGGAAAATAGATCATCTGACTAAATATCATCAGTTCTTTACTTCTACGGAAGCACGTAGTATTGCGGCACAATACCCAATGTTTACACTTTGTTCTTTTAAAAGAATATTCTATGTTTACATGAATATCACTTGAATTTGGGCGTCACAGCTTCTTCATGCTTAAATAAAAACTGTGTAATCCAATGTGATATCCATGCAAGCGTATTGCAGCACTACAAAAGGTCTGGTAGAGTAAGACAAGAGACACACGCGAAATACCTTCATTCGCCCTACACATGAGTAAACAAAGCATGGATTTGTCATGTTTACAACATAGAGCAACTATATTTTCTGTTTATTATCGAAAATAGTATTTATACAACTGGAAGCTTTTGCACAGCAACGGAATTGAAAGAGACCGGGCTTTCTTTTGTTTCCAAGTCATGTCTATATCTAATTAGAAAGTCTTCCAATTCTTCCGGAGTGTTTACTCCTAACATTGGACCTAACACATCTTTAGCACTCTTTACTCCTTCTAAGCTATCCCAAATAAACATCTTTGCCGTAGATGTACCAGAACCTATTATAATTAGATACTATTGCCTCTGAATTTATCTTAATACTAACTCATATCGCAAGTTCTATAATCAGATTGAACAATCTTTATGTTACTATGTTTTGACAGCATCGTCTCGAGCTCAGCTCCTATATTTGGATTCTGTCCTCTTGATTTGCAAATGTGATGATCTGACAAAATAAAAAGAAGATGAAATTAATCTCTTGAAACAAAAAAAAAAGAAATGTTTGAACTTACAGCCCAATACGGCTTTATAAAGTAAGCTAGTGGTGTCCTTTGGTACCTAAATAAAACAAAAATTAATATCCATGGGAATCAATAATCATAAACAGCTTACCTTTAAATCGAAATCGGACACTTGGATCATACCTCCTGGTTTAGTAACTCGTATCACTTCGCCTAAAGCCGTTGGCCATTCATTTTCTTCACGGAGAGCAGCCACAAAGAATCTCATATGAACAAAGTCAAACGTATTATCTTCATATGGGAGCCCTTTGATTACGTTTCCTTTGCTAAAGGTAAATTGATTTACCCTTATTTTCTTGTAGGTAATGTCATCTATATCACATCCATGATAGGCACAATTAGGATACTCTTGTACCATGTCCTATCGTATGAAAGAGTAAGTACAGTGACCCATGAGCTTACACTATTACTTACCATAACCCATATGCCAGATCCACATCCTACATCAAGAATGTTGATTCCCTTTTGAAAGTCCAAAGCATCTATTACACTAGGTAACACATTTCTTTACCAAAAAAATTAGCATAGGTTAGCAATATAAAATATACCCTACCCTCCATATAGGCTCTTGAAAGCATAGTGTTGCTATGTCAGTTAGTTAGTTATTAATACATAAATGCAAAAAGTACTTGTTTTTACTCCTGTAAGCCTCATTTGCTCTTCATCGTCCTTTGGCAACCAATATGTCGATGTCTTATCGTTATGATACACCCGTTTGATATTTGTAGCCATAGAATTGACAGTAGTTGCTGGATTGACTATAGTCTTACTCCCTTTGTGCATGTCCATCGTCTTGCTAAATTTATTTTTATCCATTGTATTATGCTCACTTTGTACACGTTTAGTCTCCTGTGAAGCTGAGAAACGGCTGCCCATCCCTTATTGGATAAACTTGTAAACAAAGAAGAAAAAAGGTCTTACCGTAAAAGTATTCTTTTGGGGAAAAGTGCTAAACAAGTTAGAAAAAGCTTTGGATTATTAATATCCTCCCGACTTCTTCTAATTGCTACCAGGAGGTGCTACAAAGCGCGCAGTACTCGGTCAAAGCGAAAAAGAAAAGACCAGGAAGTGGTACTGTCGTCTGAGAGTATGGGGATACAAGTCATCAGATTATTGAACTCAAAACAAAAGATGTGGTACATTGCTCTTTAAGCCGCGCTTTTTTATTTGCAGTTGGGTTTTTCTTCTCTTTTCTTCTGCTGTTTGAAAATTCACAAAGTACTATTATAATACCTTCCTATTTAACAACTTGCTATACCAAAAGAATAAGATGCACCCATATGTCATCTTCATCTCAATAACCCAATGTTTGCTGTAATGCATTGTTCAACATGTCCAACATTGATATGAGTGATGATAAGTGTATATCAGCTATGAAAGTGTAGTCTGTAGCAATCAAGGAAATAATGATACAGAAGTACAGACAAATATGAGCCTTGAGGATATTCTTTCAAATGGCTCCTGTATAAATTATTATTGAAGGAGCAAATATGTGGAAACGAATCAAAGTATCTCAAAAATTCTGGATGAAAGATTGGAATACAATGCCTACAAGTACGGTTGAATGTAACTCAATCTTGGTTGACTTTATTCCCACTTTAAACATCGTACTACAACTCTCAAAAGGTATAATATATTCTTTCGAGGCGTCGTTAACATTAAAAAGAATTTATATCATTCTTGATCAGCATCCATGGCTATCCTTGAACAGGAAAACCTAAATAGAAAATGCGCCTATTCATAAGCCAGAAACAATTGTTGAAGAGATGAGTAAGAGGTGCTATAAAATGATATACTTTCATCATTCCATGCCCCATTGAGGGGTTTTGGGCGAAACTAAGACGCATGTACGAAGATCCCCCTTAATGATAGATCGCGACAATTTGGCTGCAAGAGTTCGAAAGGCCGCTGAAATGTCACTTCCAAAGATTGTCAAGGATGAATTAGGCATTCTGAGTCGTTTTTGAACAGTGTTTAAATAAAAGAGAGCTTCTTTAGTTCGGTTATGAAGTCGAAAGCTCAATGACATTGGGTGGAAATGAAGACACACGAATGGATGAAATAGACAGGTGAAGCAGGTCAAAAGTTTTGCCACCCTGGTCAAAGTTGGAGATCGTTCATCAACTTTTCTACGACAAACTCTATAGTCAGGACTTGCCTCAGCCACATTACCAATGGATCATCTTTTCCTGTGTGCCTACTTTGATCTCATCCATCAGAAGCCCTACAATGTTTATTCGCTGCTTACCCACTCAAATGGAGCATATAGTAATGTCTAATCCCCTAGTATTGTCTTGGTACTCCATATGATATATTTAGTATATAGCATCTCATTACCGATCTCAACGCTTTTCAGTAACTCTATAACGATCAATTATACCTAATAGTGATATGTACTGCTCTCATCATCTAGCGACGAGTCATTGATAACATATCTTTTCCCATTCCTACTCCCGCCTCACAGTTTTTCAAGATTTTTGGTCCTCTACAAGATGACCGAAACTCTGAATTTCCAACTTAACATATGTAGTATCTTGTTGCTATAAAAGCACACCTTTTATCACGACGTGTATTATATATATTTTTTTTCTCTAACTTCCACGCAAAAAAAAATAAAAAAAAAAAAGATCGTCATTATCGTTTCACAAAGAAATTTCCAGGGATTCAACTAAAATTATCCCATAATTTTCCAGGGAACGGGTTTAATCGACAGTCAAGTAAACGGTAGAAATACATCCTATAGACTTGTAAGTAATAGGTTTCTGTGGGCTCCAAGTAACAATACGCACATAGGCTAAGCAGTTACGTTAGATGACGTCTTTAATTAAGCATGAAGTTTATTTTCAAAAAGAGATGAAAAATATTTAGTAGCAGACCCATCGGTCACCACCATCCTTCTTGCACTGAGGAATAAAGTACTTTGTGGTATTGTCTTTGGTCATGTTGTAGCAAGTGGTTCTTCCAAAATCAGTGTGCTTGCTGTCAGTACCAACCTTGAAGCTTAATTCTTGACAGACTTTTCTGGTAAGAACAGTAGGACCTCTGGCACACTTGCAGGTCATGGCAGAAACAGCAGTAAAGTAAAAAATAGCGACAAAGAGAACGGCAAAGAGCTTAGAGTTCATGTTGATTTCTGTTTGATCTGAAAAAAGACAGGAAAGAGGAGGCTATTTTTATATACTTTTAAAGTCGGGTACGCAAATCACATTGCATTACTTGTTACTTGAATAACTGATTAATAGATTCACACACAGTCTCGTTTAAATCAAATGGTCACAAATGAATAAAAAAAATACCTTCATACACAATGTTTCCTTTTTGTTGAAAACTGTTACCTTTCGGGGAGTACATTCATGGTTCACTAAAGAGTGGATGTCCGTCTTCCAGTCATTCCTTTATGTCTCGGTAGTACGTAGTTCTCTTTCTTCCCAAGAATACTGTTCTAGAAGAAACGCGCTGCATGATTACACGTCATTGTATTCATTAAAATAAACCACATAGCTTTGGGGTTATTCTAAGAAAGTGAAAGTAAAGGTATCCAGTCTTACCAATCGATCAGTAGATCAAAGTTCTTTGCAGTTAAAAGTCATAATACATGGCTTACTATGTATACTTGCACTGTGATGTCTCTCTTTAATGCTTAGCAAAAGATCAAGTTGGTATAAGGATCCTTTACAAATGTAACACACACAAAAAAGGAATGGTGAGAATAAATCTATAGTGTCTATGAATATACACTCATTTCAGTTCTTTTCGTCAAACTGGATTCCATTTAGATTGATTTCTCATGCTTTGAAGGTGAGGCTAACCATATTCAAAATCAGACTTACAGCCATTGAGCCGTTATGCTCTTGGCAATAATATATCGATGCATGGCCAAATTAATAGTTAGTTGAAATACATCCTCATATTTGCGTATTTTTTGTTTCAGTAACTTGCTAATCGTATTCACTCTATAAATGCTTTATCATATAGAGCATAAAAATATCATAAAAGGAAGTGAGGGTATAAATGATTGAGACTTTAGTGAATTAACATAAGAACATACTGCAAAAGGAAGAGACACATTAGTGATTGGGATGGTAGTGGATTGAGGCATAGGCTATTTAAGGACTGTGATATATGTTGATAGGATTGACAGATTCTGAGCCGCTTTCTTTAGGAGTAACTACAGTTTCTACCACGGGAAATTTTTGCTTTTCAATGCTTTTTTCAAATGTACGCTTTGTTCTACAATTCAAGCTTTCCAAGTATACAACATCGTCAAAAAATTTTCCAAGAAATCAAGTTCAACCATCTCTGTGGGAATATGGAAGCCACCAAGCGATTGACAGATGAAATAATCACCATGTCTTCTGACTTGTACCATACAGCCGCTTGGACCTACGAGATCAACATATATGAAGTTGGAAGTATTGCCTTGCAACAAATAGTTGAATCCGTTCAAGGTTTCAGCATTTGTACGATGGTTTTTAGCTTGCTGGCATATTTGTGCACCGACAACAGTATCTTCTCGTTTTGTTTCAAAGCTTGCCAGGCTGATTAAATCCTCCTGTTCTCCAACAGATACAAATATATCTACTCGTCTACCAAATTGGCTTTCAGATGAAGGGGTAGAGGTGTCAATACAACCACCGTCACCGTCAAATACCAAAATATCAGTATCGTCAAATATTATTTCAAGAATACTGATAAATTTTCTAACCCAAAATGCTCCTAAGAGCCTTTTGGGTTTCTTGATCACTGGCATAGCGTTGATTCTATTCACACAATAGCGAAAAAATTAGTTATTTTTTGTGCTTTTGTCAGTTCCTATTTACACAGTCTCAACAACACAAACGATTTGATAGCTATCAACACCTTATTAGTTTCTTCATTCCTTAGATGATCCAAGTATATAAAGCTGTTCTTGAAGGCCTTTTACAATGTCTTGGATGTTGCTCACTATCTCCACCGGGCAGTGCGATAATCGGTGAACAAACGATGTTGTCTCTAAAACATAAGAATTCAACTAGATGGGATGAGTCTTTTTATGAACAAAGAAAAGAGATTTATGGCAAAAAAAAATTGCTTCTTTATATGCAAAAGTAAATGTTGTCAACCAGTTACATTCAATGGGTTATATCAATATGACTGTTGTCAGTTACTATAGACTAGAGATGTCATGAATCAGTGTAGTGGCCTTAATACGAGGTATTATGCTTATATCGAATAGAAAAAATGACTTTGGTTTACTAAACAAGACTTCAAGACGTACCTACTTGACGAGTTCAAAGCTTCTGATCTGTGTTGTGCTGTGTGTGAAGAAGTGGGTCTAGAGGGCTGAGCCTGAAAAGCCACCCTACAGCCCGCTGAAGCTGCTACATATTACCACCTAAAAGAATGTAACTAAAAATCAAGAACTCTGTAGAAAGCCGACGACATCTAATGGTATCAGACCAGCCTTTTAAGTTGTAAAATATATATTTATAGTTTAATAAAAAAGCCCCTCTTTTGTACAAAATCTAAGGAGTATCCTCAGCCATTTGCAAAAGGTGATATCTTTTAGGCAGCCTATTTCCTTATAAAATGCACAAAGATCCCTCTCAACGCATGTCAGGACGGTGAAAAGTTTAAGAAAATATAGAATTATAGACTGAAAAATACCCCAAATGTATCACACCATGATTATAAAAATAAAAATATAAAATAGGCGCAAAAACCAGCAGTGTTCGGACGCTATTGAGATTATTTATAAACCTCCTCTCCGCCATCTTTGGGAACCGCGATTTGTCAGCTACTTTGAGCCTTTTGACGTATTCTTTTTAATTTGTGTGAAAATGGTAAGATGGGAAAACTGTTTAGCAATAACGTCCACAGGGGAACGTTTCGCAGAAAATTTTCACAGTCCAATTTGTGAAATGATTTTATTAGGTTAAAACGTATTATGCAATCCTCTTTCAACTCTTTTGTCATTCGACATGACTCCTTCAACTGAAGACACTACTAATGAGCGTACTCCACTCATTAATCAAGCAACAGCTACTCAACGAGAAAGTTTAAAGCGAACGTACCATGTCTATGGAATCACCTTGGGTTTCTTGTTTTTCTTTTCCTTCTTTGTTCACTGGTACCGATCCACACTACCCACACCACTTTCAGACGTTCAAGCAAACAATGCTGATGATTTTGCTGGTATACATGCCTATAATGAATATTTGAGTCATTTTACTGCTCCTCACTCTGGAAATACTCGAGAAAATGGCGTGATGCGGGACTGGATTGGCTCCGTTGCTCTTGAATTTCAAAAGGAGGCTACTAAACTTGGCTTGAAAATGGATGTCATCGCAAATGATACTTCAAGAGATATCATTTCAAGTAACTGGTTTACTGAGAGTAAGTCAAAAGAAGACAAACTCAATTGCAAAGAGACTCACTATCATTACAGACGAGCACTGGTTTATTGAGTCGCGTAATGTCATCGTTAGGTTGCACGGACAGTCTGGAAGAGATGAGGCACTCATGGTTAACGCACACTATGGTAAGTCCATTCGACGTGTTAAAGAAGAAAACAATGTGCTTATTCTCTTGATCAGATAGTGTACCTACTAGTCACGGCGTCACTGACAATGGTATGGGTGTTGCTACCACATTAGAGCTCATCCGATACTTCATTCACCACCCTCCTCAACATACCATTATCTTTCTCTTTAATAACCTGGAAGAAGGAGGTTTGATTGGTGCTCAATCTTTTATCAGACATCCTTGGTACTCATCTGTTAAACTGTTTGTTAATCTTGGTAAGAAACAAAAAGAATTACCGATCCAATTCTGTTTCTCTAATAAGCATAAACTCAGAGGGCGCTGGTGCTGGAGGACGTGCTGTTCTATTCCGTTGCTCAAACCTGAATGCTGTTAAAAAGCTAGCTAGTTCAAAGGTCAGTTTACTGCATGCATCTCCTGCCGGTAACGATATGCTCAAGGCAAATCTAATCAAAAGGTAAATAACAGTAGCAACTTAACAAGTAAGAACTTATGCCCCTTTGTTACTATAGTGATACGGACTATTCCATATTCACCAAGGAAGGCACACCTGGATTGGACATTGCCTTTTATGCACCTCGTTCACATTATCATACTCCTCGTGATGACTTGGCCCATACAACGCCTGGAGCGCTTCAACACATGGGTCAATTAGCATTAGGTGCTGTTCGTGCTATTGCCAACAGCGATGATATGTTGAATACACCATCTGAAAATCAAAGCTTTGTTTACTTTGATATACTAGGCCGCTTCATGTTCGCTTACAGTCTTACCACACTTCAAATTATAAATGGACTTATTCTCTTTCTTGTACCTGCCCTGGGCGTCTATCTCTCGATTTCTTCCAAAAGAGAGAACGAATCCTTTGTGGCTGTGATGAAAGAGCAGACCTATCTTGCTGCTCAGGGACTTGCTGCTTGCTTACTTGCTTTTGCTTTTTCTGTCATCTTTATTGGTGTCGCTTCTTACTTATTATGTTTTATCAATCCTCTCATGACGTACGGTGATGTTTACGGCGCAGCACTCTATATTTTCTTCACCGCCTTCCTTGGTCTACAGGTTTCCCAATTAGTTCTGCCTGCCAAGATGAAACATACTCTGGCTACTACGGATGCTAGCTGGTATGGCCTAGTTGCCTTTTGGTGGATCTTTTTAGTTGTTGCCATATTTGCTGCAAGTAAGAGTGTTGTAAGTCTATACTTTGTGGTCTTCCTTGTGTTCTTTACAACAGTTGCTGCTGTGATTCAAGTCATTCTCCCCCAAAACAAAAAGTTCCGTTCTCCCGTGATTTTCTTTACTCAGATCTTGCTTCCTTTTGTGTTTTTGCTAGAATTAGAATTCATGTCGATGGATGCTATGCGTCATGCTACGGTAGACGGCACACCAGAGATTGCAGGTAACAGTGTGCTTTTTGTAACATTGTTTATGAAGCATCTCACATTTTTTTATAGTATATATTCTTATCTCGCTCCCCATCATTCTTATTATCATGCATTTTGTACCTTGGGTGTATGTAGCCGGCAATAACCGCAGGACGACCATTATTGCTGCTGCTGTCTTTTTATTCTTATTCACCATTTGCTCTGCTCTTGATCCTTTCAATGGCGGATGGTCACCCAACAAGCTTGTGTTTAAACAAGAGTACAACGCAGGTGAGGTTTTTGCAATGGTTAACATTACCACGGCCACAGGTATCCCGGCCATTCTGAAGCAAGCTCTTCCTCGTCATGAATATGAAACCATCAACTGTGCTACGTCCAATACATTGACAACATGCAGGTACCAAACAAAACTTGTACCCAAATATGCAAGCAACGAGACATTGAATGAATTTGCCCTATACGACGTTCAAAAGACATGCCACGACGAGTTGTGTCAAGTGACAGGCGCGTACAGAGCCAAGAACTCTTTGATGTGCCGCGTGTTATTTGACCGCATCTTAGAACACGCCTGGATAGACAACATGAAAGTACAGCATAAAAAGATTGATGCCTTGATCGTCTATGTCAACCAGTATGAGCAGCGTGTCCAGTTTGGCTATGAATATAACAAAAATAACGTGAAACCCAATGTCACATTCAGTTGCTTCTATGACGAATGGACACAACAAGAAATCCCGGCCTTTACAACCCTTCGTGACAGTTTACCTGAAGAGGCTTTATTACTTATCAGAGGTCAAGGCTTAGTTATTTCTCATTTTGATAAAATCAGTTTGTAACAACAATTAAATAAAAACAAGTGTTTTTATTTATCAATAATCGATACAATTAGCACATATACATATGATACGATCTATATAAAAAAAGAAAATATGAATAAAAAAGCTTCTTTTCAAAGTAATAAAAAGAGTAAAGAGCTCAGTGTAACTATGACTATAAACAATAAACTAACATTACGCTCGGTTAACCAGAACGGTTAACCAAAATAAAGCGCTATAGCATATTGGGATAAAGCTATCATCACCACTCCTTCTCTTTTTAATGTATAAAGAAAATCAACACTTACTTTAATCGTTCCATGAGAAGAAAAAAAAAAAAAAAAAAAAATGAACAGAGGTTAATTTATATGAGAGCACAAAAGAAAAAAAATTATTTGTGACTACTTTGCGACTTTCAAATTTACTTGGTTTTTCACTTTTTAAAAAATTTTCGGACCATCAATTGCACTAAGAATAGAGATTACATACTTTTAGAAAATCGATCGCACAACTGTGCAATCATAGAGGAGCTCCTTATTCAAACATACTTGTAGTCTTGAGTCGATATCGATATTAGCGTTGTTGTTATTATTTTCTTTTAAATGGAAATGTCTGATCCTGCAGGTAATTCGACAAGATGGTTTTTGATTGCATACTAGCAAACCAAGATTATTTTACAAACTCTTTCAATTACAGACAACGACTTGGACACCTCCTCTCTACATCTGGATTGGAGGCCCGAAACAGATTTAATAAGCAAACTTTTACTCAACGATCAAAGCATCATAGATCTTATTGTTAAATCTTTACTTGGTATTTGTACTTTTTCTTATACATAAACAAGCTGTTTTTACTAAAATGTGTATATTTTTAATAGACAAACATATTCCGGTGAACACTACGTGCACGAGGAAATCCACAAGAAGGCTAATGCTCCGGGCGCTTCCTTGGGGCACTTCATGTGGCGTCACTATACAACTTCACACGACTAAAGTGTCTGCCTAATCTAAGGCAGTCCAGTGGGATATCCTTTGATATAAAATTACTCTTGAATGGCCTTGGCTCTTTGCTGATCAAGCTGACAACAACAAAAAATTAAAATACAGCAATAGCCACATTTCTTTTTGAAACTTTATAAAAATCATATTCCATACCAAGGAGCATGGAAAGATATCTGCTTCTGAACAAGTTTAGCTTGACGCTGCACATTCAAAAGGCTTGTTAACGACATCACAGGTAGCGTTTGTAACATTAGTCCTCTCGTGGACTTCCTCCTGCGCGTAATGTACACCCATATTCCTGACAACCTTTGCTATTCCGCACAGACAGAATGGTCAGATAGTAGTAAATCAGACGTGACTTGTGTCCCCAAAAGTGAAGTTTCCGACGCTTTGCCCCTCCCCATATTAATTGAAATACAAAACTGTGTTGATCAAAGCTTTTTGTCAAGTTTAATCCGATACTGTACACATGTGTATGGACGTTACAAGATGTTGTCAGTCGTGCTTGCCATTGCTGTGAAATGCTTTTCAAGTGTTGACTTTGAAACAGAATTTGTTACAGACAATAGTGAGCATTTATCCGAAACTGGTGTAAGCATTGGGCCAAGAAATGTTGTTTTATTTCAACCAAATCAATCAAGGAACACGTGAAGCAAACACCAATGAATCAACTGGCAGCATTGGAGTACTCTATGACAAAGCAACAAGATGTTTGCTGTCTGACGTGTTTGATGAGATAATCATTATAATAACTCGAATATAATCTTACAGTAGAGCATACATTCTACTTTACATTCCTCTATCGCATCTGATAAGAATAACTTATAATAATAACTATAATAGCTACTAGTATAACAATAATAATATAAGCAGCCAAAGATTCTCTACCCAAGTAAGCTTTCACACAAACTTAATAATATTTAGCTCTTCTGAATAAAGAATCTAATTCGCAAGTCATCGACTTAACTGCCTTTTTACAATAACAAAGCAGAATACAGCAGTGCTCAGAAAATTTCGTGAAGAATGTGCGAAGGGCGCCCGGATGAGAAAAAGCTTGTCAAAATGTCTAATTAATTATCTATCGGGCGATTATATTTATCTGTATATTAGGGCTTTATCATTTTATATTCTTGATTTTCAATAACTACTCAAGCGTGTTGTCAAAGATGAGTCCTGGTGAAATGGCTTCAACAATGAAAGATTTGGGTGTCAAAAAGAGCTTGAAAGTAGTAAAAGAAAGCGTAACATTGGTCTGTCACAAAATGAACTAAATGTTGCAAGAGGATGGCGCATAGATGAGGATGAAGCAAATGAAAAATTGGTGATATCAGAAGCTGTGCTGACTACGAAAGAAAAGCTGCAACAAGAATAGTATCGTCTCTCTTAAATAGATCTTTGAATTTATCAAGCAGCAAAGAATGTGAATCATATCTATCTATTGAAACCTTACGTTCATTTATTTCAAACTGCAACTCCTCATCATGCAAAAGCATTAAATTTGAGTGTACATACCCAGCGATGGCTCACTTAGAAAAAAAAATTACTAGTAGCGTCGAAGCTGAGGCAACAAGGATTGCATTAGGAACGACACGCAATTGAAAACAATAAACTTTAGTTCACAATTTTTTTTTCTTATTGACTCCATGGCTAAGAAAGTTATAATCACTTAACTAAAATCCCTCTGTGTTTCCGTGACGAACCAAGGGTAATTTTCAACATTTCAGACGAAAAAAAAAAAAAAAAAAAAAAAAAAAAAAACAGAGCAGCAAGGTGCCTTTTTTAATCATTCATGCTGCAGCAGATTGTAAATATACATAACAAGTCTGCTATTTGTGAGTGAAATATCACATTTATTAGAGCTGCATTAAATTTTAAGGGCAAGCTCTCTATCAATTTCTATTAATCTCGCCTTTAATTGATCCACTTGGTTCAACTTTTCTTGTAAACTAGCCATTTCCTTTTCAACAGACTGCAGTTGTTCCTTAGTGCCAATCGTTTCCCACTCCCATTCACCATTGTTTCCTGTCAGACGTAATAGGAACCTGTGGTATTTGAATAATGCTGGACGATGAGAAATTGTCAAGAGTGCTATGAGAGTACAGGTCAGTTATTGTCCAAGGGAATTAAAATAAAGAACTATCTTACTGATGCCCATATCTTTAGCATGATTATACATGAGGCCTTCTACATCGGTTGAGACCGCACTTGTACACTCGTCTAATACTGCAAACTTGGGATGATGGTAAAACAAACGAGCCATGCCGATCTTATATTACTATTAGCATCGCTTTCTTATACAAATATCTCTATACTTACTCTTTGCTTTTCACCTCCAGAGAATACGTCCTTCCATTCCTTCACTGTTTCCCAACCACCTTCTCTATCAGGGATATAAGCTAAATGAACAATCTTTAAGATATCCAAAAGTTCATCATCCGTGCGTCCTGCCTGGATCATTTGTTCTTTTGTATGAGGGTAAATAACTCTGTTCAAAGGTTATATAAGTATCTCCAAAGTTTAAATTTGACGTTTACTCACTGATCTCTTAATGTACCAAGACTCAAATAAGGCTTTTGAGGTATATAGAATATATCACGATCCGTAGGTCTAGTGAGTGTTCCCTCTGAATAAAAGTGATAAGTATTTACAAGATGATGACATAAAGATGTATACCAAACACAGGCCATAAAGAAGCAATCACTCGTGCCACAGCCGTCTTTCCGACACCATTTGGGCCCGTGATCAATAGATGCTCACCGGGTCTCATTTGAATGTTCAAATCTTTAACTAAAAGTTCACCAACACGTCCAGGAGCAGGTGTAATGATAGGTACATGGTCGAACTGGATACTATTATCATACATAATTCTACCACGAATACGGGCAAGCGAGTACTTTTCATCAGGACTATCATATTGATCTTTGCGTAAGGCGTGAAGGACAGAGAGAAGGTTATAAACCCGAGAAGTGTAACCGGCTAATTCTGCCAATTCTTTGTACGAGTACATCATACGTCCGCCTGCATCAGCCAAAGACATCATGAGTCGTTTGTTGGTGATAAATCCCTTAGTTCTAGATCCAACTTGATCCCCATCGGCAGCTTCGGATGGTTGATCACTGACGAGATGAGGGGTAAATACGGGGATGGCACACATGATTAAGCCGAAAGCACTCCAAGAGTATTTAATCAAAAAGTCCTCAAACATGTTGTATCCGATACGAATTTTGAAGATTGAGTTAATATGCTTGATCAATTTAAGATAGGTCTTGTTTAAAATCGAGTGTTCTAATTCTGCGCCATTATAAAACGCGATTTCTTCGGCATTAGTGATCAAACGGGTATGGGCAGCACGAAAATCTCCCTAGGATGATATGAGCACTTTACTTTGGACAATCTATAAAGATTTACCTCTAGTTTGGCTTCAATGGCAGCCAATTTACCGAAAGAAGGAGTTACTGCCCTTAATAATCTTGCAGTGATGATATAGTTGAGAGTAAGTCCGACGAATCCAGCGAAACCGATGGATTTGGTTAGTTGGTAATTGAAGATGATGGTATCAAGAATAGGTTTAGCAAGATTAGAATAAAGAGAAGATAGGGTTTCACAAAATCGGGCTACGTCTGTCGTAATGAATCTAGGAGAAGGATTTAGATAAAATAATACTAATAATAATAATAATACTTTACTGGTCTGCACCTTGGATTCGATTATCCAAGTTGAGTACTTTATAAAATGTCTTTTGATTATCAAGATATAAGTCATGAATGTAGTTTGTCAACCGAGTTCTGAATCCGATTGACAGTTTTGATTGAAAGTAACGAATCTTTAAGATGTTGTTATTAAGAGTATTATACTATATATAAAGGACATACCATGCTATTTGTATAAGTTGCGGGTATAGCAATAGCAAACCAATAAAGTAGCCCTTGCAAGAATCGTTTACCATGACCATTGACCTTTAGTAGAGAATGAGATACCATAAAGAATACTATATGCATATACTTACTAAATCTTTTACTATTCTACCATCCAATCTAGCAACGACTACACTTAAATATGTTCTCAAAACGAGGAATATTGAATGTAGAATGAGTAAAAAGGTTTCTTTTGTTCTCCAATGTGGGAATAGGATAGTTGAAATAGATTCCAACTGTTGTAAAAATTGTTTATTAACCCCCACTTTTTGTTGTTGTGTGTCCATCAAGGGGAAATCATCTCTTTTGGTCCTTGTTGTATAATATTTTTTGATGTTATGTAAGCTTAGGATGACTATAAACAATAAGCTTGTATTAAGCTTATTCTTTCTAAACCATGTATCCACTGGTTTAGAAAAGACAGGCATTGGTTATATAAAAGAAAGAAAGAAAGAAAGAAAGAGCGAATAAATAAAAATTTATTTTCACATGTAAAAACATACGCATGTGATATTATTTTTTCTTTATCTTCGAAGTGCAGCATTAACAGCTGCATCTCTTACTAGACTTGATTTACCCATGTGCGAATAAGCCTCATTCTTGGCTTCATTAAATGTATGTCCTGCTGCTTTATAATGATCATAGGTCCTTTTATAAAGGAAAAGAGCCAAAAATCCCATAGTAAACCAACAGATAGTAGCCAATAGCGTCATCACACCCGTACCAATATAATGGTCACTGAATAATGTAATCAATAGAATCAAGCCCGCACCTCCTCTGTTAATGGTGTTAATATATCTCTTCTTTTGTTTTTATAGTCTTACGTTGATGGTATGCCAACTGCCATATAGAAAGTATAAAGGATATGAAATCCATTAAATATAAAAAAGAAGTCTAAGATGATGTGTGAGTCTACTTTTACTGTATCAGTCTTACTTACAATAATAGAGTGAATTCTCTTTCATATAAGCGTTATAAACTGGTCTGTACCATAAAAAGAAACTAGCCAAGGTATGCGTAAACATCTCTGTAAGGGCAATACCCATATTAGCAGGTGCAAAGTCAACTGAGGATGGATGAGAGAACAAGACACAAAGACACGCGACAAAGTTTAAAACGAGTGTTACCTCGAATAGTAACCATTCTCTATAAATCCACCAAACAGTTGACTGATGTTCAACTGGAATCTCTGCTGAAATGTCTAAATACATCAAGGGAAAACATGGCGGAAAGTTGTTTGCTCCTCTCATTTCTGCTGTATTCCTTTGTCTATTTTCCAAATCTCTTTCTCTATCTGCCAGCTCTCTTTCCTTTTGACGAAGTGCTTCTTCTTTTGCTTTTAGTTCATCTTGTTTCGTATTGGCTGTATCTATTGTTGTTGTGGTCTGGCTAGCATAAGGGTCATGATTATCTGATACATGATGGAAGCTGGTGAATTCATCTTGAAGTTGAATATCTTCAATTGCAGCGTCTTCTATTTTTTGACTTGAGTTTAAAGCAGAAGTAATAGAAGGATCCTGAAAGGGATTTGAAGGATCCTCAAAGGGGCTTTTGGACATGCTTTCTTTTTTTCTTGAGGGAAGAAGGGCCAAGAAAAAGAATTTACCGCTACCATAATATCATTCTTCTAAAAAAGGAAGTCGGTTAATGATCAATCATTCATCCAATAAATTTGGTTTTAGTTGCACTTGTATACAAATGAACAAGCTGATGATGCCCTCTTTCTGATATTGTTGAAAGTTATTGATTATGATGAATATGTACCCAAATGTGATAATGAGCTAGTAAAACAAAACACGCCTTTATTCATATTAAAGCTTTTGGGCAGCAACACAATGAAATCTATATATGCTCTCTTTGGTTTCCAAACTATGCTTGTATTCTCTCAAGAAGTCGTCTAACTGTTCTGGAGTATTTATTCCCAACATTGGGCCTAATACAGGTTGAGTACTTTTGAACGCTTGCACGGCACTCCAGACAAACATTTTCGCTGGAGGCGTGCCAGAACCTACACTCATTTAAATATTAATGTTTCTAGTTCTTAATCCATACTTACTCATGTCACAATCTTTAGAATCATATTGAACAACTTTGACGCTATACTGTTTTGACAGCATATCTTTTAATTCGGCTCCTATATATGGATTCTGTCCTCTAGAGTCGCAAATCTCTTTAGCTGATATAAAGGATATAGTTAACACTGGCATTCAAAAATTATATATAATAAAGACTTACTAGCCGACATGACCTTATAAAAGTAGTTGGAAGGATCTTTGGGCATCTAGCCACAGAAGTTAGTTAATGCGTATGGAATTTTGTGTTTTGTGAATAGCTACATGTAATTCAAAATCTACCAATTGTATCATGCCTCCTGGCTTAGTAACACGTATCAGTTCCTTTATAGCTGCTGGCCATTCATCTTCACGAAGTGCAAGGACAAGGAATCTCATATGAACAAAGTCAAATGTATTATCTTCATATGGGAGCTTATTGGCTACGTTTCCTTTGCTAAAGGTATATCGGTTTACATCCATGCTCTTGTCTCTTGTATCAGCAATATCACAGCCTTGGTAGGTACAATTAGGATATTCTTGTACCATGTCCTATCGTATGAAAGAGTAAATACAATGGCCCATGAGCTCATATTATTGCTTACCATAATCCACACGCCAGATCCACATCCTACATCAAGGACGTTGATTCCCTTTTGAAAGTCTAAAGCACTTGTTACGCTTGGTAACACATTCCTACAAGCATAGTGTTAAACTGATACTTCAAAATGAGGAAATGATGTGTTTACCCTTCGAATAGACTCTTGAAAGCATAGTGTTGCTATGAAGACAGTTAGCCATATATATATATATATCCATGCATGAAAGTATACACTCGTACTCCTGTAAGTCTCATCTGCTCTTCTTCATCCTTTGGTAGCCAATATGTAGACCCTTTGTCGCTATGAAACTCTCGCTTCGTATTGGTAGCCGTAGGGTTGGAAGTAATCGTGGAGTTAACGATTGCCATGGTCTTTTGGTGTTTGTCCATTTCCTTACTAAATGTATCTTTGTTTCTCTAGTAAAATTTAGCTTTTTATGTTGTCAGAATACGGCTGTCTCGTCTTTGATCAGATAAAGAAAATGAAAAAAAAAAAGCTTACTGCAAAGTTTCGCGGTTTAGAAAAGACTAGAGATGTCAAACAAGATAGAAGAGTCTTTAATTTCTCATTTTAAGTCAAAGTATTACCAATGCGTATCACAAAATATGACACTTGCGAACACAGTTTTTGTGTAAAATGAATTTCATCCGCTACGCATCTTTTTTATTCTAGCGGTTGTGTTCTTCATTCAGAAACTTTACATCTCTTTCCTATGTAATTCTTTTACTAGATATTCTATTGATCCTCTGTGGGCGAATATATCCATGTATATATTCAAGTTACCAGTGCCACATTTGGCGGAGAAGTTATGGACTAATAAGTACCGAAGAATTGCAAATGTACTCTTAATATATATTGTTAGTACATTTAAAGAAAATGATAGAAAATTCCCTGTCTCATCGTATTGTTTTCTTTTTTTCCGTTCGCGAAGTTTGTATGTTTTAACTTCATGTCACATGATATCTCTCCTAGGTTCGCTACAGTTGCTATGGCTATTCAGGAGATTTGCTGAGTAAAGCGGCGGAATACAAAGTAGTATTCAAACAAGAGAAGCCTCGTGACAAGAATGATGATAGCAAGTAAATGTGTTTAGCAACTTCCATATATATAGGATACTTCAGGGAATGCGGGCTATCTATTTGATATTAAACAGTTGGTTCAATATTTTGTCTAAAAAGGGACTGTGTTAGTCGTGATTCTTACCCCTTTTTATTTGACAAGAGTTGTAAACGTAAGCTTTATGTTTAACGTTATATAAATATATCAGCTTCAATGCAAAGTCAATTAATACAGGAGGGAAATTGTCATCATTTGGGGAGTTAGAGAAATACAAAATATCAGAGATGGTGCAGTTTGACCATTCAGTAGGCCAAGCTGACTATTGATCTTTTGCATCAGGAACAAGAACAGCCTCAGCGATCATTTTAATTACAGTAGGATCCAATAAAATTTGCTTCGACATTAAATCAATGCCTGATCGACGTTGATGGGGTAGCTGTAAAGTTAGAAGTTGAACGGGAGTGTTTTCCGTTTTTAAGTTTCAGTTTGATACCAGCCAAGTGAAAAAAGAATGATACCTGGTATCAAAACCGCTGTCTTTTGATTTATATTACCAAAAGACAGGTCAATACTTTAGGGTCCTTTTATTTAATAATATAAAGCTGCCGTTAAAAGGATATTTCACTATGGCGCAATTTAGTTTACAAGGATACAAGGGCAAAGACATGTTTGACTACACTTTATTATGATTCTATTAACACATACAAGTATTGAATACATTTTATATTATTTTAAAGCTTTTGGACAGCAACAGAATCTAGGCGATAGACACTCTCTTTTGTTTCCAAGTCATGCTTGTATTTCTTCAAGAATATGTCTAACTCTTCTGTAGTACTTATTCCTAAGGCTGAACCCATTATATATTGAACACTCTTTATTACTTCCAAGGCATCCCAAATAAAAAGTTTTGCTGTATTCGTTCCAGAACCTAAATACAGATTTAGCTATGGTTGCTTATTATGCTCATCTATGGGCTTACTCGTATCACAAAGCCTACATTCGGATTGAGCAATATTTATGCCATCAAACTTTGAGAGCATATTTTCTAGTTCAGCTCCTATATACACATTTTGTCCTTTTGCTTTACAAGTGTCTCTAACTAACGATCCCAAAGTTACAAAACCTTGTATTTAAAGGCTAATGTTTAAACTTACAAGCTGACATAACCCTATAGAATATATTGGTAGTATCTTTGGGCAGCTAAACAAGGAAAATTTTAGAATATAAACCAGTTGTTTAATCACAAACACTTGCCTGAAAGCCAAATTCTGATATCTGTATCATGCCTCCGAGTTTAGTAACACGTATTAATTCTTTTATAGCCGTTGGCCATTCGTCTTCACGAAGAGCAAGGACGAAAAATCTCATATGGACAAAGTCAAACGTATTATCTTCATATGGGAGCCCTTTGATTACGTTTCCTTTGCTAAAGGTAAACTGCTTTACATCTACATTCTTGTAGGTAATGTCATCTATATCACATCCATGGTAGGTACAATTAGGATATTCTTGTACCATGTCCTATCGTATGAAAGAGTAAATACAATGGCCCATGAGCTCATATTATTGCTTACCATAATCCACACGCCAGATCCACATCCTACATCAAGGACGTTGATTCCCTTTTGAAAGTCTAAAGCACTTGTTACGCTTGGTAACACATTCCTACAAGCATAGTGTTAAACTGATACTTCAAAATGAGGAAATGATGTGTTTACCCTTCGAATAGACTCTTGAAAGCATAGTGTTGCTATGAAGACAGTTAGCCATATATATATATATATCCATGCATGAAAGTATACACTCGTACTCCTGTAAGTCTCATCTGCTCTTCTTCATCCTTTGGTAGCCAATATGTAGACCCTTTGTCGCTATGAAACTCTCGCTTCGTATTAGCCATAGGATTCACAACAGTTGTAGTCTCTTTGTAAGCAGTCATAGTATTACAAAAGGTATCTTCTTGGCTTGTAATGTTCCTATCACTAATAGGCTGAGCTCTATGCGCCACAGGAAAACAGTTGCCCATCGTTTATCAAGTAAGAACAAAAGAAGAAACAAAACTTACCTAAGAAGTCACCTGCTTTGAAGATGGCTAAAAAGTGTTGAACAAGATAAAAAAGTTCTAAATTCTCAAATGCTTTTTAAATCAATTAAAGTACTACCATTGAGTGTTACCATAGCAAAAAGCACAGCTCGTATGTAAAGCAAGCCGAGGAAGAGTTGTAATTGGCCTGCGCTTCTAAAAGTAACTCGAACATTACTTCAATTGATAGAAATGTATCATAATTGCTAAACAAAAATATACTTGCAAGAGGCGTCTCTTGCTTACACGAGACAATATGTCAATGTGCAACTGTGCCAATATTGCTGGATAAGGGGATTCTGGTAATTAGATTAAGGCGTAATATTGACATATAAAGTGGTTTGTGACATGCTTCAGCAAAAGCCAGAAAAACGAAACTGAATGCACAATCAGCATACACAAAAGACATTTATCCGGATAAAAATCAAGTGACAACTGATGGCTGCACTATGACACAGTTAAAATAAAAGGCTGTGTTTTATGCATTATACTAGTATTAAATCGCTTCCCATACATACATATAAAAATGAGTATAAAAAAAAAAAAAAAAAAGAAGACTATATTCTCTTAAAAAAGGTGTCAATTGCGTGTTTATATACAAAGCTTCCTTTGTTTGTTCTATTGATTTGGTAAGATTAGATGAGATAGTAAAATAGTATAACAACAGTAGTAGCAAATTTACATATACAAAAGAAATGTTTTGAGCAATCGTAGCAAAAGGAGGGCTATTGCGGTTTTATAGGAGAGAGTTTGGCGAACTTTTTGGTTAGATCGACACCATAAAGATAGGAGGAGGTCATGACTATGAAGGCGCCAAACATAAATACGCCTGACGGTTGAAAGTTGAAGAGATAAATGCTGATCATGCCAGAGACGATGATGGATAAACTAGTCGCAAATCCCTTTAAGATATTGTCTGCATACTTCACTACAATGGCCACTAATAGTCCACCCAATGCTTGATTTGCTACTACTACCCAAGTCAACCAGTCATAACCCTGTAATAGTCCATCTCTCATAATAGGCTGTAAATCATAAGCCAGCATTCCGACCAGCGAAAAGAATGCTCCTGATATTCCTAGTTGAATATTGCGTACCCACATTGAAGTATCTGACGTCTTCAAGATCTTTTCAAAATAACAGCCGGCAAATCCTGAAGAAATACAGCTAGTGATGACTGCAATTAGTCCAATAAGGGGATTTTGAGGCGCCATCAAGATATCGTCTGCTTTTGATGGTGTTGAATTGTTACTGTTTGCAGAACTTGACATACTTTGAGATTGAACAAGAGTCACACCAATCATGAGTAGTAATAGAGCAAACCATTTATCGCGACTTAAACTCCTTCCCAATAAAACTACGCTAAACACAGCCGTCGACATAATTTTCATTTGATAGGTCACCTGGAATGTTGCTGCTTCGAGATTACTTAATGCCACATAGAGTAAGTTGTTTTGCAGTGCATATAAGCCAGAAGGTATAAGCATTTTCAGTGTTTCTCCTGGTTTGCCCAAAATCTCTTTTTTCACCATCAGGCTAAATCTGTCCCAAGAGCCTTGTTGATGTCGCATTACAGCAAGGCACGCCAGAATCTTTAATACCTCGGCTAAAAATACAGCTGTAGATGCCACATACATTGTTTGCCCTGGCTTTTGCACAATTCGTGAATACCTCATCATTAGTACTAGTGTACTATTTTGAGCGACTAGAACTATTAGCGATAACTGTTTTCTAGTTAGACCAAAAAAGACAGGTTGAGCTATTTATATAAGAGATGACTACTCTGTAATCTAGTAACAAATGGTAAACCTCACCTGTATGTTTATTATCTATTGTTGTGATTGGTAGTAGGGCCTTATTTCCAAACGTCCGCCGCGACTGATGATATACAGACATATTGTATTATAATTATTATTATTAGGCAGTAATAATAGTAGTAAGAAAGTAATATTACAAAAAGAAAAAAAAAGGCTAGAAGGACTAATAAAAGTAAGTTCTGAAGAGATGGTCTGTTTGAAGACCAGATATCCAATTAAAATCATTTGCTAACTTACTCTTTTACTACTGTCGTACTAAACTTTCTTTTACCCAACTATTTAAAAGGGGGATAAGAATGATTGATACACAAGCATTTATTTGATCTTTTTTACTTGTGGAATATCTATTTTAAATATAGATGCAAAGGGATCGTCGCTGCTCCACTTTTGCCTTAAAACTCAGAATGACTACAAAGAAAAAAAAAAAAAAACTTTTTAACGAAGCTACTCTAATTGGTTTGTTTGATCATTGGCTTTGAATACTCTAGTTTCATCAACTTAAAGTTTTTATTTGACCATTTCACAATACAAGGTATTGACTCTATTAAAAGCTTACTATGGCTGTCAACTAGAGTCGATCTGGTGATATTTTTTTTCTTGTACCTTCACGTTTTCTTTTAGAGCAGAGTAGCACAAAGATTTGCGTACCTGTAACTGAATGTTGCACAAGGCAATAGTTGTAACCAAGACAACCATTTTCCCCCCTGCAGAAATGAATGCTTATTGTTCCAAGTTACCATGGTTTTTGGCATTCATCATTTTATTAAGGTCCTGAGATTATATAAGCAATTAAAAATAGTGTTATTTTTATGAATAGAAGCTCTTCCATGAATCTTCAAGTAGCGATTCATTTGATCTAACATACTATCTAAATGACATTAATTGCACGCTGGTTAATGTCTACCAAAGATTTAGTGAATATAAATATGCGATAAACAGCTCCCTTTTTATTTTTTTAGCCAAAATCAATGACAAACTCAGCTTTGGTGAATTTATCAAGGTTTATCTAAACGGGACACTTGTACTAACTTGGTATTGAAAGATTTTATTTTTAAAGTGAGAATCATGTATGTAAAATGATATATGTAAAATATGTGTATATAAATGTGTGTTAAATAAAGATAAAAAAAATATGAATGACATTACTTTCTGCCTAGGTGCTTCTTGAACAATGGATGGTGTTCTCTAGTAGATGCGTTTCCACTACCACGACCACGACTAGCAAACTGACCTCCTGCATTACGATTATACTCAATGTATGCCATGTTATCACCGCCCGCCAATGTCTTGGACGTCGTAACTTGTCGTTTGACCAGACCAGTTGAACGATTTTTAGCAGCCACCTTTTTATCAGTAATTCTTCCAACATCATCGACATTTATCAATTCTTCTTCCATGTCAGTCTAAAGTAAAGCAATTAGCATATGCATAAAAGAAAACAATTTGACTGTATATTACTTCATTCGTAAGCAAGACAGCCTTCAAGAGATCCATTTGCTCTTGATGAGTTCTAAACACAATATTGGGATCACTGTCCATTCCTTCTAGATTAGTAATAACCTTGAACGCATAACCTTGATCAATTAAGAATTGTTGTCGCTTTGTTGAGTAGTACATCTCTTGGGTGTCTCGAGATACAAGTGAATAGAAAAAGGCATTGAAACCTTCGTCATTACGTCTTTTGGCCCGAAGAATACGGCCTAACCTTTGTGCTTCTTGACGTCTAGAACCATAATGTGAAGAAATTTGAATCAAGCATGTAGCTTCTGGTAAATCGATACTTGTGTCTCCAACTTTTGACAAAAAGATAGTATTGACAGCAGGGTTATATTGAAAGTTTTGCAAAATACGCATACGTTCTTGTTGACCAGTACCACCATAAATATAAGGCTTTCCTAACTTCTTTGCATATTCCTTTATAAAAAGGATTAGACACGCTTATCATTCAACACTTTCTATACAACTTACAATGAGAGCATACACATTATCTGAAAAGACAATAATCTTATCTCCTCTTCTTTCATGATAATTGATTAAATACTGACATGCTTGGAACTTTTTGGGGTTCATCACATAAAGTAATGTTCGCTTTCGAGAATTCTCATATAAATATTCCTTGTAGAACTCAGGAGTCATTGGACACCATACTTCTGCACATTGAACATTGGCGATGTGACCACGACTAGCTAAATCCATCCAATTCGCTTCGTAAAGCTTAGGACCGATTAAGAAGTTCAAGTCATCAATCTTTTCATCTTCACGCACCAAGGTAGCAGTGAGTCCCAATTTAGCATGGGCTGCAATTGTGGTTACTACAGTACGAAACATGTTTGCAGGAACAACGTGTACTTCATCAAGCAGCAAGAAACCCCATTCACGAGATTCCAAAAACTCCATCATTTTTTGCGCATCATACGATCTCTTACGCTTATTGGCAACCATAGAATAGGTTGATATTACAATACCAGAAGCGCCAGAAAACTTTTCTTTGCAGTCAGAAGTGAAAACGGCAACTTGGTTTTCTTTAACACTGCTCCATTGCAGAAACTGTTGTTTCCACTGCATGACAGATACTGAAGATGTACACAAGACGAGACAACTCTTCTTGATCGTACAGGCAGCAGTAATTCCTACAAGTGTTTTACCTGCGCCACATGGCAAAACAATGATACCGGAACGAGCACGGCCATTACCAAACATCTTGGAAAGACTCTTTTCCTGATATGGACGAATTGTCGTTGTTGGCTTGAGATCAATTTCTAGATTTGCATTCACTGTGTCATTTCTAAAATCATATTCTTCCAACATTGGATAGTCGATATCATTACATCGCTTCTTGATATTCTCAACGTGTTCTGCAGCAATTTCAAAAGAATGAACCTGTTCGCTTCCAAAATCGTCTTCTTCGTCCTCTTTGTCTATGCCAACAACAGCTCCAAAATATTTTTCTTCCTCTTTCCTACGCTCAATTTCTTCGGCAGTCAACTCTTTAGGCTTTTCAGCATTTACATCCTCTTTTGGTTTCTGAACTCCTGGAATAGTCAAATCTTTTCCTGTTGGCTTAGAGCTGACCAAAAGCACGGCTGAACCTGGCGGCGCACTAATGACTTGGTCGTTCTCATCACGGACGACACGACCTGAGCTGATGACAGGATCTTTGAGAAGCATCTGCAAGGTTTCCGGATGCGAAGATTCAACAAAGTATCGATTGTGTTTTAATACGAGTTTTACTTTGCCATAAGATAATGTACATTGACGTATAAACTGTGTTATTGAATCTGGTACTGGTACTTTACTTAGACGATTTAATACTTCAATTATATCCTCTGTCTCTAATCCAACAGATACTGCTGCGTAGAGTGAGTATGGCGTTAACTTGTATTCATGAATATGAGCTGGTCTGCATTGTTTTAAATTAGTTATTTCATAAAAATCAGACAGATATGTCCTTACCGACTCACTGGCTCACTAATAGCAACCAAAAAATCTTGAGCTTGCTCAGCAATAGGTGAAAATCCTTCAAGGATAATGTGTCCATCTTCTGGGCTAATCCATAAAGGCCTCGATTCATGGTCTTTCTTTAAAGGAAGGTATGTATAATCTTCTTTGCCAAAAATGTGTGAAATAAAATCTGTCTTATTTTCTAAACCATCAACGTGTGGTTTCAAAGCATTGATTTCTAAATTTGCATTCTTTGGAACTATTGTTTGTTTCAATAAGATTAGAATGAACAAGTGAATCATGTCTGTTCAATTACCGTATAATTTAGATTGTACTGAAGCATCTAATTGGACATCGTCTTCTTCATCGTCACTATAAGTTTCTATATAAATGGATTCAATTAATACACATGTGCATATATACGCAGATTGTGTAAGCACCTTCAATCTTTCTTTTGTTGCTCATCAAAATAAATTATGGACAAGCAAAAAAAGGGTTGAATTGAAACTAACCGCAGCAAGTGCATTTAATTAAAACTTATACGCCCTTTTTGGAAAATATCCGCACACTTTGGGAAAATTTTTCGTGCACTGCAGAGAAAAAAAATCGTACACTTGAACAGCTGTAGAGTAAAATTTAGGACAGTTTATTTTAGAAAAAAAAACTTATACACCTTATTTCGTACAGTGGTACTTGCAGTGGCTTTTCATTCAAGCAATCTTGATATACTGGCTCGGAATATCGGCGGAAACCTAGTAGATTGCTAATATGGATACTATTGCATGTTTCACCAATCCTAGATATCAATGTTTCTTTTAAAAGCTTCAGTCTTTTAAGTTTGCTCTTGCATACCACGTCCTTTGCCGTGGTTATTGGATACTACACATACTACACATGCAGCACCGAGGATAGTGATGTATGTGTTAAGCGTATTAAGTGTGGTATCCAATAACCACGAGCTTTTGCAAGGGGGTATAAGACGCTGATGGCCAATCTGGTGTTATTAGGGTGGCTGCCGTTGGTTGATGTATTAACCGCTGCAAACATGTAAGGATCAGGATAAGAAACGCTCGAATAACCGAGGGGGAGGAGTGAAATCCGCTCCCGGAGTACATACCACCGCACTGGGGTCGTTGATGGGCAGTGGAGAACTAGCCATTCGCTGTTCGAGGGGATTGATGCGTTGTAGCAAAGTTGTTGCCCATTGAGGAGGTTGTTCATTTGTCATCAATTGAAGCTACGTCGGAGAATTCCAGGAGCGTAGTATAATTTGAAAGAAAAAAAATAATGTTTAGGAGAACCAAATATTATTTTTTTAAGTATACACTATTTTCAGAAAGAAATATCGCGTTGACTTGTCTTTTTTCGTATAAATCGTATTATAAAAATTGCAAAAGATACGACTTTACTTTCTGAAAAGACTGTATTCGACGAATAATAAAGAAAAGAAGTTAAGCAGCAGAGAGCCCTTCCGATCCGGAAGTGTAATATGTGTAGTATGTTGTGGACTATTAACGCGTCGTTTGTAAGTCCCTTGTTTGTTTCTTCCTTATCCTTTGCCTAAACGTGAACACTACGCGCATGAGGAAATCCACGAGAAGACTAATGCTCCGGGCGCTCCCTTGGGGCACTTCATGTGGCGTCACTATACAACTTCACACGACTAAAGTGTCTGCCTAACCTAAGGCTGTCCAGTGTGATATCCATTAATATAAAAAACACTTGAATTGATCTTGGTTCCCTATTAATCAAACCGACAACATAAAATTAAAATAAATAATAAAAAGATCTTTCTCTTCTTGAAAAGAAAAAACCAAGATAAATTCGTATTTTTCGTCAAGGAACATGGAAAGATATCTGTTCTTGAATAACCTTAACGTAGCGCCATAAATTGAAACATTTTGTTGGACGACATCACAGATAATGGCTAAAGAAGGTTAAATCATCGAGAAAAGATGGATAACCAAGATCACCAAGTGTAATTATTAGTGATATATAAAAAAGCGTGGGTGTTTTTGAATACGATAAATGAAAAATAAGAAAGCTAATGAAGTGTGCTAAGCTGACTACAGATAAATTCTGGTTGGAAATGACAATTAGACATCAATTGACTTATTATACGGGACGTATACTTTTTAATATGTCCATGGTTCTCTAGTTCATGAATGGAAAGCATTTTGTATTGTGTATATCATATCATCAATAGTTACAACCAAAAGGGATCGGATACCTTTCCGATTTCCGGCCTTTGGATTCCATGTGTTTGAAAATGTCAACCCTGTAGGCTTATCCTTTTGCTGCAATGCTGCCGTGTTCAAAGAATACTTTCACATATTCGTGTAACAATTGCATAGCCTTGTAATCTACATTATCATCAAGAAAAAGAACATATATAAGACATTTATTCTTCTTTGAGATCATGATAAAGATGCCATTTATATATGGCGCGTCGCTTATTTCTTTGTATTTGTTTATTTAGAAAAGATAAAATAGTATTCGTGCTGATAGTAATTTGTTGGAGTTTCAGGTTAAAAAAAACATGCACTTACGTCAAGCCATTTGTTATAAACTATACTTTTCTTTGGTTGTCATAGCAATGCTTTTTTTTAATTATAAACGGGAAAAAAAAAGAACTCAAGTGGTTTAATGTAGTTGTTATCGTGCTTTTATACGCAGAGTATTTATACAAGGAAAGAAATAAAAGAAGAGTAGATAAACTTAGTATCAATAACACACGCCCGGAGTGGAAATGAGGATAGGAAAGGAACCCGCCTCGAACGGATCGGAAATAGCCCTGTGGAACTCTAGATACACAACAATCACTCGTAGCACCTTTTTTTAATAATGAAAAAAAAAAATCAAGTAAATGTATAAGTTAAATAAATCTATTGCATCTTGTTTAAATCCAAAGTAAAGAAAAGAAAAAAGAAAAAAAAAAAGAAAAAGGAGAAATCATTTCAACCTTCGAAATACTTTTTGGGATTTATGAAAAAAAGAATAAATGATATTTCATTACATTGAAGCATATTACAAATGAAATCTTATTTTCAGCAATTGTGCTATTTAATTTCAATTATTATCGAACCCTCATCAAGCACTGGCATCATAATAAAAAAAATCAGCTTATATATATTCTAGTCTATTTGGCTCTTTAACATCATCTACTCTCCTTTTTATTATAATCAAGTGGAGTCATTCTCACGGAGGATTCATGATTCATGAATGGTTCAAACCTGTTTTTTAAAAAGTACTTGACATTTGTGAATATCGTGATAATAGTGTGATATGTGTTACATGGGAAGGTCAAAGCTAAAGAAAAACTTGGCCTGAACAATGTATTATATGTGCTTCCTTGACTATTGTTCTTTTATTGTTTCAAAAGTGTTTTTAACAAAGAAAGCCGTTGGCTATTCAAAAGGATATTAAAAGCTTCCCTTTGTCAAGTATTCGGCTTGTATACTTCCGTACCGTTGAACATGAAAGCTAAATAGGTTGCACATATGATGCACAGCTGGGCATAAACTGTTAGTTTACAAACTTAAAACTCCTTCTTATACAACAAGGCACTGGAATAAATTTATATACACATAAACAAACAAAAGTGCACACGCACACCATACACACACATGCAGCACGCTCCAGAATAAGACGATCCGTTCGCTCGAATTTCTTTTTCTTTCTTTCTTTTTTTTTCTTCTTCTTTCTTTGCAACACTAATAATGACTACGTCAGTAAAGTCATTTACCCACTTGTTGACTTCCACCAAAAGAGCGATATCGAAATTAAATCGTCGTATATTCATACATCATCAGAAAACATTGCATCTAAATAAATTAAGCATGAATCAATTACTACAAAAAAGTATTATAGATCATGACATGTGTCCACAGGAACTATTTGAGATGGGAGAAAAATATTTATTTGGTCGCTCGCATAAAAATATGGATCACTCCTTTGCCGTCTATTGTCTTCATAAAGCTTCTTCCATGAACCACTCAGGTGCCCATGCCGTCCTTGGTTACTGTCATGAGTTCGGCTTAGGTTTCCCAATCGATTTTCAGCAAGCAGAGAAACATTATGTCTTATCAATCAAAGCCGCCTTGACCTCAGAGGATGACAAGGATGAGAAAATCGATCAAATGGAACTAAGTGATGCCACACTCATGGCCGTCGCACGATTGGCTTTCCTTCGCAAATACGGTCGTCCCGGCGTTCAAATTAACAGAGTAGAGGCCGAATATTGGGAATCAAAGATAAATGCTCGTGGTTCTGATGCGATCAGGTGGATACGACGTGCGGCACAAGAAGATCATTGCTCATCTGCTCAATACTGTTTGGGTACTTGCTACTATGACGGTGTCGGTGTCTCAAAAAACGAGAGAGAAGCATTCAAGTGGTACGAACTAAGTGCAAAACAAGGCAACCCTCGTGGACAAAGCATCCTTGGTTACTGCTACGGTGAAGGCTTTGGTGTTGAAAAAAACGAAGCACTTGCTGTTGAGTGGTACAGGCTGGCAGCTGCTCAAGGAGAAACTGCAGCCGCTTACAACATTGGCTACTGCTACGAAGACGGCATTGGCGTGCCCAAAAATCATGTAGAGGCTGTCAAGTGGTATAGGCTTGCTGCAGAACAAGGAAACGCATTTGCTCAAAACTCATTAGGATACTGTTATGAAGACGGCATTGGTATAACTCAGGACAAGACCAAGGCTATCTATTGGTATCGACTATCGGCAGAGCAAGGCTATGTATGGGCTCAGTGCAACCTTGGTTATTGCTATCAAAATGGCATTGGCATCGAAAAGGATGTCGTCAAGGGCGCATATTGGTATAGTCAGGCGGCTATGCAAGATCATGCAAGAGCGCAGCATAATCTTGGATTCTGTTACCAAAATGGCATAGGTGTTGACAAGGATCTGGTCATGGCTGTGTACTGGTACAAGAAAGCTGCAGATCAAGGAAATATTTTTGCTTATCACTCACTTGGTTACTGCTATCAGAACGGTCTTGGCGTTGAAGTTGATCAAAAGAAATCGTTTTACTGGTACATGCGTAGTGCCGAAAATAATCATGCACCTGCTCAACTTTCTTTGGGCTTCTGTTACCGTAATGGCATCGGTGTTGACAAGAACGAGCATGAGGCCGTCAAATGGTTCCGTCGAGCTGCTATCCAAGACAATCCTCTGGCTCAGAACTCTCTTGGCTTCTGCTATGAGGAGGGCATTGGAGTTGAAAAGGACGATAAAATGGCAGCATACTGGTACCTCAAGGCTGCCAAGCAAAATAACCCTTGGGCTCAATGTAATTTGGGATTTTGCTATGCTAATGGTATCGGTGTACCCGAAAATCAGACAAGAGCTGTGTATTGGTATCATAAAGCGGCACAACAGAATCATGCAAGAGCACAAGATAAGCTTGGAGTCCATCTTCAAGCAGGCATCGGATGTCGTCAAAACCTTGCTTTGGCCGTGCGTTATTTCCGTCTCGCAGCTCAACAAGGTCAGGTGGCAGCTCAGTATCATTTGGCCATGTGCTATGAAAAAGGATTAGGAGTCGAAAAAAACTTACACGAGGCCCTAGTCTGGTTTGAATGTGCCTCCTTGGTAAGCTTAACATATTGTCACGTTGATCTTGTAACTTACAAGCTTTAAATATTTAGGCTGGATGCAGAAATTCCTATCAGCATCTTGTTCAGCTCTTACTTTGTTACTGCCTTGAACATGCCTCGATTATTCAGAGAGCAGCTGAAAATAGTTCATCATCTAATCTTTTGAGCTGGTCCAGCAAGAGAAATGCATATCCACTGCGCTGGATTTCTGGCTATGCTGCTCCAGCTGCTTAGGAAAGAAAGATTAATTTACATACATATACTCATATACCAACATACACACAAGCATAGATCGTAATACCTCATTTCTTTTATACCTATTCTTCATTTAATTATTAGCTGCATTCTCTAATTTATTCCAATAAATTTTGTTTATTAAAAAGACTCTTCTATATCTCCTAAGCTTGGGCTTTCTCTTTTATATGAATATAGGTAAGCAAGAGCACAACGATTAGAAAAAATGCTTCCTTTTGTATAGATGCGGACAGGACTATCGTGACACATTCCTTTTCAGTAGCTCTACTGAATTAAAGACAGACGTCTGTAACAAAGCATAAACTAAGCACATATTAGAAATTAAGACTAGATGAATCAGATACATTGATAGTTAGACATGTAAAGTATTTCACAACAAGAATCACTGAGGAATTTTCTAATGTTTCAAGTCGCTCTTCAAAGTCCTCCTGTCTCCCTTTGATAACAAATTCAAACGCCGATAAGCGTCCAATTTTAAGGTGTTGGTGGTCATCATCTCATGGGCTCCCTCCTTTAATAACTCGCAACGTGTATGTATCCAAACAATCAAAATGGATAGGGCAGTCGTCAGTCGATGTATGTGTATTAGGAGGATGGATGTATGAGTTTAGATGGATAAATAGATAAAAGAAAGGAATGGATGGATATCAACTGTCAGGCATATGTTCGGGAATCGTGCAGTCATTTTCCCTTCCAATTGCCCAATTATACATTGAGCAACAGACACACACAGACAAACCGACAAACAGAGACAGAGACGATAGAGACAATAGATACAAAGACACGAAAGGCGGCTTCCCTATCCCATTTTGTGTAGATTAACCCTTCTTAAACATCTTACTAACTTTTTTATATTTTACCAGCTTGTCAATATGGCTTCCAAGATTGTTAAACCTACCGGTGCTAAACCCGATGAACTTGAACTCTCTGTTGCTCAAGCTCTCTTAGACTTGGAATCCTCTGTCGCTGACTTGAAGAAGGAATTGCGCCCTCTCCAAATTACTGCTGCCAAGGAGGTGAGTTTAATAAAGAGTGTGAAGAGGGAAAAAAAGGCTGATAGTGTATTCCTAGGTTGAACTTGGTGCTGGTAAGAAGGCTATTGTCATCTTCGTTCCCGTTCCTCTTCAACGTGCTTTCCAAAAGATCCAAGTCAGACTCACCCGTGAACTCGAAAAGAAGTTCTCTGACCGCCACATTGTCTTCGTTGCTCAACGTCGTATCTTGCCTGTTCCTACTCGTCGTACCAACAACAAGCAACCTCGTCCTAGAAGCCGTACCTTGACTGCTGTCCACGATGCCATCTTGGACGATATGGTCTTCCCCACCGAAATTGTTGGTAAGAGACTCCGTCAAAAGGTTGATGGTTCCAAGACCCTCAAGGTCTTCCTTGATGCCAAGGATGCCACCTCTCTCGAATACAAGCTCGACACCTTCTCTTCTGTTTACAAGAAGCTTACTGGCAAGGACGTTGTCTTTGAATTCCCTGCTGCTGTTGATGCTTTTTAAATAAATTATATGCACATGTAATGTAAACAGATTCAATTGAAACGCTCTTGAGACTCTGGATTATAGACAATAGGTTGAAGTGTGATGTCATTTGTATTCATGTAAAGGTGCAGGTGATAAAGCGTTGCCAATTTATCTTGGCTGTGGGTATTTCAAGATTTATGAATACTGTATTTAAATAAGGGAGAAAGTAGGGGCTATGTGTATTGAGTGAGAGAATGAGAGAAAGAAAAAGAGAGAATACATATATATATATATATATTTATGTGGTGTGTATGAGGAGAGATGATGAACCACAAAGTGAAAGGGAAGAAGTAATCTCCGCTACATAATCTTGTCGCTTTTCCTCTCTGTCTTTTTCTTTTTTTTTTGCCTTATTCTTACTCATGATGTCCTTCCCAACAGAAATTCTAAGGGAAGTAGGGCCTTATTTATCCACAGCAGATAAAGCTTCATGTATACGAGTGTGTTATTCGTGGTACAGCTACTTTTTGGAATTACTCTATAACAAAGTACGCATCAGATCTCGACATCAATTTCGACTATTCTTTCGCACCATTCAAGAGTCTTCAAGCATTAGCGATCCTCTAGGCGATCATGTGAAAGAACTCTTGTTTGACTATGATTCATTAGACGATGATTCCAAATTTGTAGGCATTACACGAGACGAATTAGAATGTTTTCCCATGTACTTTAGACAGCTACAGCTACTAGAATTCGATCCTAGATTATGGAAATACATGCGTTGTTCTGAACTATATAGACAATTTAAAGCAATTCAACATGTTCCAACTTTAAACCGTATACCATTCTTTCAGCTTATTATAGACAACTTTGGCTCACAATTAACTTATTTATCCATTAGTGACGAAGTATTCGATCGATTTGCCAGCACCGATCTTCTCACCTCTCTTTGGCCCCGTGTGCCCAGGGTAGAGAAACTTGTCTTGAAAGGGAAAAACCATGTACTGTTGGATACAAAGATGCTTATTGCGATTGGAGCACAGTTACCACGTCTGAAGCACCTTGTCTTGAGCTGCATAACGTTACGATTGGATGAGCGAGACATGACTTCGTTCACTCGATTCCCCTTGTATAATGCGGCCTTATCACTCACTCTGGATGACGTACATATCAGCAACTGGAGAATGTTGACCTTCCTTAGCTTAGCATTCTACCATGTCAACACATTCGAATTTGATATGACATTTGACTGGCTTTATAATGACGATGTGACGATCGAAACGTATGAGGAGTCGATCAATGCATGCATGAGCTTTGCTCAACTCAGCAATTCACTGAAAAGGGTCAAATTTGGCAAAATCAATACATCTGTATTTCCATTCCCATACGAAGCATTTTTTCAAGAGCTCCTGACGACAGGACAAGAAGACGTTTGTGTAGAAATGACTGAACAAGCGTGGTGGTCGACTATTGATCCTAGTTCTTGTTTCAAGGCAGCCGTCACACTCACCGGATTACTCTCCAAGACGAGCTTAAAGTGGTCATGGACAGGGAAAAAGAAAGATGTGTCACTGTTTAAAAGCCTTGGTGCTTGTCGACACCTGACAGAGCTTCATCTGGATTGTGATGTGCCTCTACGGAATGGTCTGCGGCTGGATCTACTGTTGGAACACTGTCAGCATCTTGAGAATCTTCATATATCCCACACATTGGTAACAGTAGATAGTATAGTAGATGAAACACCAAAAAGAAAGCATCGACTGAAAAAGTTGGAATTGAAGGAAATTGTCTTGGCAGATCATCTCATGGATTATGTAGCGGATATGTGTCCAAAGTTAGACACGTTATGGTTAAAGGACTGTGTACAAGAGAAGCCAAAGAAGTCGTCGTTTATCGTGATTCGACTCCCAGATCATGATTTTAAATCTATAAAACTGAATTCATTACATCTCAACCCAGGAGGGCCCATCAACAAATGTGAGGCGAGTATGACAATACTATCGTTTTATGAGTCAACACGTTATGCAAACCAAAGTAAAAGAAGGTTATCAAGGCGTCGACAATGGATGAACAACCATATCAGTAATGTTAACACGGACAGTAATAATAACATCAATAGAAGCAATATACCACCAGCAGAGATGTGGAGATTTTACCATGTACATAAACCTGATGATTGTAAAAGAGAAGGGCATATTAATAAGCAACTAAGGAGGCTCAGTACAGAAGAAACGGCCATCATTGCCAATTTTAAAATGAATGATAAAAAATGGAAGGCGATAAGAAATAGTAGTAAACGTAAACAATATCAAGAAAGAGGTTTGTGGGAAAGAGATATTCAGTTTGGAGCTGTATTACTACTTTGTCAATCAGTAAAAGAACTGGAGTTTAATGAACTAAGAGTTTAAACAAATAAAAAAGTGTCTTAAAAAGTCACACGCATAAGTGTCCTTGACTGACATTGATTACACTTTTTGCATACACTTCTTCCCACGGTTGATCCCAAATCCGGTTCCTATATCAATGTAATTCTCTTTCTTCCTTCTTCCTTCTTTTTTTCTGTTTTTGACTCCATGTTTTGTTTAAAGAGAGCTATTAAGCATTCCTCTGCTTTTAAGCCATTAATTGTAAGAAGCTCTCCTCTCTTTATGACGTTTGATCACTTATACCATGGATAGGCTAGAACTTATGCCGCTACATCAAAGGGTATTGATGGCATTCAAGAAGGAGTTGCGTATTCCAACCTATTGAAAAGAGATCCTGATGAAGCATTTCGTTCACCAGAACTTGCTCATATGAGCGCAAATAATAGTAAGATATATATATATTTTAAGGATATTGGACATCAATAATAACACCATCCAAGGCGGAACAACCAAAATGAATCTATTCCAAGCTGTCAATGACGCCATGTCTATCGCACTCACAACAGATGATAAAGCAGGTAAAAGATTAGACTTTTGACACAATTAAAAGAGTGGGCTAACTTTAGATGATAGTCGTTTTTGGTGAAGATGTATCATTTGGTGGTGTATTCAGAGCAACATCTGGTTTAGCAGAACAATTTGGTCGTGATCGTGTGTTTAACACACCATTAACAGAACAAGGTATAGCAGGTTTTGCTATTGGTATGGCTGCCGTAGGACATACAGCTATAGCAGAAATTCAATTTGCAGACTATATCTTTCCTGCTTTCGATCAAGTAAAGAGCACAAAGATGATTTTCTCTTTTGTAGACTAAACAGGCCCCTTTTATATGATAGATTGTTAATGAAGCAGCCAAATTCCGCTATAGATCAGGAAATCAATTCAATGTGGGTGGATTAACCATCAGGTCTCCTTCTTCTGCTGTAGGCCATGGCGGTCATTATCACTCTCAGAGTCCCGAAGCATTCTTCACACACTGTCCAGGTTTAAAAGTAAGTTGGTCCATTTTTTCTCACGCCTATCCATTAAGCTGTATGTTACACTTAGATAGTGACACCCAGAAGCCCTATTCAGGCAAAGGGTCTACTATTAGCATCCATTCGCGATAGAAACCCTGTTATATTCTTTGAACCCAAGATTCTTTACCGTGCAGCAGGTAAATTTTTAAAAAAATGCTGTTTGTCTTGATCTCGTGGCTTATATCATTTGTTTTCGCAGTTGAAGAAGTCCCTGTAGGTGACTATGAGCTTCCTTTAGGAAAAGCCGAGATTTTAAAAAAGGGCACAGATGTCACAATAGTTGGATATGGTTCACAGATATACGCCCTAGAAAACGCCATTCAACTGGCAGAGAAGAGATTACCTGGTATAAGCTGTGAATTGATTGATCTTCGAACAATTATGCCTTGGGATGTTGATACAGTGGTCGAGTCTGTCAAGAAGACAGGAAGACTGGTGATTGCTCATGAAGCGCCCAAGACTGGAGGTGTTGCAGCTGAGGTTGCTTCTACAGTTATGGAGCACTGCTTCCTCAATTTGGAGGCACCCATTCAACGAGTCTGTGGTTGGGATACGCCCTTCCCTCTTGCTTTTGAAAAGTTCTATGTTCCTAGCATGGTTAGATGCTATGATGCCATTAAGACAGCCATGGAATATTAACAAAATAGAATAAATATACATCTTGATTTAAAGTAAAAAGAAGCCATTAAGTAAGACGCATTTTGAAAGCGAAAGTATCCTTTTACTGGCTAGGTTGTCCTAAGCTGTCTTTTAAATAAATTGGCTTTCAAGATATGCACCCTTTTGCTTTTCTTTTCTTTAGTTTTATAATGTTTCATCCAACAAGAGGAGGTTAGTTTAAATACAAGTTTATTTATAAAAAAGACTCATAAGCATTATAAAGGTACACGTGGTGGGAGAGATCAAGTAAGCCAAGGTTCATTCGAAGGAAGAATAACTAAACTAAAGCCTTTTAAAGTTTAGCTGGGAAGATGTCAAGCAAGACAAACACCGTGAAAACTATCTTGGTCATTCTCTAATGGCTCCAGTTGGACGTTGGCAAAAGGGAAAAGATCTTCAATGGTACACAAAAAAGGCAACAGATGACGCAAAGGCAAAGGCTGACAAGAGTGAATTGCAAAAGATCAAGGAAGCAGAAGCAGAAGCTATGGCCATTGCGCTGTAAATATACATATATATATTAAAAGGAGAAAGAATATATTAGCTCATATTTTATTGTAGTGGTGTTCGTAAAAAAAAGACATTGGAAAGTAAAATAACAGAAGAAGAATTAAAGCATGCACTCCATAAAGATGAAGACGAATCTGAAGATGATCAACTCAAAACAGTTGATTCTTCAGAAAAGGGCCTTGGTTATGGAAGGTAAAAAGGAGAGAAATGTTATTGTAGTCTGTCAAGAAACATTCTAACCTTGAATTATTAGATCAAACCGGTTTACTGTGCCTTCAGGAAGCAACGTAGAAGTCATGAATATCGACAGGTCAACAATAGCTGATCAAGGCTATGCTGATAGTGTAGTATCAACAAATAGACTGGATTCATATAATCAGAGTGACAGCAAGGTTGATAAGCACCATAAAAAGAAGAAGAAGTCAAAGAAACATAAGCACAAGAAACATCGTCATAGTCACAGCGACAGTGATGACAGTGAAGATGATTATAAAAGATCTCATCGTCACAGTAAAAGAGGAAGAAGCCGCAGTCCTATAGAAGGTGATCGATATCGAAGAACAGAGTCTCCAGAGAGGTACTCAAGACATAGAAGGGATAACCGAGAGTATAGACGTGAAAGAGATCGTAGTACGAGTAGACATCGATATGAAAGAAGTAGAGAGAGGCGATCGCCTTCACCTTACAGTAGTAGAAGAGATAAGTATGATGGACATTCTCGAAATTATTCACCAAGAGGCAAAAGAAGAACAAGTAGAACAAGATCAAGAGAGCGATCGTTATCGCCTTTGGATGAAAGAGCAAGAAAAATAAAAGCATAGTTTCTACTAGTAGAAGCAGATAATTAATATTGTTCTAATTAAAAAAGGACTCGTCTCTTTTAAATTTGGTATTGATTTCATCTTGTATGGCTTGTGCGAGTGCGAGTGTCATAGTAGATCTTTAAAGCATTCAGGAGATCATGTTTAAAAGACTTTTAGTTAAATAAGAATTATAAGTTATGATAGTGTCTCTTTCCCTGACAGAGTCACCATAATATTGACAAGCTCATTAAAAAGTTAAATCTTGTCTTGATAAAAACATATTACAATAAGACAGCCAACAGACGTCATTACACCACACAAAGAGAACATCATTGCAATAGAAATATCTTCTATCTAAGCAGCACAAAGGGAGGATGTTAATACAGTTGATGATATCATGTTTAACCTATTACCTGCCAAATGATAATACCAACACCTAAATTCATTGGTATTCTGATCAATGTCATTATGACAGCCCGTGTTTCTTCTGGAATACACTCTGCTTTTAGAGAGGCAATACTAGGATAATATAACCCTGTTGTAAACTCAAAGATGTGGTATGCCACAACCATAAGAAATGCCTATTTATATGAATAAACCATAGGTATAGATTGAATATGTGCCTTACTGAATACTGCCCATAGTACGCCATCATCATAAAAGAACAAGATGCCAAACCAAGAGCAATTATCAATAGCTTTTCCTTTGATGTGATAGACAATTGACGTGTGCCATATCTATTTAACCGTTCACACAGTTGAAATACTAAGGAACCTGCCATTACAGCAAACATCATGGTAGAAAATAAATAGCCAAGAGAAATGTTGCCTACACGTACATTTCACTTAGTATTTTTCTTTTACAGGTAAAGTATGATGCTTACTATTTTCTGCAACACTTTCAATGGCTGGTGTGTACAATAGTACAAATATGTACATTGAACATTCAAAGAGCGTCTGTGCAATGGCAAGCACCATAATGTTTCTACCTAGAATAATATTAAAATAAGCCTAAATATCACCCTATTTAACCTTTACTTTGAAACATAACATATATTCCTTCTCTTAAACTTTTTTGTAAGCTTTTGCGCTCCTTCTTTCAAAAAAAAAGTTTATATATTGTAGCTAAAGAAACATAAGCTTACCATTTGATCAATTCCATAATTTTCAGCCCATGAGGATATTATCATTGAGCAAACAATAGCCTGCAAGACGATTGAGGCAACATAAGGAGATTTAAATCCCCATACATCCACTAATATATTCGCAAATGCTCCTGCAGCAATGGCAGCACAGCTGTTAAGAAAAGTACATAGTGCAAATGTGCGTGCTCTCCATTCAGCAGGGTAGCCTCTTGACGCATGTTCTGAGACATACCATGCTTCAAACACGCAGTATAAAAGTGCTGTTGAAAGTCCTGAAAGCACATGAGAAGCGAATAGTAATGGATACGCGTTTATAAGACGAAGGAGGAGTGAAGCAATCATAGTAAAGCAGAAAATGATACACACACGTTTACGCCCACTATATGATTCAATAAAAATTAAACACGCATATACACAAAAGAATAGCTTAATGAAAGTTACTAAACATCTGCTAAACTCCCAATGGCTGTCCCTGCAAAGGCACTACTGATAAACCCTGTCAGGAATAGCATAGATATTGATGTTAATCCAAGACCATAAGATTGATAAAGCTTATACAAATAAGGGCCTTGTAGCCAATCAGTGCCTAAGTGTGTGCTTAAAGTGCTTAGTAACAATAGGGTTAACGCACCACGTCATTTACCCATCACTAATGTATATACAGTCAAGTATTTCCACTGAAAAGACTTGAAAGTCTTTGCTAGTTTAATTTGGTTTTCTGCATTTAGCTCGAAATCGATGGTGATTCCATTCATCTTGAGCTAAAGAAGAAACTAAAAGAGTTCAACTTATCAAGTACAGAAAAATGAATATCGCTGTTTCAAAGTTAACATTGGCACACTTTCTAAAAATAGTCTATGCAAAGTTAAAATAAAATTGATATGAGTGCCAATCCACACTTGCCCTTGTGTGTTATTATGTCCTCGTTCAGCGTTGTTGAAATCAATTGACGCAAAGGGGAACGAAATTGCGTTTCATTAGGTATAGTGCCTTATTTTGCACCTTTGATGACGAGGATGTAAGGCAGGATGCACTTAGCGTCGCTTCGTCGTATAGACCGTTCAGAGTCGAAGATATCTCAAAATTTGCGACAGTGGTTCAAAATCCGATTCTTGTGATTCAAATCAAAGTACAAACAGAATGATCGATCAAGACAATGCATAACAGGTTGCAATATTGGCGCTATACCATCGAATGTTATTATACATTCGCCTCCATATCGCACGAAGTGAGAACGAACAGCAGAAGCCGCTTCCACGATTTCTTGCAAAACGAGAAGCCATAAACTTACTGCAGTTATATCCCGCTTTTATATTTGTAAAGGATAATTAAGTAGAAAGAAAAGAGATGCATATTAAAGTAGGGCTTTAATGAAAACTATGGCTGCTAATTTAAAACGTTGTCAATATTTTTATCATCAGATGTACGATAAGCAAATAAAAGAAAGATCATAAAGTACAGTGAAAGTATTTTAAACTGACAGACTAAAAAATACTTTTTCAAAAAAGTACACTTCGAGCTTTGTGATCTTGGTTGTTGTAACCATTCTTTTCTTTATTAGTTCGAATTGTATAACGTAAAATAAAATACAGTGAAGATATAAAGCCTTTTTTTTTATCCTTTATCTTCTTGAGTGAGAATATAACAAACAAAGAGACTAACCGAGAAGAAAACAGGGAGAGAAGGGCGGGAACAACCAAAATCACTTAGCTCTGATGTAATTATGATGATACTCCACAAATTCGTATACTACATGAAATAACACTTACTAGTACATAGCATCAGATGTCATAATAATAAAACTAGGAAACCCTTAATTAAGCTACTCTACCCCAGAGCAGCTGTTAGGCCTATGTCAACTATAGTTTCACAGTAAACTTAATAGCATAAATAAGAACTACTCTTTATCAATAAAAAGGATTAACTCAGTCTTACTGTATCTTATTGTCTATTACTACTTTTATATTATTACACTTATCAGGTAATTGGTGAACAATAATATTTATAACGGTTTTGTTGATTAGGATAGGTTTGGCAGTAAGATCAGTCTCAGACCTCATTTCGAAAGGTAAATACCTTTTCAGAACCTCCTTCCTACCCGACGATGCATTATTAACAAAATTGCTACCATACATACAATCACAACGTATCTCAAAATGGTCCCAACTATCCAAATCACCTTTATGGACATCATTCAGCAATGAATATCTCAAAACTATGTCTCATAGTAGCTTTATTAGAAAACGAAGACAGCTTTTGATTGACAACCACCGTTCGAAGCTCCAAGAAAAACATTCTAAACTTCTGTCCCACAGCCGTAATGATCTAATTGTCGACCCTATTCTTCGGATACCAATGACAAGAAGTGAACGGTCTCGTTGCGTGCGATGACGACTTGGTTGATTACCTCTTGGTAAACTTCAAGCCTGTCCCTTTCATCCAAATGAACTTTTTTCACGTCAGCATAGTTTTTCTTGTTTAGATATGCACAACCGCCTTCAGATGCCCAAATCTATTGACGATCCACTTTCCTATCTTTTGAACCTCTTACCACCAACATTCCTTACCAAGAAAACGAGAAAATCAATCGATGCCTGGCTCATTAGTTGGCCTTCCATATGTGCAATATTACTCGAAATGGACTATTTAGCTCACCTTCAGGTCCCTGAAACTTCAAACTACCTTGGTGAACCCTTTGTCAAACGCCTTCGTTACATTCAGCAAAAATTTTCAGATAGTTAATTATCATCCCTAATACGTTATACTTTTACATTTTCCCTTTAATCCCAAAAGGGTTTTTCATTCCTTCTCACTGCAATCTGACCCGGGCAGTACAGCATGAGGATGCTATGTGCTCATCGGTCATTAAAAACTATTATCAAATAAAATTATTCTTCTTAATCGTACATGAACCTTTAAATTCAGACAGTCGAACCCCTTGAAAAGCCACACACATAGAGGCATTTTTTTTTAAAAAAAGTAAAATGTCAAATAACCAAGCAAAAGACAGCAACAGCGATGTCTCTGAATTAGATCCAAGAGAATTAAGTGAAGGAGTTTTTGATCAACATGCAGTTCAACTTGGTTATGCTGAAGATCCCGAGATTCCTTTGACTGTTGACAGTTTTCCTAGCAAATCAGGTGGAAGACCCGTATGTTTATCTCTTTTAGAATGAACATTGTATATTTATATTCTCTTTTTAGATTTGGCTTAATCCAGAGCATATTCTTTCAGTAGATAAAGTGATTTGTGGTAACTGTGAGCAACCCATGAATTTATTACTGCAGGTTAGTCATTAAACGCTTGTTTATAAAGACTCTTTATAATACAAATTTATTTAGTTATATACTCCAGAAGATGAGCCACCTGAAGCATTCCATAGAACTGTTTATGTATTTTGTTGTAAAAATGGTGGCTGTGTCAAACAGGACTGGAAAAAGAGGTAATAAGAAATGTTTGACTACTATCCTCTTTTCTAACCTTTAAGGGATAAAAAAAAGCTTCAAAGTGTATAGAACTCAATTACCTCGTGAAAATCCTTATTATCCACCACATACAGAAGAAGAAGAAGAAGAGGAGGAGGAAGAGGAGAATAGCAGTGCTGCAGCATTCACACCAAAACAATTTAAAGCACCATCACTCTGCGTTATTTGTGGAATAGCTGGTACAAAGTTGTGTGGTAAATGTGGATCAGCCAGTTATTGTTCCAGAGAGCATCAAATGGCAGATTGGAATATGTGTAATCATAAGAAGTTCTGTGGCCAATCCATTAGTAAAGAAGATCAGACAGCTATTGACAAACTACGATCTTGTCGTGTTTTTGCAGAAAAAGAAATTGTAAGCGAACCAGAGGGAAAAGGCGCTGATGTGGAAGAAGAAGAAAAGCAGGCTGCATTTTTTAAAGAGAATAATCCTGGAGAGCAGCCTGATTCTAAAGCTCTTGTGCTTGCTGGAGATGAAGCAGAGGAAGATACAAAGGTCGACGTTGATGATACATTCTTACAGTTCCAATTGAGAGTCCAATTGTACCCTGATCAAGTGATACGGTATGATCGTGTAGAATATGACATGCCTGAGCGCGAGCCTTTATGGGTACAAGCAAGATACAAACCAGAATCTATACCCGCCTGCGATCACTGTCATGGTCCTCGTACCTTTGAGTTCCAAATCCTTTCTACTTTACTCAACTATCTTGGTGTTAATCATGTTGCCACTGATTCTCTCGATTGGGGATCGCTATACATTTACAGCTGTAAAGCCAATTGCTCTATCGGAGACGACATATACGCTGAAGAATACATTTGGAAGCAGGACTTTTCATCAGATGGTGTTCGACTTGGCCCCAAGGAAGCTGAGCATTTGCTTAGACGACAGTAAAACTTGTATTTGTCACCTTCATTTTATGTTTGTTTCTTCATCATTCATTCTTAGACTATTTCTTTAATATATAAACGTATGTGTAGTTGTACAGTAATGAACGTGCATTAGATATTCATCTATTTCTAAAACATGATGCACTTGTTTAACTTCAAAGTCTTCGTTTAATACTCTCTTTTTCACATCACTGTTACATTTTTATTTCAATAATAATTATAAGGCAGCCTTAAAGGTACACGGCCAATCATAGATTTGAATGCTCTTACCCAGTCTTCAGACTCATGAACCTCATCAGCCAGGCAGTCCAAATAATAATCAGTAAAGGACAATCTAAAGAATCCTTTCAAGTTTTCTTGGTGAATCGACTCTTTCCCAAATACTCTGTCTTCTTTCATTTCTTGTTCAATTAGTGTCACAACCACTTTGTCTGCTGCTGCACTTAGCCTGATGACATCTGCAATATTATAGTGATCCCATACTTGTAGAATATTGCCTTCGTTATCAGTAGTGTAACCGATCAATTGACTACCTATTAACCGATAATAATGTCTCTGCCAAATCTATTTGAAGCATAATATTAATATTTGTTTTATTATAATTAGTGTGTCTTGGTTTACCTTTTGTCCCTGTAGCCTCGTACTAAGATAACCGCTCTTCCAACAGGTATCATGCCACTGAAGTATCTTCAGTGTCAGATCGCACTCTCTTAGACTCTTGGGAACATGCTGGTCAAATATCATAGTTTTGATTAACATACATAGGCAGAGACATGTACAGTCTTGTAACTTACCACATTGGGGTCTGATACGGGTAAATATAACATTTCAATATTTAGCTTACCAACAATCTTTAAAAAGTCTTCTTCATCTCCAAACTGTTCCCTTCTTTGTCTCTCTTTACTTGACCTTGTGTACCATGAGTTGAAGCAATCAAAATTAGCTTCATACGTCTTTTTATAACATGCTGGAATCATATGATCCACTGCAAATCTAGTTTGTCCAATAGCTCCATCTTCAGGATGCACATATCCAGACAGATGCTCTTTTTGCTTTCTTATCGATGTAAACCATTTGGTCCATCCCGTTCGTGGTTTAACATGATAGTCAGGTCTAACATGTAATGATACAGTGATAATCATGCCTGGTTTGCTGTCTATAATACATTCATAATCCATCAATATTTGATGCCCTAATACTTCATATCTTGACATATATTCATATTCTCCATCACTTATCACACATCGGACATATGTGATTTCTTTTGGTAGTGGCAACAACATATCATGAGCTCCACTCACTCCAATATATATTTTGCCATGTTTATGTTGTGGCCGTGGTTGTTGCTGCTGCTGTTGTTGTTGTTGTTGTGGTGGTGGTGAGTCTTCCATCTGATGAAGAGGATCCAAGGATTTGTTAGGTATTACCATCATTTCATGAGCGTCAGGTATATTTGTTTTCTCTCTGGTTGCAGTCGCTGTTTGTACTTCCTGCTCTATATTCGTGCTTTCTTGAATCTTTGGTAATGTATTCATATAGTGTGATATGTCTTCTATTCGCGGTTCTTTAGAATTACTTAAAGAGACCTCTTCATCCTTGATGTTGACTTGATTTTTATCTATAATTGTTATTGTCGTGCCATTGCCTTTTTCCAATTTTTCTTCTATCGTCTCTTCTTGGTTATCCATGTAAATCAAGATTTCCCCTTCACCGTCTTCATTCTGTGAACTTGCAAAGCTCTTTCTACCATTTTGGTTTACTGTTTGAGCCGGAAATTTATCATTGGGTTTACTATTACTGCCACTGCCATTGTTATTATTATACATTTCGGTAGAGTAGTAGTCCAAGTCTTGTTCATCCATTTCTCTCATCTGGGTCTCGTTGATCATCTGCATCTTATTTGGCCCCTTAAAAGGCCCAGGTGTCATTAATGATTCGCTGCTATTACTACTAAAGCTACTATTGCTTCTACTAATACTTGTCTTGCTTTTATCAGCCATCACTTCCTCTTCTTCCATCCATTCATTTTCTGGATCAAACCATTGCTCACTGCCTGCTTCGCTTGACATAGCAACGCTCTGTCTTATCGTGCTAGCCTTGTCTACTAGATTAATGCCAATCGACCAGTGGTTACGCTGACTCCCGCTCTTCCTTTTTTCAGTTGTTGCTGTATATTCTTTGGTAGCCGTATAAGGCATGTTCAAAAAGTCTGGCTCTGAGTTCTTTCCATTCTTATTTTCGGCCAATGTGCGTAGCTGTACTTCGCTTTCAGTCGATAAACTTTGAAGAACGGCTGTTTCATCTTTGTCAGAAGAGAATGAGCTTCTACCTTCATCATCAACCTGCTTTTCCATATCATGATAACTCCTCGATTTGCTTATTTTGCCTACTGAATCGCTATCACCCTCTTCATCATTGTCTTCTTCAATATCCAAATGTGAGTTTTTCATAAACTGATCGTAGTTTGAACTGAATTCATCATGATCAGCTTTCATTCCATAATGATTAGCTACAGTCGGCGTAGAAACTCCATCATCGTAATCGTCGTCATTGTTGTCACCTGCATAAACTCCTGCGGTATATATAGGCGCAGGCTTATTGTTGACTATTTTGATACATTAGCATGCTTTAATTCTTATAATATAGACTTTACCTCTTTCAGTATCCTCAGTAGTTATATGTTCAATTGTTATCTTGTCTTTCATAGGCTCAATCATAACATCCTGACGACTACTCTGCACATCATGCTCAATATAGGCTGCAGTCTGGGCGACAGCCACGTTATCCAGGTGAACAGTTCTCTTTTCAATAGGCGTCGTAACAGATGCTGCCTGAGGGATTGACACATTCTCAGCCATTAGAACAGTAGGGGTCTCATGAGCTACTTGAGCTCTAGGTGTCGTATATATAACCTTCCCAGTCACTTCGCGGTGATGCATACTTTCTCGGTTGTAGAGCACTGAATCGTCATCGTCATCATCATCTTCACCGAATTGGTATTCGTTAAACCCATTGCTTTTCGCCAAGTTCGAATATACGTTTATGTCTTGCATTTCCTTTGTCTCGCCGTTGTGCTCGTTTACTGCCTGGTCGCCGTGTGTTAAGAGCGTGGATTTGCTTAAAATAGGATCTATCACAGAGTCACGACCGTATATTTCCAGAAAATCATCATCATCTTGCTTTGCGTCTATTAGCTGTTTCTGGTCAGATACTATAGTTGTTTCTTTGACGTTGCTGATTTCGTCTTTTGCTTTTATTGGCAAGGTAATCTCTGGTTCATATGTAGCAACAGAAGATACTGGACTGTTGGCATCGTCAGTCTTTATTGACGCTATTGCTAAAGGTGGCAATGATCGGTCCAGTGTACCATCCGTCTTTTCTTTGACACCTCCTTGGACATTTTCTTTGATATTTTTCTCTTGAGTATCTTCTTTTACATACTCTCTGACATCTTCTTTGGAGTTTTCTTTAATATCTCCTTTGTCATTTTCTTCGATCTTTTGTTTGGTATTCCTTTTAATATCTTCATGTATATGTTCTTTTGCATCCTCTTGTATATGCTTTTGTATATATTCTTTTTCATTCTCTTTGATATCTTCTTGGATATACTCTCTAACAACCTCCCTTACATCTTCTTTAATATACTTTTTGGTGTATCCTTCAATAGAACTTGACTCGGGCACACTGTTGTCTACTATGTGTATAACTTTAGCACAGTGAGCCAATTTTCAAGAAATGATCATAGCTTACCAGTTATTTCAGTATGCAAATCTTCGATTGAAGCCTTTTTCTTTTTGTAATAATCAACAGCTTCATCATCATTACCGCTGTCCTCTTGACTCATCTCATTCTTGTTCAACATTTCTTGATGAATACTCAGCACGTCATTCTCAATGTAGGCTGCAGCCTGGGAGATAGCTACGTTGTCTAGACGCACAACTCCCTTTTCAAAAGACATTGGGGCGGGTATTTCTTGTGGGGCTACTGCAGGTTCAGTCATTATAACAGTAGGGGCTTCGTGTACCGTTTGTATTTTGGGCGTCGTATATATAACCTTTCCAGCTACTTCACTGTGATGCATACTTTCTCGGTTATAAAGCACTGAATCAACATCGTCGTCATCATCTTTAGCGAAGTGGTGCTCATTAAACGTGTTGATTTCCGTCAAGTTTGAAGATATGTTTTTATTCAGGGTTTCAGTTGACTGACTCTTGTAAACTGGCTGCTGGTGATTCTTGTCCTCAGCTATTGTTTGGTCATCGAATATTAGGTCGTATGTTGCTAGCGTAGGCTTGTTTATAGTAGAATTTGCCACAGAGTCACACTCATATACGTCCACCAAGCCATCTTCACTTTGCCTCGCTTCTTTTAACTGCTTCTGATCAAATGCGATAGTTACTTCGTTGATTCTACTGATTTCGTCTTTTACTTTTAAGGATGAGTTTATTTCTGGTCCACGTTTAGTAACAGGCGATGTTGGACTGCCAGGATCGTTGATCTTTACTGCTACCGTTGCTATAGGTGATATTGATTGGCCCAGTGTATCATAGGTCTTTTCTTTAGTATATTCTTTAGCATGGTCTTTTCTGTCCTCTTGGAAATCCTCTTTGATGTTCTTTTCGCCAACTTCTTTTATGTCTTCTTTGATATCCTCTTCGAAATCTATTTTGAAAAATTCTTTGATACTCTTTTTGACATCTTCTTTAACTTCTTTGGCATATTCTTTGGCGTCTTTTTTGGTATCCTTTTTGACATCTGTTTTGATATCTCCTTGGATATCTCTTTGAATATTTTCTTTGATATTCTCTTTGATATCCTTTTTTACGTTCTTTTCTACGTTCTCTTTGGCGTATTCTTGGATATCTTTTACGTTCTCTTTGATATCCTTTTTAACACCTTCGTTGGCATCATCGTTAACGCTTCCTTTGATAAAGCTTGATTTCAACAAACTATCATCTAATACAAGTAAGTATTAGTACAGAGAACAGCTTATAAAATTAATATAACTTACCAATTGCTCCAGTACATGATGCTTCTTCTGAGTCCTTCTTCTTTCTATAAGCGTTGGCTTCATCATCATTATTGCTGTCTTCATGACTTGTCTCATCCCTTTTCCAAACCTGGAATTTTTTGCCTGTTGAATAGATTTCGATCTTTTCTTCTTCGTTGAGATGTTCATGAACATTGATAATTTGTTTTACTTTTCCCTTTTTCTTTATAGTGATTCTCTTTCCTGAAGGTAAAATGGCTTTGTCATCTGTATCTACTCGAGGCTTTCTCTCTGGCATTTTAATAAAAGGTGGATCTAGCTTATCATTATCGTTTTCGCTGCCTATTTCAGTTGACAGTGTCGGCTTTGGTGATGGTAGCGGTGATGTTATCTCTATTGATATTGGTGGCGTTGTAGAAGAATCCTCCTCTTCAGTGCTTATGACTGGTATAACCTTGTCATTCTCTGGTTTTCTTCCTTCTTCACCCTCTTCTTCATCCTCTTCCTCTTCTTCTTCTGTATTCTGAGAGCTTGTTGAACTGATGCTGGGTGCAGGTATACTGTTACTCTCTATCTTTTGTGCTTCTTCAGTATGTTCAGAAGGCTCTGCTCTTTTTTTAGCAGAAGCTTCCTTGGCTGCTTTCAAAGTTCGAAGTGAAGGAACTTTCTTTGGCGGTTGAGCATCTGCTGTCTGTTGACGAAATACACTGGTAGACACTACTGATCTATCCTTCAAGATATTGATGACTCTAGAGCTACGCTTCACCTGTTCTGCTGCATTAAGGAACTTTGTTTTTGCTTTCATTGAATCTGATGTTGTTGTTGCTGTCGTAGTCTTGGCTTGCTCTGTCTCGTTAGACTCGTCCTGTTGTCCTTCGAATTTCCTAAATAGTGGATTATTCTTGACAGCAGACCGCTGAGCTAGTAATTCAACTTCCTTTTGACGTTTAAGCCGTTCCTTCTCTCTCAACTCTGCTTCTTCTTCTTCACTCAACACTCGTCGTTTACGCTCTTCAAGATGACCAGGACGAAAGTATCGACGTGTCGAATTTTGTCTTTCTGTTTTGGATTTATTATTCTTTACATGATCCTTGTGGGACTCTGCCAGCTCACGTAAACGTCGAAATCTTTCTGAAGTACTGGCTTGTTTTGATGCTGTTGAAGTCTTTAATTTATCCTTGACAAGTAATTTAGGCTGATCGTTATCTGCAGGCAAGTGTCCAAGTTTATTACGTCTATCATTGGAGACACCCTTTTCTAATAATTGCTGTATTAGATCTTGTTTATTCAAAAAGTAAGCAAGATGCATGATCGTATTCTCTTCTTCTCCCCATACATATGTTTCTAATTCTTTAGCTGTAGATTTCTAAAAAGGTGATCAGCATATCTTTCATATCAATGCTTCAGAAATAAACACTACAAAACCTTTAAAATAAATTCAATCAATTCATGTCTTTCCTCAGCCCATTCGTCTCCTTCTGCACCATAATCAAATAAGATATGATGAAGTGCATATAAAGGACGAATAGAGGTTCCTAATAATTTATATTCTTGTAAACGATCAATAAAATGAGCGAAATCAGTTTCGAGATGAGAAAGTGGTGTAAGTGGTGTCCATAAAAGATCAGGTTGAAGATCGAGTAATTCTTGTACTGTATGAAGGTCAAGTGCTTCAATGGCTGTAGTCCAGTCCACAACAAGTGTTTCTTCAATAGGTTCTTTCATAGAGTAACAAGAGAAAGGAGGAAAGGGTACACAGAATAATGAAAAATATGGATATTATACAACAAGCTTACTTACCATATCAGGGTTTTTGTACTCCCTTACTTCAGATCTAAAGATGTCTTTATGAAATAGATTATTATTGTTATAAGCTAGACATAATAAATAATAAATTATGTAATAAAGCTTAAGCTGCACTGAGACACGTAGAGAGCCAATGAATACAATGAGATGAAACTTCACAATGACATAACAATAGAACGGGAGTAGAAATTACCGCTTATTGCATTAAAAGTTTAAAAAAGGTCCCTCGGAATAAATCCTCTCCTGCTTTTGTGCTTAGGTTTTAGCTCTCAGATCAACAATTGGTCAGCACAAATACAAGTGTCTTCTAAAAGAAGAACTCTAAGAAGTCATCTATGATCAAAGAACGATAATTTATAATATAAATCTACATGTATAAATGATAACCAATCTAAAATGGATAGAGTTGTCCTTAAATTAAACAAATAGCTCAAAACCAAACCAGTTAGCAGAAGAAAACATAGTGACTTTGTGATAATATAAAAGTAATAAGAGACAATAAGATACAGTAAGACTGAATTAATCCTTTTTATTGATAAAGAGTGGTTCTTATTTATACTATTAAGTTTACTGTGGGACTATAGTTGACATAGGTCTAACGGCTGCTCTGGGATAGAGTAGCTTAATTAAGGGTTTCCTAGTTTTATTATTGTGACATCTGATGTTATGTACTAGCAAGTGTTATTGTAAGGGTAATTTCCTTAGTTTCAATAAGCGTGAATTATGTTCGGATACGACACTATAGCAATTGAACACTATTATAAATATATAATTTATTTCATAAAGACGAGAAATGAGGAGTGTGCAAGTGAATATAAACGAACAAGCTACATAAAAACCACACTGGATAGTCGATAAAATTACAGCATTAAACCAAATATATATATATATATGATTCGATTCTCATCTAATTTCTATAACAATAGGAAATGGCTTTAGCAGAAAGAAACTTGATAATTAGACAGGAGGAACAGAAAAGGAAGAGCAAAATTTCCACCTCCATTTTATTATCATAATTTTTATTTTACGTTGAACTTTTGATGCAGGAGGCCCTATAATTAAAAGCGCTCAATACCGTCGCTTCGGTCATTGTTTGTTGTCTTGTCAGGATTGTCGCTTCGTTCTTCCACGGTAAATTATCAATGATAATTTTCGAGACTCTTGCCTTTCGTAAAAACTCTTAGTGGCTAATTCACACAAAGCTTTTTTCTGGACTATGCAACCTGACAAGTTCTTAATATCACTGATGCTTGCCGACTGATCTGCATGGTTGACCGCCGCCAGGCATACTTCTTTGTTCGAAGTCTAATAAAAGAATTTTAATGTTGTTGCAAACACATGTTTGTTTCCATCCACATTGTTCAACATATTTATCACATCGCACTTTCCTTTTTTGTCTCTTTTTTTGAATTCATCAGAAGCAAATGATGAGACAGAGACATATACACGGCCTACTAAAACCCTGTCATGCAATCGATCAACCCTGCTTTGTAACAGTCTGGCCCTCATCTCCACTAGTTCATTTGATGGAGTTTTTCGAACGTACTAACTATGAGTCAACCACTGTTCTTGTTTTGATCGATATGGAACTGTAATCGGACAAGCGTTGCTGTTAAATTGTCAACAACGCCTTTTGTAAAAAAAAAAAAAAAAAGAAAAAAGAACATGAATAAAATTACAGTCCTTAACTTTAGGTGAACACGACACGCATCAGAAGTTAGACTAGTGCTATGAGAGCTTCTTCTATCCTTTACCTGTGCACCACACTAAACATGAATTTATAAAATCATCATCTTCATTTGTTTCTCTTCAAGAAAGAAAGAGATAAAAGAAAGTCTTTTATTTATGTTGTCAGGTGCTATCAACAAATGAACCAAGGCAATTCACGTGCAATTATGATAAATTCGTATTTAACATTAAAGGATATTCCAGCTCCTTACATGTATAAGAGAAGAAGCACGCCGTAGCATCAGCCTATTTTCTGGTGTATGCAATGTTGGCCATTTGTATTTGTGCAATCAATTTACGGAAATGGTGTTTTCATATAGTGCTGTAGTGTGGTAACAACTCAGCTAAAACACAATAAAAAAAAAGCCAGGTGTGTGGAGAGAGGACTTTTTTTTTTTTTTTTTTTCCTTTATACTAATGGTGGAACAAAAGAAGACAGATTCCACTGGATCAAAGCCAGGAGTGTACTGTCAAAAGAAAAAAGAAAGAAAGAAAATACTCATATTGTCTATTTTAGATTGACCCCTCTTTGTTTGACAACACTATCCAACATAGATAAAACCAACAAGAGAGACTATTTTGAAAACTTGGCTAAACAACTACAAAGGCTTCCAGTCAAACGACGACTTGACCCCAATTATTCTAAAAGACTATGTAAAACTGTAACCCTTTTTTATCATGGATCCTTTTCAAAGTTGTATTCACTTGCCTTTTAGGTGAACACTTGACTCATGCCAAAAGAGATTATTATAGAACAAGTCAAGAGTAAGTAATTATCATCAAAGACAGGAAATAACAGGTTTTAGGTTACGAAAGAATGAAAAACGCATGGCTTCAACTATGACAGATGATATGACACTGCCCGTGAAGAAGCTGAAAACACTGTCAAGTTCTATTCAAAATGATCTTGCCGCAGAAGTTACACCTGTTCAGATACACACGAATAGACGTTTGAAGAATTTGAATGAAAGTCTCAAACAACTACAGGAAGAAAAAATGAATAGGAAAGAATTTAATGAATGGAAACAGAAACTATGGAGTATTGTTCGCGAAATCAAGAATTTACCAGAAACGATACGTGATCCAACAGATTACGATCACTTTATAAAAGAACTCAACAAACTTTGGGATAAAGCAAAGTATTTTCATCAACCACAGAAAGTTAGAGCTCAAATTGCTGATGAGGTAGTCAGGAAGCTCTTAGGACTACTTTCTGTTAAAGAAGAGAAGGAGAAAAGAAAGAGCTTAGATAACTTAATCAACAACGCATTGAGCTATTGTCTACAAGACGCAATCGATGATTATATGTCGACGCAGGTGGATGGTTGGCACAGGCTAGAAAGACTTGTTTGGGGTGACAACAATTCATACGCTGAAAGCTGCGTTTGTGATGCTGATGTAAAAATATTGAAAGCAATTAGAGAAAACAGACATCGCCAAAAGAAAGACTCACAAATACAAATTGATGAAGAACGTGTTGATAAGATACTAGATGAAGTTAATAATATCATGATACCAGCCTACACACGAGGCGAGCTCTTCTGTAAGGAGCACTTGGAGAAACTGAATGCACAATTTGATCATATCAATGACATATTACAGTAAGTTGAATTATATCTAGAATCATATATGCTTACAGTATATGTATTAGGAACCATTCCGAAATCCTAAAGGTGCTGGCAAATCCAGATGATAAGGACCTTCAAAGTACTTCGAATAGCAACGTGCCACTATCTACAATTTCATATAGCGATGAAAGTCCATGCTTATCCACTGCACTTGCTACCTGGGTGAAACAGTACACAAAGGAATACGTCTCAGGACTACAAGAGCAAATAGATAATCTTCAGAGGCAAATGAACAATGTACCTAGTAGATCTTAACTAGAAAACAAGCATTACGATACCTTTTTTTTTGCATGATGATGTATATTTCTCACTTTTTCTGTGTGCTTATCTTTGTTTTTTTATTAATAAAATTACAGAATATCAACATTTTATCCAAATAGAGTGAAGAGACACTATACCAGGTAGATATTCTAACCAATTAAGAAAGATGAAAGAAAAATAAAGCATACAGAAAGTGCCTCTTAATCCATTTCATCTCGTCAGCTGTTAATGATGTTGATTTATGAAACAACAAACTGAGATTAGGCCAGTTCAACAGTATCCCCCATGCTGTGTTTAAAGTTTAAATATAAGCCAATTTTTTTTATAATCCCAGGTTCTGAGGCTGGGGTTCCTATTAACATTTGACTGCCCACTTTTTTTAGAATTTGTCAATCCAACCTCTACATCCTTTTCCCCTAATGGTTCGCTTAGGATGTCGACAGCTACATTCAGGTGTGAGGCAACATATTAATCACCACCTCCCACAACAGCCAAGATTTTCTCCATTTGTACATAGCTGTCAGTTTAGATCCATAGCAAATCTGTCGACAGGAACCAAAAAGGGTAATGGATCAAAGATTTTCATTGCATGCATTCTCTAATCATTTTTGCTTTGCTTACCTTTTTTAGAAGAATCTATGAGCATCCAAAACTATCTGTCAGATATCGACCACGCTTTTATTCAACACCAAAAGGCAGCTACAAAAAGAAAGATTCCAGTTCATATTTCCTCCAAGATCAATAAATTAGATTCACCGATCCTTCTGTCTATCCACTCTCATCTCTCTTCTGGGGATACAGCCAAAGCATGGAAACTATTTGATAAATCTATTTTACCTTTATCTGAGCACCCCATGCCTCGAGCTACAGCACACATGTTGTTGGAATCTCTTTATTCAGACATTTACAGCAATTATGCTCGATTCTCACTTAATTTTGGGAAAATTGGAGAACTGTATGTGACAAGACTGGAAGCGCTCGTGGGACTGGTCAAGAGATCTGCCATCAGACATAATCTATGGGATAAACGCGATTTTTGTATGCTCATTGAAATGTATGGTAAATTGAATCAACTTCGGCGAGCAGAGACACTGTTTAGAAATATGTCACAACACTGCCAGGACGAAATTTGTGTGGATATTTATAATGAAATGCTTGCTATGTATGTTCGTCGTTTTAAATACGAAAGCGACATAGTCAAAAAGCGCTATTACTCAAAGATGGAATCACTGGAAACAGAGATGATACGAAAAAACTTGACACCAAAGACATCATCGTATAACCTAATGCTGGCTGCCAAGATCAAGCTGCAAGATCTACCGGGAGCAGAGAAAGTTCTTTCGAGGATGAAAACGCCGCCCAACAGAATGACCTACAATATTTTGTTGAACGGATTCTTAAAGGAGTGCAGAACAGCAAAGGATAGAGAGATTGCCAACAAATGGCTAGAAAGATTGGCAGCATCTGCGTTTGAGCCAAATGCACGAACCTTTAAAAATGTCATTGACGGTTTAGCGGAACAAGCTGGTCATTATATGCGGATGAAGGAAACAGAAGAAGTTAAAGCAATTGTTCAGTCAGTGTCCAGTTTACAAAATGTAATGAATTGCTTAGGATACAGAATGGATACAGAAATGATCAACACTCTTTTAAAATGTTATACTGCTGCCAATCATGTAGAACATATAGACGCAATCATGGGAATGCTGGCACTTCCAGAGAGAAAAGGTGGCTGCGGGAACTGTGGATGTGGCAAACAGAGTACAGCACAAGTTGAATCTTTTAAGCAGCAGAAAAAGGTTTTACCGGACGCATACACATTTAATATCTTGATAAACCATCATCTCTCAAATGGAAGATTAGAGCAAGCCCTTCAGATGTATAATGACATGGTTACCCTTAAGCTTGACCCAGATACGACAACATATGGTAGCTTCATCTCCTACTATGCTAATCAAGGCGCTGTTGAAGAAAGTTTAAAATATCTTGATGTCATGAAGAAGAAAGGAATCCCTGTCAATAGCTATATTTATAACATTCTGTTAAAATGCTCAGGGAAATATCCACAATTTGCTCATCTTATCACCCCACATCTAGATTCGATCTTGACAACAGGAGTTAGTTTGGATACCGTTTCTAAAAACATCTTGCTTCAAATGCAAACAAGAAATTCACAAAGTTTAGATACCAGTTTCGAAAACTTTTTAGACACCCTCGATCGAAATCTATATACCGGAAGCGATATTAGTGAGCATCCAGCACCAACAACGCGAACTTATAATACATTATTACAAACCAGTGGTCGGTTCTATAAAGCAAAAAAAGCAAGATTCAACAAGACATTAGAGTTAGTTATGAACAGCTTAGATACCTCTAATGTTCGACCAGATATCTTAACTTTTGCGCTGGAAATTCGCAATGCTTCTTATCGAGGAGATATGATCAAAGCAGAATCGATATACAAGGCAATGATGGATTCCGGCATTAAACCCAACACCTTTATTTTCTCACATTTAATATATGGCTACAGTAATATTGGGAAACTAGACAAAGCACAAGATATTTTAAGAATGATGTCAGGTCCACCCTATAAAGTTATACCTAGTGCTATCAACTATGCACCTCTGATCAAAGCCTATGTGGAATCAGCTGAATACGATAAGGCACATGGACTGTTTCGAGAAATGCTAGATAGTAACGTAACCGCAGATCTTGTCATTTACACCATTCTGGCAGAGGCATTTTTACATTACCCTGCAAAAGACAGTGGCAAAAGAGCCATTGAATTACTAGAGAGTATTCAAAGCTCTGGTATATCCATGGACACAGCCTCGCTTACTCTTTTAGCCAGTGCATATGGTAGTGACGCAGCGTTCATGATAGAGTCGTCTGAGCATTCTTTCCAACAGGAAGAGAATCTCCGAGAAAGCCTTGAAAGTTATACCAACAAGATTAATACGATATATGAGCAGCTTAAAAGAAAAAATTGGCTTGACTCTCAGGCTATCTCAGCATTACTATTAGCACATATCCAAATGAAAAACCTCACGGCTGCATGGACACTTTGGAAAGACTGTAAAGGCTACAAGCCAGAAATTTTAAATAGTCACAACTACAATACACTGTTGACTGGTTTTGCAGCTGACAAGCATTGGTATCCTTTAGCGATAATGACATTTAAAGACATGGCAAGTGAAGAGCGAATACATCCTACGGTCTATACATTTGATACAATGATATGGGCAGCACATTTGATGAATGATGATGAAACTGTGGAATACCTCTGGTCTTCTCCCCTGCGAATAAATCCAGACACAAACAAACCTTTTGCTTTACTAGTACGCAGTTACTATGCTGTTTTAGATACCATGTTAAGGAACAACAAACTGAATGCTGCAAAGGATGCTTTTCAAGAATACCAATCAATACCAAGTACTCCTGACTCATCTACAGTTTGGAATAACAAGATAAATAATTTAGTATCATGGCAAGACTTTACAAAGAATACTACATACTAGAGTATCTCACGGTGATATCACCGTAATTATTTAAAATTGTAAAAATAAATGTATAAAGTAATTTATAAAGAGGCTATCTACACTGTTTACATACTATCCTAACCTTGGAGGGGACACCAGTGTCTTTGTATAAATACAGCGGCTGCTCTCACAAGTGATTTCTTTCAATATATATAGATATAGATGTCTTTTTCTTTTGCATAAAAGCATAGCTTTTGGCCAAGATAAAGTAGCACAAATCATATACAATCGAAATAAAAATCAAGACTGCATACAGCGTTAATCATATCCTTTTTTTTTTTTACATTAAATAAAAGATACAAAAAGAGAATAAGAAGATAAAGAGAGTAGAGAAGAGATTAAATACAATGGTAACATTGATTACAAACTGAATCTGGACTAAAAAAAAGGCACTGTGTTACTCACCCCTTAATCATTAAAATCAAGACAAAATGATATGAAATGTAGACTAAACAGTATAGACAGTCTTTTGAATTGTCAAATTATATAGTCTTTATTTTTTCTATCAACGCTGTGCTTTTAATAATTTTGTAATGTTTTAATGTTTATATAAAAACACGTGTTTAAAGATAGCTTCTAAACAATGCATGAAAGTAGTAACACTATGCGAATTAGTTATTGTACATTCGTATATTTCTTAGACTTTTTTTAAAAAAGAGAAAAAAGTGGTAATTTTACCCTTTACAAGTATTTAATGAACATTCAAGAAAGTAAAAAAAAAAAAAAAAAAAAAAAAAAAAAAAAAGAGAAAGATAAACATGGGCTGAAACAGTACTACTTTCAAACGTAAACCTTATTTTCATGCCTCCAACCTTAATTTCTTTAAGTACTTATAGCACAAAACGAAATAGAAATAAACAAGAAGGTATAAAAAGAGAGAAATTTGCTCTCTTCCCTTTTTCTCTCTTTCTTTTCTCCTTCTGCTTTTTTTTTTTCTTCTACTCTTTTTGGTTCCTTCTGATGATTCTTTTGGCTGTTCTTTTTGGTCAATGTAAGTTTTTATAAACTTACTCAGTAAGGCGATGACTGTGTGTTCAAGGATTTCTATGCAATCTCTTTCTATGATGCTCAGCACGTGTCCTGGACTGACAACGGTCGTTCGTTTTATCACTCAACTGGAGGCTTTCAGGTAGCCAAAAGGAGAGTTATGGACATTCGATTGGAATCTTTACAGGGGCTAAGTAGTTAGTTGGGAGCAAGTTATCTGTGATCACAGCTGTGACAGATTGTTAACGATGCTTCCTGCTGTCTGGTTGGCGCAAAGGGGTGCATAAGCTAGTTGACAATTGACAAGGCTTAGCTAATGCATACCCCAACGGTACGTCTGCTACTGCGGGTCTTTGCAGGCTGCTTGGTATTTGATGGTCTGATGGTTTTTATGGGTGCCTGGTCCCTTGTTCTGATGGTCAATGGCCGACCTGAAGAATGTCGTCACAGCAGCAATCAGAACCTTTAGAAGTCTTTTGGCATCGTTGCTGACCTTTTTTTTCTTCTCTTTTAGGTTTTCTTTACATACACTGGCTTTTGGGAATAATCTTAATAAATGTTTTTCTTTACGATCGCATATTTTATTTTTCGCACCAATGTCTACTCTTTAATACATTATCAAAATTATAAGAAACATTGAAATCTCTTCTTTTATTATCACCCTTAATCCAATCTGACTTATGACTGATGGATCTGCAAAGCATATGAATTTCTTTGCTATCCTATGAAAGCCGAAGAACCACATCAGGTCAACATGTATAAAGGTACCCAGTTGTATCAGGAATATCGGCAGCTAGGTCAAATGAGAAGTCTAAAAAAGACCAGGCAAGTTGAAAGAAAAAGGAGGGGAGACCGTGGACCCTACTTTCAACCATCTCTTCATATATCTTCCACAGTTACTAGATTCTATAGCAGCACCTCTGCAAAAAAAAAGAAGACAAAGCATGCATATAAACCATCGCGTAGATAGTAAAAGTCACAATTTTATACATGTACTGTATAACGCGAGTCGTGAGTAATAAAGTATTACTCTCAGTTAAGAAATATCAACGTTTGAAAAAATAATGTTTGTAGTATATATATAGAATTAATGCAATAATGTCATGGTGCTCTATATGGAAGAAATAATAAATAGCTGATGGGCAAGAATAACCTTTGTGACTTCAATCGTATCCATAGCGATGGCCATCTTTGCACAAAATTGTTAGGAATAGACTCACAATAACGTATGCATAGTTACAGCCATATGGAGATATGATATATCTAAACTAGTGTAGTTTCAAGAGTGTCACTTTATATTTTTTTTTTCTTTTCAAGGTATAAAAGGACAAGATTCACAGGTAATTAGTAAATATATCTGTTACATAATGTAGCTTGATTTTTCGTTGGTCAACCATATGGTTCAACTATACATCAAAAAGAAATCATACGGTGCAATGCAATGAAAGATAGTAACACAATTAAACGCAGGCGGTAGGACAGAAATAAAGTGGCCTATAATCATACGGGCCGGGCAATACGTCTGAGATGGAAGAATACCGGTGGTAGTACAACCGAACAGCGGTGGTTACTATGATTTATGAAAAAGAAAAAAAAATGTCCACAGGGAATATGGTTTGTTTTCTTATTTGTATATGATTAATCATATATAAAGTAAAGAAACATAAAATAAATGGGTGTTGTGTGTTGTAGAGAAGATTCTTTAGATCTTGATGGAGAAGGTATATATGATGGTCATGATATAATAATTTACTTATATTCTATAGTCGACTTGTCACATTTTACACTATTAAGATCTGTTGGAAAAGGTGCCTTTGGTAAAGTCAGAGTAGTTCAACATAAAAGCACCAAGAAACTATATGCTTTAAAATACATCAACAAGACAAAATGTATCCAAATGAAAGCGGTTGAAAATATTATTTCTGAAAGAAAATTATTGGAACAAATTGATTGTAACCTGATTGTAAATATGAGATATGCATTTCAAGATGATGAAAATCTATTCATGGTTCTCGATTTAATGCTTGGTGGTGATTTAAGATTTCATTTGGATAGATTAGGTGTTATGCCTGAAGAATATGTCCGATTCTATGCTGCTGAAGTTGCCTTGGGCTTACACTATTTACATTCATTGAATATTATTCATCGGTAACTATTTATATCTATATATTTAAAATTTTATATTCACCTTAATATTATTATTAGTGACCTTAAGCCAGATAATATCTTGCTGGATGAAAAGGGTCATGCTCATTTAACAGATTTTAATATCGCAACAATGATAACTGGTTCAAAGCCTCTGACTTCGGTTGCAGGTAGTTTTGCCTATATTGCACCTGAAGTATTATTAAAGAGAGGTTACCTCACTTCTGTTGATTGGTGGTCAATGGGCGTCGTCTGTTATGAACTATTATTTGGCAAAGTAAGGCATTTAAACTCATTTTATTACTGTCTAGATTTTTTAATTACATTATCAATAGAGACCATTCAGAGGAAAAACAAACGACGCTTTACAGCAAGCAATTCTACATGATCCAGTCACATTTCCACATCATCATAAAGTATCATCAACAGCTATAGACTTTATAAAATCTCTACTCACTCGTGATGTCGATCGTCGTATTGGCAACGGCAAACAAGGATTTGACAGACTAATGGCTCATCCTTGGTTTGTTGGTATGGATTGGGAAAAATTAAGATTAAAACAAGTTGATCCACCTTTTGTACCTGACGTAAGATTTTACATGATAAACAAGTCATCCATCATAACATTTCTTTGCTTGAATAGAATAAAAAGGCCAACTTTGATCCAACTCATGAATTAGAGGAAATATTATTAGAGAATAACCCACTTAAAGTTAAAAAGAAGAATCCTAAACGCAGTGCAGGTGTTTCTTGCTCAGATAAAAGCCTTCAAATAAGTGGAGATCCAGAACTAGTCGAACAAAATCCAGAAAGACAGCTGATGGAAGACAAATTCTTAACTTACGACTATAGCAAACCAGAAGAAAACGAAAATAGAAAAAAGTTAGCTGAGCAGAGACACTGGGCTCAAAAGATGAATAAGACAACTGGCCACCCTACTAGAAAAGCTGGAGGCACTTATAAAGCAAGTGTACTAGATTATCTCAACCAAAAGCCGCCTACACCGCTAACTGCTGCAGATATTTTAAAATTGGAAGAATTAGCCAGATCTGCAAAAGCGGGGTTAGGTAAAGATAAATCAAATGAATGGAGACCACCTTCTGGCTTATTAGGACATGGGACTATTGCTGATGGATTTCCAACTGATGCCGTTAAAGCAAGAGATAACTATATATTAGAGCACGGTGGTAATCCTCCACCTAGCAGACCTCCTCCATTAACCCAGCATCACACTAGTCATAATAGTAGGTATTAGAATAAGATAGCGATGGCAATAAAAAGAACGCATCATGATATATATTCTATAGGATATAGATTAAGTATTTCTTCTTCAGAAGCTGATAGCTTTCCATTGGCACATTCACCCGACAACTGTGAATACCCTTTAATAGCGTCTGCTGCGGCTATTGGAACCTCGACCATAATAATGAACAACAATAACAACAGCAGTCGTGCTAAGTATTCAGCTTCAGTGACATCGACCATCAGTTCGCAAACACTGCATGACCCTTCTTCTAGTAAATCAAATACAAACTCAAGCCTTACTATTAACTCTATTAATCGCCAACAACAACAACAGCAACAGCAACAGCAACAGCAGCCTCCTACGCGTATGTCAAGTATACCTCGATTAACTAATCTCAATGCTTTATCCAATCCTCTTCCCCCTCCTACCTATTTACCTCCACCTATTCCAACAGACTTACCAGCAATACCTAAATAAAGTTTATTTATATGTATAGTTAGCTTATGACACGATATTGTACACACATCCAGAAATTCATTAATAAAATACGATCTAGCTATGGTTTATATTGTAAAAGAAAGTCAATCTTGCATCTATACTGCGCTTATATTCAATATCAAATACTACCACTATATATGTCCTTCAATGTAAATTCACCCTACAAAGCTGACATTTACAATAAACAAAAGTACCTTTAATAGCCCACTACCATTTATAGTAACTTGTTTTCATTTTAAGCTTTTATAAATAATAAAAGAAAAAACAGGCACCAACACTTTCTTCTTTTTGTTCACAAACTATCTTAAAAAGAATGATCACAACTATTAATCAATCAGGAACTATTCTTCATAGTCATGGCATCGAAGTATACCATAAACATACACCTCTAGCTGCGAGTGATCATGACGCGGGATTCAACTTGCAAAAGTGGGCATGGATTGAACAAAAGGATTCTCCTGAGGCATTTGTTAAAGTGAGGGTTGTTGATGATAAATCATTTAATGATATGGTATTAGTTGAATACGAGGATGGATACAAGGTAAGAATACAGATAAGTAGACATGACATGTTACATTAACCCATCAAATAGGAAGAAAAAATACCCAGAGATAAAGTCTATATGATGAATCCTCCCAAGTTAGATCAAGTAGAAGACATGGCAGAGTTATTATATTTGCATGAAGCAGCTGTGGTGCATAATCTAACTCAAAGATACAGACAAAATAATATATATGTAAGCTAATTTCGCAATATTCTGATTGAACTTGCTAATATGCCAGCAAAACTTAGACGTATTCTGGTCTTTTCTTGGTGGCTGTTAATCCATACAGAAACCTTCCCATATATTCCTCAGAGATCATCAAGCATTACCGGAAGAAAAGAAGAGGCGAAGCTCCCCCTCATATATATGCTATAGCCGATCATGCGTTTTATAATATGCTTCATGAAAAAGAGAATCAATCCATACTTATCACGTAAGGGAAAAATGATTACAATCATGATCAAAGCTGCTAACTTTTATTTACAAGTGGAGAATCAGGTGCAGGAAAGACTGAAAATACAAAGATCGTCATTCAATACTTGGCTACTATTGCCGGGAATGGAAGTAATGGGTTTACCTCTGACAAACCTTCAAAGTTGGAAGAACAGATCCTACAAGCGAATCCTATATTAGAAGCGTTTGGCAATGCCCAAACTATAAGAAACAACAATTCATCTAGATTTGGCAAATTTATTCGAATTATCTTTAACAGAAATGGTGACATACGTGGTACCTTTATTGATTGGTATCTACTGGAAACATCAAGAGTACATACACAGACATTAGAAGAGAGAAACTACCATATATTTTATCAGCTGTTAAGCGCTAATCAGGATATGAAAGGTAATTCAGCTATATATACGTATACATAATATATAATAACGGCCTTTATAGCTACACTGCACATTGATCAAAAGTGTCCCGCTGACTTTAACTATACAAAAAACTCAAATCATACAATTCAGGGCGTAGATGATGCAGCAGAGTATAACAAATTGGTACAATCTATGGATATCATGGGCATCACCTTTGAAGAACGATTGAACTTCTTTCGTATAGTTGTTGCTATCCTTTATTTGGGAAATATTGTTGTTAGCAATCATTTTGGAAGAGTAGATATTACAAATTATGAATTAGCCTGCGAAATATTAGGTGTATCACCTCTGTTGTTTAAGAAGCATTTAATGGAACCGCAGATCAGAGCTGGTAACGAATGGGTTAGTCAAAGTAAATCGCCAAGTCAAGTCAAAGACCACTTGGATGCTCTGACAAAAGTACTATATGAAAGAAATTTTGGTCATCTTGTGAGTCGCATAAATATGGCTATTGATGGGCCAAGATCATTAGAAGGGATGCTTGCTTCTGAGGGAGAGCGATTTATTGGTGTATTGGATATTGCAGGATTTGAAATTTTCAAGGTAAATCTTTAATACGTTTTCATATGAAGCTATAGCTTATTTGTATAAAGATCAATAGTTTTGAACAATTGTGCATAAACTATACCAATGAAAAACTACAAGACTTCTTTAATCAAAACATGTTTGTACTTGAAGAAAATGAATACAAGAAAGAAAACATTCAATGTGATGATTCATTCGACTATCGCAATGATTTACAGCCAACAATTGACTTGATCGAAAGCGCTAAAAATGTAAGTCAGTGTGTTTCTAAAATGCAAAACATTCTACTAAAAAAAGAGCCATTAAACTTAGCCTATTGGTATCCTTTCCTGCCTTGAAGACGAATGTGTTACTCAAGGAACAGATGAACGACTATTATCCAAAATTGTTGAACAGAATGCTAGTAATCCTCGGTTCAAACGTGACATCTACAATGAAGGCTTTACTATTAGACACTATGCTGGTGACGTGAAATACTCTACTTCAGGATGGATCGAACGAGGTAAAGACCCTCTGAATGAACATATTGCAAGATTATTTTCAGAATCAACAAATCCTCATGTGGCTACATTATTCAAGGATTATGCTAATACGTCAGCAAACAACACCCCACGTACTGCTGTTGAAGTGCGTAAAGCACTCTTTAAGACGCGAAAAGGCGGTGGTAACTTCCATACAGTTGGATACAAACATAAGCAACAGCTTTCGGTGCTGATGAACATTTTGAATAACACACATCCGCATTTTGTGCGCTGTATCTTACCTAATGATCGCAAACGGCCAGGAGAGATTCAACCTCAGTTAGTACTCCATCAATTACGGTGTAATGGTGTTCTCGAAGGTATCCGTATTTGCCGTATTGGCTATCCCAATCGTTTGACCTTTCAGCAATTCCGAGAACAGTATAAACTCATTGCTCCAGAATTGGTGTCAAATGAGCGCGATCATCGCAAAGCGTGCATGTTGATACTTGATTCCGTTCCTAATCTGCTGAATACAACACATTATCAGCTTGGTAAAACTAAAGTGTTCTTCAAAGCTGGAATTTTGGGTGAACTGGAAAAGCAGAGGGACTTGAAGCTATCAGAAATTGTTACCAAAATTCAAGCTGCTTGCCTCGGATTGATTGCACGTCGTAGGGCGGTACTTCGTCAGTCACAAGATCAGCTAATTCGAACCATTCAAAGAAATGCCCGGGTATATGTCAGTATGCAAAAATCAAAGTTATGGAAAGTCTATTTCCGACGAAAAGACCTTCAGTATACATTTGGTGCCGAAAACGCAATTCAAAAAAAGGTTGAAGACTTGGAGCAGGTGTTATCTGTAACTCAGGAACAGTTGCATGAACTTTCGGAAGAGAATCAAAACCAACAAAAATATATTGAGAAACAGGAAAGTGAAGTGCAACACTGGCAAGCTGCCTATCATCAGATGGAAGAGGAGAAGAGTTCGTGGATTTCAAAGAACAAACAATTGGAGCAAGAGTTGGAAGAGACAAAGGAGGCATTTTCAATATCCCAAAGAGAACTGTTTGAAGCAAGGCAACTTAGTGAAGAGCAAGCTGTAATGCTGTCAAAAATTCATCAAGATATACAAGAAGAATGTGAAGAAAACGAGTCTTTGATGGTGCAATGTGACGAACTCTGTAGAGAAAACCAAGAGTTACAAGAGAAAATACAACATCTAGAGGAAGATAAAGGGGCTTCTGAAGAATTACAAGAAGAGCTGAATGAAAAAGTACGCGAATTTGAACAGTTACAGCAAGTAATAGAAGAGAATGAATCGAAATATAGTCAAGAAATAGCAGTAAGAGATGAGAAAATATTCACTCTGAATGAAAAGATTACCGTAAGAGATAAAGCGTGCTTGTTTACTTTCAACTAACTGTTCATCTATTCAAACTATAGACACAAAACAAAGAAGTCGAAAGGATGAAATTTGAATATGAGATGATTCAGAAGGAGCTATTAGAATACCAAAGTGATATGCATGAAAAGACAATAGCTTATGATACAATGGAAAGCAGATTGAAGAGTTTAGAAGCGTCATTAGAAAAAGAACGTGAAGAAAGAAGATCATATCAAATGAAATGCATGCAAATGGAGCAGAATGTAAATAAACTAAGAAGGCTTTTAGAAAATGAAGCAAGAGAATCAAGGTCTCGAGCTGAAAGGTAAACAAATACATTCATAGAAAGGAGCAAGATAGCTAAGTAATGCTTAAAATAGATTTGAGGATACAATAAAGTCCTTGCTTCAGTCCTAAATGCTAAAAGAAAATTGTAGTTAATGTATATAAAAATGACCAGCTTATTTAAATAAAGAATATATTTGAAATATAAAACTTTTGGCCAACGTATATGAAAATTGCTGTTTTATATAGACTACTACTTTTTATTAATCTTATAGTGACCTTAATGATCTCCCAGATGTTTTAATTCTCCGTAAGAACATGTTACAAACTTTTGTTACACGATATCTTGATATCTACACTGCTATGCCGCCGGTTGTTGCACAACAGTGTTAAGTTGGCGTTCTGTAATCAATATTATTTGTCATGGTTTTATATATCATTTACTTTAGGCTTTCTTGCAGAGTATATTTATCCCAGACATAAATAAGGATTAGCTATCCGTAGTTTTACCAAGTAAAAGGTTTTAGCAATCAAAAGGTCCCAAATCGTTGTTTTCGTATGTTTCTCGATTACCTCTTTGCTTCTTTTATTGCGGCAACTTTATATATTCACCACCTGTTTTTGTTATGATCTCGTTTTGATTATTTAATTATTAATATTATATACAAGCTATCTCATACTCTCATAGTCGTTTTTGTCTTACTGTACGTACTTCATTTCATTTTATTAGATTATCTCCACAAGTACTCCCTTCTCTTTCTCTCTCCCCTTTGCTTCCAGCTCAAAAGCCTTGGTCAAGAACCACGTTCCTTCCCTCTATGTGCATCCAACTGTTGCAGTTGTCCAAGTAAGATGTAACAGGCTCTAGCAAGAATAAATAAACGTATTGAAATCACCATCTTTTCTCTTTTTTTTGTAGGCAAGCTTCGATTTATGACTGCTGCATTCGTTCACATCAACAATAAACTAGTGAACTCTCCTCTCTCCACATCTAGACTATTTCATTATTGTCCAAACTTAAAAAGGAATCAGTGTCTGATTGGGGCACACGCAACTATGTTTTATTTAAAGAAAAAGAAAAAGTTTAGGCTGGATCAAATCCGAGGTATTGTGCAAGTGCTTGAAGACTTAGCCCCAATTCTTCAATATCCTGATTTATGGCATTTGCCTCATCTGAAACATTAGCAATATTGTTGGTTATTTGATTAAGAGAAGGCGCAGAGGAAGAAGTAGAGTCTAGCGAAGCAGCTGGTGAGGCTACGACATTGGTCAGCTGTGATGGTGTTCCATAAAGTGATTCGCTTGTAAGTTGATTGAGTAGGTCAGGGTTCGATTGTGCTAAGGTGATCAAGTGTTGGAGATTTTGAAGTTGTGGCATATTAGAGAAGTCAAGATTAGGTACGTAGCTTGATGTATCAGCTATTTTTAAAATAGAATAAGTATACAACTTCCATATCAAGAAGTTTTTTTTTTACCTATTTTTGATTTGTTATTGAGAGCAATAGCGTCTTGTAAGTCATTAGCCGGGATGTTGGTAGGTATAGGATTACTAATTTCTTCTTCATCAGCTTGATCATTTACATCATTTACATAGTCATTGATATTGAATAGTGCCTCATTTTGTTGTTTTTGTTGTTTGGTTGGTCTTTCATTATCATCATCTTCATTGGATACGATAGCGCCTTCAATTGGTTCAGTCTCTTGTTCAACACTCTCACCCGGACCCAACAAAAATCGTCTTTTTCTTGGGATGACGTTTCTTTTTTCGCCAGCGCCGCTACTAGAAAACACAGATGCCAAAAATTGAAGTATTTTATCTATTGTTTCTTGATGTCGAAGGTGTCTTTCCCTTGCTTGAACTGTTTCTTGCCACAAAATCTGATTATCGCGCTGGATGTTCTGGAGTTGAGTTGAGATGCTCATCTGATGCCTTTTTATTGACTTTATCTCTTCTAGAATATGTTGTAAATCAACACCAGAAAGTTCTTTTTCGTCAGCACTTACACCCTTTTTCCTCGTCACCAGTGTTAGTAGCTCTGGCTTGTTTCGTTGAAAATTAGGGTTACTGAATTCCCAGCGCTCGGAATCGCTGTCGGTTTCTAAGACGCCTTGTTGAAGGTGAGGTACCTTATGAAATCCATACATATTTAGTTGTCGAACAAAAGATGAAAATTTGTTGTGTTTAAAGAACCGAGGTAATACTTTACGCGCAAAGTCTTCTTGTCTATTTACGAAAAAGGATTTACCATCTTCCGCCCAGCAGATGAGATCATCAGTAGAAGGATCATTAACCATACTATAAATATTATTGTTAGTCAATCATTAACAAACATGATTTACATTATTTACCTAAAAAGCTTATTGAGGAATGCGGGTACACTTTTCTGTGGTGGAGTTGTTGTTTGTAAATTGGCTCCAGTAGTAGTGGAAGTAATAGCAGTAGGTACTATATTCTTGTAGATTTTTGAAGGTGCAAGCAAATCTTCCTCTAATTTTAAGTTTGGTATCTTGCTCATTTTAAAAAAAGACACTTGGGCAAAGAAAGAAACAAAAAAAAAAAAGAAACAAAACAAAACGAAATGAAAAAATCTTTACATTATTTGAATCCCCGATTTTAGCCCTTTTTTTATTTGGTGAAAATAACGAATTTGTTTACAAGTGAATTTTACGCATTTTGAAAAAAATGGTTAAGCCATGTCTAACCTTTTCTCCCCTTTCCGTTGTCATGGTGATGGTTATTCATTTAGTGGGTGTTTCTTATTTTATATTAGTTGCCTTAATTAGTAATCCAACAAAAATGTATCCATGAGACACAGTCGCACAAAAGCCAAAGAATATTATCTCTTTTCAAATTTTCCTTTCTTTTCTCCTCCGCCTTTCATCATGTCATTTCTCAAAGGACGTATTCAACTTTCAGATAACCAGGATAGAAATATAAGAACAAGAAACACCTGGTTAGGCTACCTTGCTCTTCCCTGCTGTACTTATCTAAACTTGAAGCGAATACAGCTTCCTGATGACTCCGACGATGAACAGCTTGTTGATGAACAAGACTTGGAGTATGAACCACAACCTTATATGCCAAGTCATATTCCAACGTTTCAAACGCAAAATTCACAACAAATTTTATCCAAAAATCCGTTTGCTCGAGCAGAAGAACCTTCAGATGAGGATGGCAAGTCTATACAGACTGAACTAGAAGATAGCGGACAGACAAGTGTGGTAATACTTATTAAAAGATGAAGGAAAAATTAACTCAAGGCTTTTATTATAGCAAGCACAAGGTAGCGAAGAACTTGTAGAATTTAATAGTACTTCATTTGCCACTCGAAATTATGAGAATGAGCCTGACTGGACAGAGCTATATCATGATGATGATGGTTCTGACAAAGAAAATGAAAGCAAAGGAAAGGAAGAGCAAGTAGATGCCTTAGATGATACCCAGAAGGTGACCGAAGAACTCGATGTTTTTGATAAGAAGCAAGAAGAAAAGATACCGCAGATTGAAAAAGAAGTATTGCATTTATTACCTTTACCAGAGCTGTCAGAGGAAATTCCGCCTAATATGATTCACAAATCATTATCTCTTGAAATATCTCTGTATGGTGAAGAACCTCTCACCTCAGGAAGCCGTTCAAGTCACAGACAATCTCTGTCATTAAATAGATTCTCTCAACTCTCTTTTAGCTCTTATATACAGTCTGCAGAGGATTCTTCAGAATCAGGGCAACAGGATAGGCTTATGGATCCATTATCAGTGCAGACAGAGCAAATAGATAAAACAGAACCTACTCCTACTGCATCAAGCTCTCTTGTGGACGATAAAGCAGAGAAGACTACAGTGGATGAAGAAGTATCCGAAGATCCTCTTATAAAATCTAATTCAGTAATAAATAAAGAAAGCAATTCTGAGTAAAAGCAAAAAAAAAAAAAGTTGACTTAAGCAAAACGTGAGTGGAATGCAGTAATTGACTCTATAATTGTTCTTTTATAGATCAAACCAAAATGGCATAGACTTTCTACGTAGAGGTAGTAGTTCATTTATCGAGGCTGCTGCTCGCTTTATGACACATGTTACTGGTGATGAACAACCATTTGCGCCAATGTCTTTTCTGTCCGTATTGGCTGAATCGCCACCTTCAGCAGAAGATGTAACAGAAGAAGAAGAAGAATTATTTGACTTCTCTAAAGTGGTTGAAATCGGTAAAAGCATGAAAAGCTTTAGTGAAGAGCTTGTAGAGAGTAGCATCCGAATGCTTAATGATGTTGGTACTCGAGTAAAAACTACAGTTGAACAACAACAAGACGACGATGTAGTAAGTCAAGAAGAAGAAGAAGACGCTCATGACAATGACTGGTTGGATATACATATCTAATGTCTCCCCTTTCTTTTTTTATTACATTATATATATCCAGAATAAAACACTAGTTAGTATACCGTAGCAAAGATATATCGAATAGCTTAAGGAATGTACTGGCTACAAACAAAGATCATTTCAACTTATCCGTGGTTATTACAATTACTAAAGTTCATATACTCATTGATACCAGATCAGAGACACTGTTCTTCTCAGGAAACAAGAACTGTCAAATTAAAGGCTATGGATATCGAGGGATATTTGGTTTTTCTAATAATCTCGTCTACACTTTATTCGCATACTGGAAATATAATGAGACAACAAATGATAAAAGAGAGCCCATCAGAAGTAAAAGAATGAGTAAGCTTGTAAAGTGTTGATCACATTATACATGCCTTCTCTGTTTTCTCAAAGATATCAAGTTCATTTTATGCATTATTATATGTTGTCAAGCTGGAAACAATAAAGAAAAGGTTGATCAAAGTGTAATTGTGTGCGAATACTTTCTGAATAAAGTGTAAGAACTGCAGTAGATTAACAGTCTTCAATCTTCCTTATATGAATTATTTATTATATGACTTGGATTTTTTAGAATCTCTGCTACGAGACCGACGATGTCGACGCTCTCTACTATATCCACCACCATCATCATCATCATACCGTCTCCTTCTACTTTCAGATCTGTCTTCGTCATCCTTTCTTCTTCTCCTGCTGTCGGACCTTTCTTCATCGTCATATCGTCTCCTTCTGCTTTCAGATCTTTCTTCATCGTCATATCGTCTTCTTCTACTTTCAGACCTTTCTTCATCGTCATATCGGCTTCTTCTGCTACTAGCACTGCTACTAGTACTACGGCTTCTGCTCCCATTCATTTCTTCCTCGTATTTTCTTTTCGAAATCTTTTTAAATAAGCCTGTATCTTTATATTGGTATGCTTCTCGTCTGTCTTTAGACTTTGTTTTTGAATCCTTTTTTACATCTTCTGGTTTTGCTCCTAATCCTAGCAGTGCCTCTCGTTGTTTGACTGGAGTAGCTACTGGGGTTCTATTGTTTATGGTTAATAATATCATCTACTTTCAGCAAACAGAGTATAACTTACGGTGTGTTTTTTCTATTTCGTCCAATTCCTTCACCTTCACTCCATCCTAATCCACGTAAAAGCGCTGCACCATATTCATCTACAGGTAGTCTTTCATATTCTTCCATTGTAGTCTCATCTGGCCTGTTTTGTATATCGTCTCTAAATGCTATTGTCTCATTCGCGGGTATCACCTTCACAGGGCGGTCATCCTCTTCCTCTATTTCCCCTTTTGACTCTAAGGTATACAGTAAGATTTTTATTTAAACAAGTGTATATATTTTCTATTTACCTTTTATGATCGCTTCTATTGCACGTTGTTCCAAACTTTGCTGTGGTTCTTGGTTATCGGAAACTATAATTTGCTCGGTAACAACAGTCTCTTGTTTGGTTTCTACTACATCATCTTCTGCTTTCTTTTGCTGAACCTGCAAGCCAAATGAAGCCGCACCTTGCTCAAGGACTTCAGGTTTCGCTTCGTCTATTGATGGTTGCTGCGCCCGCGCAGGCATAAACAATTCCCGTTTACGCTTTGCAAGAGCACGCCAGTCGACATTAGGTAAAGGTGCAATTGACAACGGCTCTGCTTTCTTCTTCGGTGCTGCTCTAAAGTAATTCTTGTTAAGCGTTTCAAGGTGGATAATCAAACAAACTCTTCCTTACTCTGTTATTTTGTTATCTTCAATACCAACAATCCTTTCATCGGCAATTCTTTCATCTGCGTCGTCATCATCGCCAAATACAGCGCCTCTAATTTGAAATCTGGGCCGTGCTACTTTTGATTGAAGTGGCAATCTAGCAGACATAATATTAACTAAAAGAGAAAAGAAGAAACAGCGGATAATACATGCATCCTTTTTTTGTAGCTCATTGAAATAAACAAGTCACACACTTTATGGGAGTGGATTAATGCACAAAAAATAAGTCTAGTCCATTTCAAATTTGACAACCTCAATTTGGTGGTAACAGTGAGATAACCTAGCATGTTTTACAAATGCAGCTTTATTTTTGACAAACTGTGACCCTTTAGAACTGATAGTTTGCGACTTTTTGATTTTGAAAATAAGGTGGGAAGAGGGAACAGTAGCTGAGGTTCAATAAAAAAGTGTCTTTTTTTCTTACTCGGCCCGGACAAACGATTGCGGCAAGAAGCTCAAGTATAACAACTCTGCAGACAGTGCAATCCAAGGGAATCCCTCTCTTTTGGCATATCGTTGAATAAAGATGGTAAATATACATTTGTGTGTGGATTGCACATAAGGATGGCTATTAGATCATCAAAAGAAGACTCTATGCAAATTGATGGATTATCAAAAATTGGATGCAATACAATACGACAGATATAGATATGCTTGTGTAGATTATCTTTCATTATTAGCAATTACAGCTGTCATGTAAATTGGGGGAGCATCAGCATCACACTTGAGCTTCTTGATATTCTTTTAGGCCCTTCTTGTGCAGTTCACCATGTCAAGATAGCATACTTTAACACTGTAAATAGGTCAACATTCCCAAGACACGTAACACCTACTGTAAGGGCGCCAAGTGCAGAAAGCACACTCCCCACAAGGTCACTCAATACAAGGCTGGTAAAGCCTCTTTGTTCGCTCAGGGTAAGAGACGTTACGACCGTAAGCAATCCGGTTATGGTGGTCAAACCAAGCCCATTTTCCACAAGAAGGCCAAGACTACCAAGAAGGTTGTCCTCCGTCTTGAATGCACTTGTAAGAAGTCATGAATTGTATGAAAGGCGAATGTGTATATTAATTGATTATATAGCTTGCAAGTACAAGATGCAACTCGCTCTCAAGAGATGTAAGCACTTCGAATTGGGTGGTGACAAGAAGACCAAGGGTGCTGCTCTTGTTTTCTAAACACATCGTATCCTAAAATAAAATCGAAAATCTATCTTTTTTATGCCTTATTTTTGCTTTATTTAAATCAATTACTGAAAAAGTCGTTAACTATTTTCAGTGCTATTCCTTTCACTGCAAAGGATCGAATGTTACAAACGAGTATATTATACCCATGACAACCGATATGACTGTGTCAAGAAGACTACAGTCTGATATCAGCTTCTTTATATTCCTATCCAACTATAAATGAGCAAAAGTAAAACAAAGTGTATGCCAAGTTTAGTAACTTCGTGTCACCTAGAAACCTTGCAGGTCAGATATCCATAAGTATCGCTTCAGAATAGTCAGTTAGAAAGATAGGTGTGGCTTCGCTTACTCTAATCCTCAATGGAGTGCCATTTGTAGTGTGGATTGTCAACGTCTTTCTGTAGGCCGAGGGCCTCTCAGCTGATACTGCGCCACCTGAAGAAATTATATTGTGTTAATGCTACATTTGCAGTCTCTATACTGAAGATAATCAAAACATTCTGATAGCAAGACAATGCCCTTTCAGCATACCTGAAAGCCCAAGAACAAGTTTACACTATCAATGGTTCATTATTCCATGCGATAGATGAAGTATATAGCTTAGTATTAATGATGGATATTCGTATTTAGGCTATTCCGCTACTACTGGCGTATTCTTTCACGATATCTACAATGACAGACTGAGTAACGCCTTTAATAGCAGAGCGCAATACTATTTTTGCTTGAGCTTTGGCATGCTCTTCCGTTAAGTGCTATAAATGGAAATTGCTGATACAATTACACGAGATACCACGCAAATAGATGTTGCCATCGTTGGTTTCTGCCACTATCAACTCACACAACAGTTTTTTTTTCTGACTTGTTTTGCTAGGCTACCGGCAAGTGTTTTGACATGGTACTAGTCACTATTGATGATAACTCTTTTTGGGCTCGCATACCATGATTCTTATATTGATGTTGTAAGCAATACTTCTTTTACGTAAAAGACGTGCCTTATGGCGATAAAAGAGGCGGTACAAGGCAAGCAATGGAAATGACGCTTCATTTTTAGTGAGGCTCGCGAATCGTGACTGTCTTTCTTGTTTATGTAAACTCTTTTTTGCGACAACTGAGTATACTTCTTTACTAGATAAAAAATATAAAGATGGCAAAAAGAAAGGTAAACTAGATCAATCACAGTTTATGATTTTCCCAAGCATTAAAACGCTTGTATTTAGAGAAAGACAAGAACTCACATTGCACCTACAGAAGAAGAAATGGACAAGATCCCCAAGAGTTTTGTTATGCGATCTGGAATTGTTGGGCGATCTGTTACTGCGCTTGTAAGAGATGTTAGACGTATATTTGAACCACACACTGCAAGCCATTTAAGAGTAAGAAGATAAATTAGAAAAAGTTTACGTGTAGATTGAGCCGACCGTTACTATAGGAACGTCGATCCAATCGTCTTAAAGATTTTGTTATGGTTGCAGGACAACTTGGTGTTACTCACTTTGTAATATTTAGCCGCACAGAAAAGAACGTTAATCTTCGTATTTGTCGTGTACCTCGTGGACCCACATTGACCTTTAGGGTAGTCGAATATGCTTTAGCTAAAGATTGCTTGGCTCTCCAACGAAACCCAAAGACATCCGATACCGAATATCGCACAAGTCCGTTGATAGTACTAAATAACTTTCAGCAACCAGGAAAGGAATTTAAAGTGATGACAGCCATGCTACAAAATATGTTCCCTTCTATTGATGTTCAAACAGTAACGTTTTACCGACAACAATTAAAAAAGAAAGACTCATTTCTTGTTGTAGATGCAATTATCTCAAGCTAAGCGAGTGCTTTTATTCAACTATAATGAAGATACGCAACAAATCGATGTTCGACATTATAGTATTGGCGTGAAAGCAACCGGTGTATCCAAGTCTATTAAGCGAGTAGTGAACACAGATCTGCCCAACTTAGGTGATTTCGAAGACATATCAGACTACATCTTAAAAGAAGCAATAGTTTCAGAGAGCGATGTAGAAGATGGTCCGGAATCAACGGTTACATTACCTGATCAGCGTAGAAATGAACAAAGGGCAGTACGTCTTTGTGAAATAGGGCCAAGAATGACATTGGAACTAGTGAAAGTAGAGAATGGCGTTTGTGGTGGAGAAGTGTTATATCATAGATATGGTAATCGAAATGACACATAATTAACATGTGATATTAACTAGCTTTATGCCTGTAGTCAAAAAGACAAAGAGAGAAAGAAAGGAAAATGAAGAAAGAGCAGCCAAAAAGGCGAAAATACTAAAAGAAAAGGAAGAAGCGAGAGCCTTGAGAGAAAAGGAAAAAGAGGAAGAAGCTTCTAAAGAAGAAGAAGCTTCAGATGAAGAAGAAGAAGAAGAAGAAGAAGCATAATAAACCTTTATTGAAATAACACTTGTAAAAGAATAAACGACCATGCATTTTTGTGCACAGTGATCATAATAGATGAACCTTTCTTGATCATGTTAAGTTTCGCATTAGCATAAGCTACTAGCTTATCTCCTAATTCAGGCGTTCTTCAGAGCCTCAGTTCCAGTTACGCCCTGTCTATTAGAATAAAAGGCATATATTTTCAAGTAATGTGCTTTCATTATATCCTTACAAAGTTGTAGGTAGTATACTCTAGGGACCATTTAGACCCTAGAACCTCTAAAGTTGCTCCAACACAGCTAAAGAGTTGCCAGCTTGTGACAGATTCTATGACATTTTATTTGTCAAGTAGGAATTAATCTTTAAACGGAAAGAAGGAGGAAAGAGGGGGGAGGGGAGAGAGGGATGATACACAATTTTAGAATGTGAGCCTTTCAATTGTAGCATCATCGATATCTGTACTGTATTGTCTGTTGTTTGTCTCTTTTCAATCGTCGTCATCTTCCATAGTATCGCTCCATCTCCCGACACTATCATTATCATCATCATCACTATACCATTCATTATCATGTATGATTCTTCTTCCTCTATATAGTCTTGTATCTTTTCCTTTCTCTGAGTCTTCTTCAGCATCTCTTTGCTCTTCTTCACCATCTAAAAAGCCTTGTATGTCTGGTGGGATTTCTTGCATCTGAATACTTGGTGCGGCATCTAAATATCTTAATTGTTCCATAACACGCTCGCGCACTTTTAGCAAATAAGTTCGATCATTTTGATTTTCTACTCTTCCTTTCAAATCAGGGTGTAATTTGTAATCTGGTTTAAAAAAATCTCGATATTCATTTGGTGGCAAATTTTCACTTAGTTCTGTATCAACAAGGACTGATGTTTCGTATGTCCAGCATCTTGCAACATTTCGAACGGTATAGCCTCCTCCGCCTACAACCAATAATGGGATATTAAAGTTTTTCACAAGTTGCACGCATCGACCATGCGCACGTATGCTTAAATTAAAGCAACCAAGTCGATCACATCCTAATGAATCTGCTCCACATTGAAGAACGATGGCTGAAGGCTGATATGTTCCAATGACTGCATCAATAACTTCTTTAAATAACCAAACATAAGCATCATCATCAATTCCATCTCGAAGGGGCACATTCACTGAGTAATATTTCCCGAGTGATGAACCTATCTCGTCTATATGACCTGTTCCAGGAAAGAAATCTCCGTTGTATTTATGAAAGCTGACTGTCATAACGCGATCAGTTGAATAGAATGCTTCTTGTACTCCATCTCCATGATGAATATCAATATCAATGTATAAAACGCGAGGAAAATATCTTTTCTATTAAAATTAGCTATAAACATGGACTAGTATGTGTATACGAATTCTATACCTTAATAGCTCTAATGTGCCAAGTACGATATCATTTACATAGCAAAATCCACTTGCTTCACTCTTTTTAGCGTGGTGAAGTCCACCAGACCAATTGATGCAAATATCTGCGCCGTCAGCTATCAGCTTTCTTGATGCCTCTATTGTTGCTCCCGCATATCGTTGACAAAAATCGTAAATACCATCGAAGATTGGACAATCGTCTCCTACATTGAATCGTTGAAAGAGATTTTCGTATTGATCGGCATTATCTGGTGTTACTCTTTTAGAATAGATTAATACAAGTATTTCAGAAAGTGTACACATGTACCTCTTTAAGAAATCTACATAATCTGCAGAATGAAAGTTTCTAATTTCATTGTCTGTTGCTTTACGAGGTTGAAATATCTCCATTTTTTCATGAAGACCATATTTTAGTACTAAATGATTAGTAAGTGTCAGTCGATGTGGCTTCATTGGGTGACGTTCCTATAGAATCAAAGACGGTGAACAATGAATGCTTTTTCAACATGTCATATTTACTCCATAATGATAGTTTCCAACGCCTTCGTCATGAAAATAAGCTACTCGTTTTTTACTATGTGAAGCTAATCGTCGTTTTCCAGGTTGCATGTATTTCTGTGTTGAATAATAATCCTCTGAGAAAGTTGACATGGAATCATCGTCAACAAATCCTTTTCGTGGCATTCTTTGAAATGATTAATAAAATGTAAAAAGTAAAAAGAAAAAAAGAAAAAAAAAAAAAAAAAAAAAAAAAAAAAAAAAAAAAATAGAGTAAATTTTTTCCTCTCTCTTTCTCTGTTTCTTGAAATGACCACAAAGACAAGTCGAATAGAAACGAAGAAAAAGAAGAAATACAAGTTGTCAAAGAGTAAGCGATATGATGACAAGATCAAAAAGGTCAAAGTCAAAGTTAGATCAGGTAGATCATGACTTTTTATAACATGAATCTTTAATTGATCTAATTGAATAATAGAGATCGACTTGTTTGATTGGCAAAAGTGGAAGTTTCATTGTAAAGATTATTGGATAGATTCTACCCTTGACAAAGTACCGAGAATAGACTATAGAAAGGTATCAACAAAGGAGTTTATTCAAAACTATGAATCAAAAAATATACCTGTTGTCATTACCCATGCAACTGATGACTGGAAAGCACAGGCACATTGGTCTGAAGAGGTATTATTATTATGATTGTCTTTATCATTTGGTATACTAAATATTTCCTAGTATTTCTTAAAGTATTATAAATCACATTTATTTAAAGTGGGAGATGATGACGACGACAACAATGTTTATATGAAGATGAAGCACTTTATATATTATTCGCAACATGAAGGACTTAAGGATGATTCACCACTGTACATATTTGACAGCGGATTTTATAGAACTTCTAGAACAAAAAAAAAGTTAGACAATCACTTGTTACAAGACTACAAAGTACCCAATTATTTTTCAGAAGATCTCTTTAAATTGACAGGCAGCAGAAGACCCCCTTATCGATGGCTCGTCATAGGTGGTTCTCGAAGTGGTACTGGAATACATAAAGATCCATTAGGTACTTCAGCTTGGAATGCTCTGATCAGAGGTCATAAGCGCTGGTGTCTCTTCCCACCAAACACTCCCAAGTCACTTTATGATCCACCCATGAAGCCTTATGATCATGAAGGCGTTTCTTGGTTTGACCAAGTCTATCCTAGATTCAAAAAGCAGGATGATCCAAATGATCCAAGAACTCTAGGCGAAAAACTAGGCATGGTTGAAGTATTACAACAACCTGGTGAAACAATATTTGTGCCTGGTGGTTGGGCTCACGTGGTCATGAATTTGGATTTTACCATTGCTGTAACACAAAACTTTTGTTCTTCAACAAACCTTGAATATGTGTACTTGTCCACAAGGCACTCTAGACCTAAGTTAGGAGAAAAGCTATATAGAAAAATACAAGAATTAGGAAAAAGAGAGCCTAAACTGTATAGAAATGCAGCTGCTTCACTACAGATGCTTAGAACAGTTCCACGACTACCACCTGATAGCAGTAGTGATAGTTCAGCCAGTTCATCGAGTAGTAGTAGCAGCAGTAGCAGCAGTAGTAGCAGTAGTAGCACTTGTATCAGTAATAATCAACAAAAGAGAAAGAGAATTATATCTTCAACAGAATCAGAAACAGACTTGAGTGATGGAACATGCATGTGTAAGAAATGTAAAACTAAACGAAAAAAGAACACAAGATTAGTATGATGCGTCTTTTATTATAGAACATAGACAATAAATAAACAGCTACTAAAAAACTCGCTTTTTGACACGAATTGTCACATCTGGATCAAACAAGGACGCATCACTATGTCTTGTCGTATCTATGAAAAGAGGTTACCCAAAGTCAGTTCATAGACCATAGACAACTTACCTTCAACTTCATTTCTATTGTTATAGCCAACCGTCTGCACTATTCTTGTATTTCCACCAGTTCTCAACTGTGGAGTTTTACGAAACCTTTTATAATTAACAACACCATGACTGCTTTGTTGTTGTTGTTGTTGTTGGATATGTGCATCGACAGGGCGTGGCCTTTTCACAAGAGGAGCATAAATAACCTGATCCCTGTTCTCAATATTCCTGATGGAAGGTGTGCTTGTATTGGCGGTTGATTCAACTGTATCAGACTGAGAATGTGCACTAGCCTGAGACTCAAAAACAGTAGTAGTAGCGGCAGTAGCAGCAGTAGTAGTATCAGGCGCTTCATCAATGGGTGTATCTATACTCATTGCATCATTGGAAACGATGGTTGATTCATTGGTGATATCAGCAGCAGAATGCTGTCCCGCAGCAGGTTCATTTTGATCAAAGTCTCCGTCGGCTGTGGATACTTCATTTGTAAGAGAAGATGGTTTTTGCACGTTGGTTGTATTGGTATTGGTATTCACTAAACCATCTTCCTCCATTCTATCTTGCTGTCGATTTTCTACTAATTCATCTCGGTTTACTGTTGGTTTTGGTAAGCGTGACGTTGTGGGTGGTGGAGATGATGGGGCAGGTAATGGATCGAAATTTCCAATCATATCATCAAAGAAATCACCTACATTAAGGGTAAGAGTTACAGCTTCTACTTGTGGTGATGGCTGTGAACAAGCAGACGTTTTAGACACTGAACCATCTTCCTGCTTGGATTCTAGCTCAAGTTTAGTTTCAGATGGTATGATTTTCTCATCTAGGTCAAAGATATCAGTCAGCATAGCTGCTGGTGTTTGACTTAATGTATCCTCTTTATGTTCAAATGCTGCATCTGAGCTATCGGGTTTGGCTTGAATACTTTTGGATGTGTGAGCATGAAGTTGACAAGAGTTATACGGTACTTTGTTTTCTTTGGAATGATTAGGGATAGAGACTATCGCCAGGGTATCTACATGATTAGAAGCTATGTCACAATGTGCCTGGTCATCTGTTGATGCTGTTTGTGAAGTATGAGGTGGTGTGATATCAATCTGTCGTCGTGTGTATGAGCTTGAGTATGGAATTGTGGCAGAAGGGTTAAATGGGACAGTATCAGCCTCCTGCAGCCCTCTATAAGTCACCTTTGGGCCATGATTATTTTGAGAAATTGGTATTGTGTCCACTGAAGGATTAAAAGGGACAGTATCCGCTTCCTGTTGTTCAGTTGAAATAGCTAGACGACGACTATCGTCATGATAAGATGCTGCTGGCTCTACAGGATTATGAGATATTGAAGGATCAGGGGAGCTTGACTGAGAAGGACTGGTTCTTTGGTTGTTTATATCAAAGCTGACTCTAGGGTTGCACATTGTGTGTGTTGAGCCATATATTACTGCATAGATTATTTCTGCATCTGGTATAGTTCGAACGTTTCTGTGATTGCTACAGAATTGCGCTTCTAAAGCTATCCAGCGATCTGAAGCTACCAATTCTGGCGATGGTTGTATAAAGAGTGTTGTTTCCTTTATATCATTGACATCTATTCCCGTATCCATATCAACCAATCTTATGTTACCATGGCATAGTTTAATAAGGAATGCTATACGCTCATACTTTCTTTTTATATGAATATAATACAGTTACTAATTTATCTATGTTCATACCTGTGCTTGATCAAATATCCAAAAATCTATGCCATCAAATAACTCTTCTCTATTTGGGTTATACACTAGTTCGATTGTCTTTCTCAATGGCCCATAGTCTTTTAAAATGATAGGCTCTGTCTGTCTATTTGCCTCTTCAACATCACCATTCTCTATTAAACTATACAACCACTTTTCAGATACAATTGGTCTATTGGTAACCATTGCATGCATCAACTTGTCACTAACAAGCAATTCCGTCATGTACAAGTGAGTGCATTGATTATTCCATTTTTTCAGTACATTAAACCCTAATACCTGTTTAATACACATGGTCTTTTAATGAAGAATGCTTTTTATGTTTACCTATTTGATATGCAGCCTTAATCAGTCTTTTCTTTTCAGCACTTTTAACGACATTTCGACATACAATAACAGGTTTCCATATCACCCTATCCAAAGAATCTTAGATACTGTATCTCAGGAGAAAGTGAATGTTATATACTTCATATAGAACCCTAAGCTTCCTAGTTGCATAATTTCATCATTGTGCCATGGAGCTGAACCTTGAACTAACTTTCCTTCTAAGCGTGTGCCATATGTTGTTTCGTGATCTGTTACTGTTAGTTTTGGTCTATGATTAACGTCTTCCTGTTGTTTGTGTATGTGTAAGTAGGCACATGTCAAATAACTAAAATGGCTTATATACCAAGCCTGCCACTGTCATGGAAGCAACCGTTATTGTTACATGCTTTTTACTAATGCTGTTGTCATGTCGTATGACAATATTGGTATCTACAAAAAAAAAAGTTAATCAAATGCTTACAAGCATTGGTACATTCAACTCACCTCTTTTGCCTACAGTATATTCTTTCCCAGGTAGCAATGCTTTTATGCATTGTTGTTCTAAATGACAAAGTGTAAGTGAAGCACAAGAAAAAGACTATTGAATAATATCTACCTTCACCATTAACAAATATCGAATACTTCAAATACCACATTTTATCGAAAAGACACAAAGAACAAGGAAAAGAGAGAGAGAAATTTCTGAGGTTAATACTGGTGGTAGCAGTCTTTATTGTTTTTAAGAGAACACGTAGACTCTCTTTTGTTTATACTTCTTTAAATACATTCTTTCTATAGCAAAAGAGGATTCTTGCGAGCAAAGCATCTTCTTAATTTTGGTGAATACAATGGCTGCTTCTTGTAAACACGATAGTTTCTGCTATAGAAAAAGACACGACTGCTGCTACTATGGTTTTGCCTTCAGTTACTACTCGATAGCTTCTCTGTTACTTGCTATCACTGTCATGTCCCTTTTAAAAGAAAGTGTAATCAATGAGAATATATTTATATGACAACAGAACATTCACTAATATTTACTTGTTCTACTAATCACTCTATTCTTATTGAATAAATCATTTAACGCAAACACGAAATATGGTACAATTACAAGAAAACTTTATTCATTTTCCAAAACAATTCTATATCTTGGTTTGCCATCTCTGAAGGCTTGGACGGCTTCATTACACTGTTTCATGGGATACTTGCTGATCCAGGGCTTCACATCGTGCTCAGCAGCAAATTGAAGCATATCTTCAATCATGGAAGGAGAACCAATCATGGAACCAACAAGACTGATCTGTCTAGCTGCCAAGAGCATAGCAGGAATGCCGTTAAGAGGTGCTTCAGGAAGAGCAACCATAATAAAGTAACTGTTGGTGTCCATTAGTTTGAAATAAGTTGGCCCTAGAAAAATAATTGTCAATGGCTTCTATCTTTTAGACTAGTGTTTACTTACAATCAAACTCCTTGCTGTAAGCTGTACAAATGATGTGTGTAAAAGTACCCGTATGAGCCTTTAATTCATCAGGGTTGCTTGCATTAATATATTCATGGGAACCAAGAGCTGTAGCATCTTGGAGTTTCTTGTCGGATCTGGAAATAGTTACTACGTGAGCACCCATTGCCTTGGCCCTAAATGTTTATTAGATACCCCATCTAATCAACATACACTTTAAACTTACCATTGAATAGCGTAATGGCCTAAGCCGCCAAGACCGATGACACCAACCTTGCTTCCCTTAGTGACGCCGTATCTCTTCAAAGGAGAATAGGTAGTGACACCAGCACAGAAAAAGGTGGCCGCAACTTCGTTTGTCATGTTGTCTGGCACTTTGAAAACAAAACGTTGGTGGCCCCTCCATTTATCAGCATAACCACCAAAGGCTTTGTCACCGTTTGGCCAGCGGCTGTTGTAAGTACCAGTCTTGCGACCTTGACAAAGATTTTCTTCACCATTCAAACACTCCTTACATTCAAGGCAGGAGCCAGATTGAGCACCAACACCGATACGGTCGCCAACCTTGATATGCTTGACATTCTTACCGACAGCAGTACAGATACCAGTAATTTCGTGTCCAGTAACGCAAGGATAGTCAGTTTCACCCCAACCACTGTCTTGAGTGTGAATATCACTACCACAGATACCACAGTGAGTAATCTTCATGTCGACAGTATCATCGTCAGGTGCTCTTAAAGGCAACTCCATCCATTCCAAAGGTTTGTCTATTATTAAGTTATGTCACTGCTATAGAGAAAGATTAAGAGCTATACCTTTAGAAACAGCGGCCCATCCGTGAAAAGTATCAGAACTCATTTGTGTGTTGTAATAGAAACAACAAGAATAAAGCTACTTATATCAGTAATGGTTAAAAAACGGGGATTATCTTATTGATTAGAAATCAAGCTTGAAACTCAGGCAGATGTCATTTTCGATAGTGAAACCAAACCCCAAACAAATCGTCCAAATTATGCTTCATTCACCCCCTTTTATTCTTTACTATGGAAACTAGCCTAGTAACAAAATGCCCTATAGTAACCCTTTTATCTATACTGTTTGCTTGAATGCGCGTAATCTCTAATAAAAAGTAATAGTCGGAACCAGAAAATAGCTTCGAGCTGAATAATACCATATTTAATAACTGCTTACGTCAACTAAACATCACATTTAACCGAGCTCGAAGCATATAAAAAGGGTTTATCGGTACAATTGTTATTAGAAACAAAGCATGGGAATACATTTAAAGTCAAAAACTTGCTCTTATCTTTTTTTAATTGAATTTTACCTTTGATAACATTCACCAAGTACCAAAGATTCAGAGAATTCTTGAATGTTTTCTATGCGTTTAAATACAAATTCCGGAACATTCTATCAACAATAGCTTATTTGAAATAAGATTATCTTCTCCCCTTTGCTTTCAAATTGAACCGATTATTATTGTCTGGGTCTATCTGAGAAGATGGCCACTGAAATTGCTTTGATACACAATATACAGGTTTATATATGGATAATCTTTCACGCTTCAGTACCGACGTCAGTGCCCATGCACAGAGACAGTTGTTTGGTGTAACAACTTATTATCTAGTAGGACGAACTATTTTGTTTAAAATGGCAAAATGAAGGATCTCAGTTGGCCAATCACAATGTCAAATGAAGAAATCATGTATTACCTAATACACTGCCAACTATTATATGTTCTGTTACTTTAGCTTTATTTTTCTTTTTATCATTGCTACCTAAGGCTGCTTTATTTACCTTGATTCTTTTCTATTATTCCCATATACCATAGTGCTTAATTCTAACTTCAATTCTGACGTGTTTGATAATCTTACAAAAGGGTATATGGCCTACCTTTTATTTATTTATCGTACACCAGTGATGATAACAGTATTGTGTATTAGATGACAGCATTTCATATAAAACAGTAGCCATAGCTTCCTTTAAAATCCTTGCTTTAATATATAGCTCTTTTCTTTCTACTTTCCTTGTTGTCGACGTACCTAGCTTTTATATATGTAAAAGTCGAATTTACAAGAATTAGACACTTCTGCTTCTGATTTCTTTTGTGGCAATACACTCTGTCTTGCAAAACAAAACCTTAATCTTCATTAGGTTTTAGATTTGTATAGAAAGTCCTTAAAAAATCACGGTCAACAAGGATGTCTGCCATAAAGACAAGCGCAGAGCCGGTCAATGATAGTTCATGCTGCGTTTTTTGAAGTTCAACACTTTGTCCTTTTTTATTTTCGTGTCCTAATCTACTAATTACAAAAGAAGAGTAAGTCCAAAGCAAATCCAAGCAAAGTCAAACAATGCTTTATACAAATTGTTTAACGAAGCAAACATTCTCCTCACTTGTCAACTTTTTTCAATTGACAAAAGAATGCCATATTGAGCACCTTTCGTTGACTTCCTGATGGTCAAGTTTACCCAGCGGCTGTAAAGATATTCTATCCATTTTACCACTTATCATCTGCTACATCTCGCAGTCATCATATCCTTGCTTCACTTGTTTGATGACAGCAAGGGTAGCTTGCAAGTTTTAGTTGGCTTTTCATCAATCTCTCTGTTTACACTATTGTTCTCTTGCCTTTAACTGTCAAACAAGGTTGCCTATTGCCAAAATATTCTTGCTGTCTTCTTTACTTCTTGCAATGATGAACTCATTCATTTTTTTTTTTTTTTTTTTCAATATATACAGCTTAGTGGAACAAATTTTCATCGACCACAGATGAACTTCACCGTCTAAAATAACCAAGTTGAAGAACAACCTCTTGCATGGATGGAAGAATTTTTGAGGCACATTATTATTCTATTTGAAAAAATAGAATATCATAGTTTTGAACGTACTTAATAGATGAACTGTATAGCCTTATTTGACTTAAACGGACTCATGATGTGATGACTATCAACTTGTAAATGATCATATAATTCTTGGATTAAAACAAAGCATATAAATAATTTACGATATGACACAAGACAAATGCTGGAAGGGATCTTTGAATAGAAAAAACTGCCTTGACTATATATAAAGTAACCTCTTTTTGCAATGATTAGGAATAGGAACCTTTTTTATATTCTTTTATAAAAGAATATAAAATTCACTTATTTAATTTGATGTCAAAAAGGATCGCGCAATTTGAATTTTTACTTCCCATAGATTAGGATTCATTTGTTTACTGAATAAGACAGATTGCTGCCATGATATAAACAAGCACTTTCACTCCAGGTTGTCTCTCCAATGGCGCTTGAACTACAATGTCTTTTTTTTTCTTTTAATTCTATGTTAGACCAAGCCAAAAAAAAAAAGCAACGGCCAACTTTCTCACAGAATATAACACACGCGTCATGTTTAACCCCCCACAAAAAGAAACTGTTGGTTAGAAAACAATAAAACTGAGATTAGATATCGTTTTAATTATAAAATAGGCAAGTAAATTGATTAAATGTCATTCCGGAAACTTCTCACAAACGAATTTCCCACGCCTCCAATACCAAAAGCAGGACCAATTCTACCGACTCTAGCCAAAGCACTCTTAAAGTACTCTTTCCTTATCAGTTGTGCTCTCATGCTTGATGTCGCTTGAGGTCTATTGTAAATATCTAATGCGTAAAGATGAACAGGTGTACTGATAAATTGGACAGCTGAGGGACACACAAGTTGTGAGGTAACATTTGCTGTCTTTTCATCAGAGATAACTGAGTAGTGCTGTAATTGATCGGCGATATAAGATGGTGCATTGAAACTAGCTGCGATGGTTAAAGCGTCTCTGGCCGCAAACAGAAAGTAGCTCAATTTTGGAAGAGATTTGTTGCTGGATATTCCAAACATTTTTGCAAATGCTCTGTCCTTGTATATGCATAATAGCATATTTACTGTAGATGTACTTAAAAATTTATAAAGAGACTTTTGTGAAGGATCAACAGAATATTGTTCACAAGTGGTATCTATCACATTGGCAGTTGTATAAGTCGAAAAATAGAGACCAAGGATCAACCGAAATTGAGCAGAAGCAGCAAATTTGAACGGCTGTGAGGCAAATGTCTTCAATCCATAAATCAATCCTTCTTTAAGTGGTCTCTTTCCATTCAAATTTTCAATGATTGATCTGATTACTGAACGTGTGAACATTTGTCACTAATCCGAGAATACACTTTACCTATCAACAATAGCGATAAAAGGAGCTACCATAGCAGACGATGTTATAGCAGCGAAAAGATCGATACCATAAAGCTTTGCTAATCTCTCCTTGCTGTATAAAAGCGAGACATTAGTGCTTGTCAAGCCTACTTCAGACATTTTTTTTGTTGGGGTAGAAGAAAGAAAAGATAAACACAAATGACTCAGGGAACAAAGGAACAAGAAATTTAAACACAGTGCCCAATGACTTCATAAGTTACCAAAGCTATGGATGATTCATGCAATTAAAAAAAAATGGAGTAGATGGACGTATGTCGTGAAGTTTTCCTTTCTGTTTAAAGGAAGCAGCTATTATCTTTGGAATATCAAATGGACATATCTGTTGTTTATAATGTATGTTATAGACTATCTTTATAGGGCATATGCATTGGTATTAATCTTTAAAATTAGACCATTCGTATCATTCAAGGACAATATGATGCTAAAATAGGGACATCAGAACAAAATCTGTAATGTAATTAGCACTTGACACATTACTTGTCAAGCTATCTCATATATACGTTCCACGTACAGGCTCAAGGCGGATGTTTAAACCTTTGACAGCGATTAAATCATTTTTTAACAATTCTTCCATGCCTGATCAACACAAAAAGGGAATAACGAACGAACCTTTAAGAAAATCAAAAAGACTAAGAAAGGAATTAATAGACAACGAAAGCGAACTTTCTCCTAAACTTCAGAAACTTGATCAACAAGTTCAGGACACGTTAACTCATTCAGATCTTGAAAATGACCAGAATGAAACGCTTAATCAAACAGTGCAATCAAATAAGAATGACCTTGAAGAGACAGAATCATTGCCAGATCTCGATCATTCAGACATTGATGAGCTGACTGACAGTATAAATGACCAATTAGCTATAGAATCAAATGAAAATGAAGAACAACCTGCACCATTAAAGGAAGAGCTTATAATAGATCAACAGCAAATTGATACTACACCAGTCGATCAAGAGGATGCTCAAAGTATTATAGATATAATGGAGCATACGAATAGTAATGAAAATGATGGAGAAACAGAATCTGGCGATTACTTTGGATCAGAAGAAGGCACTGATACACAATCTATTCGTCATGAAATAGAAAATGAAGGTAGTTTTTACTATGCCCCAAAGCCATTGTTAAAATTCTGATATAAAAGCGTTTTTGAATTTAAAAATCCTAGCCTCTGGTATACCAAAGGCAAGTGATAGAGAAATATCAAACCTTAGCGCTGAACAGCAAGAAGTACGGAATGAAAATCTCAACGCGTCTGGCGTATTCTTTACTCAAGAAGCTTACGAGGCTTACACTATTTCCTATAATCTTGTACCTGAGCTTCATGGTTTACTGCAATCCGCTATTCTGGCCAGAAGAGAGTTTGAGTGCTCAAATGAAGAGGCAAACGACCCTAGTCCTTCAGAGCATGTCTTTACTCCTGGTGAAAATATCTCATCCGAACCAGAAGATCAGTCTGAATCTGAGCCTGCATTACAGACGCCAAACCTCCTGGATACCGTTTTGAACAACTTGGAACAATATCAAAGCAATAGTAGCAACACACAACAGGGAATCTCGGATTTAGAGATTGCAGCACAATTTGCTGACATAAATGATAACGCCGATACAAAGGAAGCAAAAGACCATCAATACTCTAAACTGACAAGACAACAACATACACAATTTATCTCATTATCTGATCAAATAAAAAAGGTAAATCATCATGATCTGAATACGCCATTTCATTTCTAAATATACAATAGGGAATACCTTTATCAGATCCAGAACGGTTTTTATACAACAGCCTATGTATTGCTTTTAAAGCCGAACAAGATGAGTATGTAAATCAACAACGGAAAAAGATGCTGGATTCCAAAGTCTATGATATTCTGGATAATAAGATCGATACGATGATAAAAGAGTATTATTCTTTAGAAAACAAAAGGATACAAAAATATCCAGTAAGCAGTAACCTTTTATATATATGCAAGAGAAAAAAAAAATAACAGAGCCCCTTTGTAGCGTTTCTACAGATGCTTTAACTTTGTAAAGATGCCAGTTGCTATTCCTCAGGAGAAACCTATACTATCCTTTAAGAAATCGTTACTAAAATCCGTAAGTATGAAACCAACAAGATGAAGCTTTACTTAATTTTATGCAGGGACAAATAAGTGCGTGCAAACCTGAAGTGTTTGAATCGCCTAGAAGAATGGATATATTTAAACACTATATTGACACTGGTAAAACCTATGAAGATGACATAGCTTATGGTACATATTACAAAAAGAAGATGCCTCCAAATCTTAGTGATGATAGAATTGTGCACGACATAATTAAACATACAAAGTTCGAAGTGGTCATATCCTCATCTAGTCTATTGAAGCTGGTAGAGATACAAAATGATTTATCCACCAGTACCTATATACCTCTGACGGTAAAGCAAGAGAATGACTGTAAGCTTACCTTGAACTATACCCCCCTCCTATGGAATACTCATAAGCGTTGTAGATAAAACTTTGATATTTGATCGTCCTTTACCAAAAGAAGCATTAACCAAGCGTGAAATGAACAAGATAGTATATGACTTGGCCTTCAAAAGCCTTTGTTTAGACTGGGCAAAACGACACCCCATATCATCGACATCCAAATCACATATAAGTAGTCCTGACACAGAAGAGTGGGACTATAACAATGATGAGAACCTCCAATATAACCACTGGACATTTGGAGAGGATTTGAATATTCTAATACGACATCAATCGGATGGAGAACTTTCTAGCGTAAAATATCAGGATGCTATTTAATTTAGGCTTTGAGCTAATAAAATAACCTCGTCATAGCAAAATACGACAGGAACAGCAGATAAAAAGGTTACTCTAGTTTCAAAATTGGACTATCAAATATGTGAAGAACGAGAAGAAGTGGTTACTCCTGCAGAAAGAGCCATGAACTGGTTGCGATCATATATTGGTGGACATTCAATTGTTATGGAAGGAAGGATTGATTTGGTGAATAACCGTCTAGTGCGAGTAGATAAAAAGCAAATGATAGACATTATGGGTGATAGGTGGCAGCCAATAGGCGAAAGTGAATTGATTCGACAGACATTTTTAAATTTGCAAAAGTACCACATGTTGAATACATTCTATTATATAAATAATAGCTCACATCTCTTTATTTTCTATAGAATCCTTGAGCCTGGTCAGTATTTGTTACATCACAAGCCTGGAGATCGAAATTTCTTGATATATCAAAGTATTGACGAACAAGTAAACCAGAACGACAGCAGCATTATTGATTTACATGAAAAATATGGTGACAATAGTCCTTATCCAAGTGACTCTGCAAACTGTTTTATACCTGCATGGAAGAGTAATGAAGATCAAGTAGCATGGACTTTTCCTATAAAATAAAATAGTATATGTTTGAAATAAAAAACAGGTTATTTTTATTCAAAGAAATATTCTTCAGGCTTAAATTGCATCCATCAAAAAGTTAAATCAAGAGCCTCGTTTGCTCATCTTCTTCTACGATCCCGACTTCTATCTTTAGACTTTTCCTTTTCTCTTTCACGACTTCTGTATCTTGATTTTGAAGGATGACGTCTGGATGAACTACGATGTCGTGAATGACGAGAGGTGGATCTTGGTGATGCAGATCTTCTGTGAGAAGAGTGTCTCTCTTCACGATAGCGACTTCTACTCCTTTCATCACTTCGACGATCACTGTATCGATCATATCGATCACTGCTGTATTTATCATCCCTTCTGTCATTATATTTACTCTCGTGTCTATCACTTCGTCTTTCATCTTTTCTATCCTCGCGTCTGGCACTACGTTTGTCATCTCTTCTTCGGCTGTCATCCCGTCTTCGGCTATCATCCCTTCTTCGATGGCTTTCGTCCCTTTTACGACTATCACCTCTTCTTCGACTGTCTTCTCTTCTGTTGTCACGTCTTTCACCTTTATCATCGCGTCGACCTTCTTCATCACGTCTATCTTCATACTTTTCATCGTATCTTTCCTCTCTTCTACGACTACCATCGCGTGAACTGTCGCGTCGAGGAGAACGAGAACGTCCTCTCTCGTCATTAGTTCTATCTTCATTGTGATGATAATCTCCACGGCCTCTTGAGCTATGGTATCCGCGACCTCTCATGCCTCCTCCTCGTCCTCTGTATCCTCCACGATTAAAGTTATATCCAAACATATCTTGGAAAGGCATCATGGAGTTATTGTATACATTTTCTTCATTATTAGCAAATGTATTAGGAAAGTTCATAAAGGCTGGATTGGGGTTGTTGTTATCTCCTTCAGTCTTGTTCATCCAGTCTGGTGCAGTAAAAGGGGGGAAACCAGCAAATGGAGGACGTGGCATGTTCATCCAATTCATATTGAACATCATGTTGTTGTCCATGTTAAAATTGTGTTTTCTGTTCATCGGTCTTTCATCCGATGATTCAAATACTTGAATGGCTGTTCCAGTATTGCCCTTTGAAGGCTATATTTACTATAAATAAGCCTGTATTTGATAATAAAATACTATTTACCTCTCCACTTTCATTTGGTTGTTGTTGTTGTTGTTCTGTTTGATTTTGCTCCTCAGCCTGTTGTTCTTCTTGGTTCTTCTTTGTTTCTTCTTGTTCTCGAATATAAACCTCGATCGCCTTTCTCAACGTCTTGTTTGGAATGAGTTGATCAACCGAGATGTTGTCTTGATTATTGCAATGAGGACAACGACCTTCTTTCTCAAGCGTTGTAGTAATACCTACATTAAAAAAAATATAAATACATTGTTTATATGTGTTTTTTATCTATCTTTAGTCTATTATTTTTCTCTGTTTCTCTCGCTTTCTTTCTCTCTCTCTCATTTTCTGTCCTCTCTCCTTTTTCCTTTTCTCCCCTTTCTCTCTATTTCTGTCTCTCTCTCTCTCAAAACACAAGAAAAAGAAGCACGTAATATTCTTGACACATCAACTGTATTTTCTTTTTCTTTCTTTTTACATCCTTCAGAAAGAAAGAAAAAGCAAGGATAAAAGTGTAAATCATAAATGGAATAAAATACATACAAGAATAATAATAAACTAAAGATAAACATGATGAATACAAACGTGTACGTACATTCTTTACAAAACGACTTTCCACAGCAAGATATCAACATAGCCTCTGCCATCAACTTGTTACAGATCATACAGGAAAGCTCGCTTGGCTTTTGTTGTTCTTCGCTTTCTTGTTGTACCCTATTGTATACAATGAGTAAGGTATATTAAGTACAGTTTAAAACACTTTACTTATCCACTGCTCTTGGGACAAACTGGCCTCTTGGTACATTAGGACAGTAATAAATCCAATGTCCCGGCTGTCCACATTTATAACAAACATATCCACTAGGTGGCTTCTGTGATTCTGGAGGAATATTGGTTGCTGTGCTATTACCAGTTGCTGCTGCTGCCATTTGTCTTTGTAATTGTTGTCTCTGTAATTGCTGCATGAACCATATTTGCTGAAAGCGTTGATAAGGATTAAGCATTCGCATGCCCATGCCATTATCAAAGTTGCCTGATGGCATTGGTCCGTTAAAATTAGACATTGACGTGTTTCCAGCACTAGTTTTTTTTTAATTATTTTTATTATGAAATAGATTGATTTATATTTACGGTCTCTCTGCTTGATCATTTGCTACTGGTATTGATGTGTCTTCTTGCTTGGATGTTTCTTCAGACATGACTTTTATATAAAAGAAAGAAAGAGAAAGAGAAAAAAGAAAAAGATTATGTGTGTATAAAGAAAATGACGTTGTTTTAAAGTCACGGGATTTGCCGTACGTCCTTGGTTGTTTATACGCCAAGATTTTTTTAACCTCTCTCTCTTTTCTCTCTCCTTTTTTGTTTTAAACGAAACAAGCCATGTCCAATTCAGACTTCCTTTCGGTAAGACCTACTTGCTTGTCTTATAAAAAGAAAGAGATGCTTATTTAGATGATAGAAAGCCATTGAAATTGTCAAAAAGGCGACAGAAGAGGACCACAAAGGAAACTATAAAGAAGCATACACACACTATCAAAATGCACTTGAATACTTTATGACAGCTATAAAATGTAATGCTTTAGAAATATAGACATCATACAAAAAAAAGAGAAAACTCACTATATGTGTCTTTATTCCCCCCAAAAAGACGAGAAAAATGACCGCTTGAAGGAACCTATTCGAAAAAGGTTTATTGAATATCTTGATAGAGCTGAAATGTTGAAAGAGTTTTTGAATAATCAAGAAAAGAAGCAAAAGGAGCCTGTGGGTGCTAATGGCACACCTAAAAAGTATAAAATTGTCTTTTTGGTTTCCTTTATAGCTAGCTTAATAACAATAACTATAGAAAGAATGGTGCTGCCTCTTCAAATAACGAAACAGATGAAGATGATCCTGATCTCAAAAAGATGAAAGCAAGTTTAGCAAGTGCTATTTTAACGGAAAAACCCAACGTTCAGTGGGATGATGTTGCCGGATTGGAGGGTGCCAAAGAAGCATTAAAGGAAGCAGTCATTTTACCCAAAAAATTCCCCCATTTCTTTATAGGACAACGAAAGCCATGGCGAGGCATTCTTCTATATGGACCACCAGGTACAGGTAAATCCTATCTTGCAAAGGCAATAGCAACCGAGTCGAACTCTACATTCTTTTCTGTATCTTCTTCTGATTTGGTTTCTAAATGGCTTGGTGAGAGTGAACGTTTGGTTAAGAATCTGTTCCAGCTGGCACGAGAGAATAAGCCCTCGATTGTATTTATTGATGAAGTTGATTCACTCTGTGGTACGCGTGGAGATGGAGAATCAGAAGCTTCACGACGTATCAAAACTGAAATTCTTGTTCAAATGAATGGTGTGGGGAATGATATGGATGGTGTGCTTGTCTTGGCTGCTACCAACATACCTTGGCAACTGGATAGTGCTATTCGTCGAAGGTAATAGAGTAATGAGGAAGGGAAAAAAAAGGATTAAAAGGAATTTTAGATTTGAAAAACGCATTTACATTCCACTTCCCGATGCGTCTGCTCGTGCTGCCATATTTGCTTTAAATGTTGGATCAACACCTTGTACATTAACACAAGCCGACTATAAAAAGCTGGCAGATATGACAGAAGGGTAAGTAAATAAAGTGTAATGAAATGGTTTACTGAACTTTAATCCTAGATATACTGGATCCGATATTGCTACACTTGTAAGAGATGCTTTGATGCAGCCTATTCGTAAAGTACAGATGGCCACTCACTTTAGGTGGGTCGAGGCACCATCAAGGCAAGATCCAAGCAAGACAGCACGTTACTTAACCCCTTGCTCGCCAGGAGCGCCTGGTGCTCAGGAGATGACATGGGCTGATATTGAATCAGATCAATTATTGGAGCCTGAATTGACGCTTCAAGACTTTTTGAAGGCTGTTCAGAATACACGACCAACAGTGAGTCAAAAGGATATTGAACAGCAAGTCAAGTTTACAGAAGAATTTGGTAAGCATAAGGATAAACCCATAAACTTGCTTCTCTAACGTGTGTATTTGATGATGTTTTTAGGTATCGAAGGCTGATATAAACAATGTATTCCCTCTTTTCTTTTTATTCGGTCTTTCTCTAATTTCTTTTCTTTACTCCTATCTTCACCCTTCTTTTATTTTTAGCAAAAAGATGACAAAGTTTTATAATTAAAATATATATCATTTTACAAAAGAATGAGAGAGGGGAAAGGTTGACCCGAAGGATAATTGGGATCATCGTGTTACTGTGCTTCCGTTCATTAAAACTATTTTCCGTGATTCTTAGATTAAAGTAGACATATGTCTTGGATACCATTTTTGATGTTCCTGAAAGCCAGTGTTACAAATGGATTGCATCATCTGCTTGTTACACTGTACTAAGCAAAGTATAACATTGGATGGTATTGGTCTCAATTTTATCATGATCCAGTTCTGCAACAACTGCTACTCTACCCATAGGCAATTCATTCAATTACGACACTTGGGTTAACTAGGCCAACACCATGGTACACAGCAAGAACATAAAGGTTTGCTTTACTCTGATAGTGGCTATGCACCCCCTTTCTACTGTCTGATTTGTCTAAAGGTTACACCACCGAAACAATCCTATTAACAGTATAGACTGACCACAAAATACACCACTATCATATAACTCATCATGTCCAATTCTCATGGTCATATATAATCCTATTTATAAAAATAAAGAGACTCATCAGCATGCATCTGTATCTTTTCTTTATTATTAGAGAAACTTCATCTGAAAATGGAACGCTGCTACTTTGGCAATTCTGTTGAGATTGCAGTTTGTTCCACTGAATCGGCAAAACCCTAGAATCGCTATGACTCGAAAAAATGCAATATCCATTAAGATGACGCACTTTCTTAATACTGCATACTCTTTCTTTGTTGATCTCTCTTTCAACAGAACAGATGGTGTTCGGAGGTAATTATAAGCTTGAATCAAGACCAAGTGGCAGTATCCCTTAATATCAGAATCATCTTGGCATTAAGTCTACAGAAGCAAGTCTTTCAGGATCTCCTCGCAAAAATTCGAAGGAAGCGATCTCACACAATTTGAGCGTTATGCTAATGTTGTCAACACTGTATTTATCTCCCAAAAAAGAAAGATACAGAACTGGTAGATGCCCCGACGAGTCTCCAAAAGCAAATCAAATACTATATGAATCAAGCAAGCAGGTTAAAGTGTCTTCACCTTATTACGATGATGAATCTGTACTGCCTCTTGGACTGCTGAGAGTAATCAATTATGAAGCTTCTTTCAAGCGGTATGTACATGATCATCATCCAACACTGGGTCTACTATTGTTACAGTTAATATAAGGTGGCCTTGGAAAGATTGTACGCAAAAGTAGCAAGTCGCTTTATCGATGTGATCATCGTATTTGACCGAGTGTATTTTTATATCACAAGTGTAGATGTATTTGTACACAATCATCTCAGCATCAATGACTGTGTGTACGGTATCTCTAGCACAGAGTATCACGCTGCACCACACGCAAAAGTGAAATCAAACACGTATCTGAGCTCATCTTCATACCATGAGTTATCCGTCAAGTTCGGCTATTTTGAGGTGTCTGGTAACAGGCGGCTACTTTGCAATTATGGATCAATCTCCCCTCAACAGTTCTTTAGATTTTCAATCAGTAACTGACACTATGGTAAGATGCCCACCGATGTCCTGTATATATTATTGATAGTGACGAAATGCTAGAGATTGCAGTGACTGAACGCCTACTGAAGGTCCGAAATTATTTTGAAAAAGTCCGAAAACTATAGTAACTGGATCTAATGAGCTTAAATTTAAACCCGATGATCAGCAACAGCACATGTCTTTGTGTTTCATTTGTTCTAGCTTCGTGTACATCAAGTTACCCCTTCTTCCTCCGTCGATTCTGAAATCAGGCAAAAAACCAGTAAAGAATATCCGATAGTGGCTCGATAAACCTGCTGTAATCCTTTGTTTTCACCATTGGTTACCCTTGAGCTAAGAGGAGTTTTTTTTGGGTCTATGGTTCGGGTTTATTATTACTAATTATTACAGCGCTCAATAGGACGTTTTATTTAATAAAGTCCGTTATGTTAAATGATGTCAATTTACCGTTTGTAATGTTATTCTGAACAGTGATGAAAAAAAAAAAAAAAAAAAATCTATTACTAAAGGCGCCAGCTGAAATCTATATTTGGTAAACTATTCATCAAAATATAACCAATAGCCACAAAAGAGATCAAGGCTAGTTCTTGGATACATGAAAGAGCTTTTGAAAAAAGGAGCATTTTTTACGTTTTAATGAAATGCCTTATAAAAATATTTGGTGTCACCATTTTTATGAAATATGCTTTTGTCTTCCTTTAAGGTCTTTAGTGGTTTTCCAAGCAGGTACAGTAAGCATCAATTTAACCAATTTGAAACATCAAGTCTATATCTTTGAGTTATGTTTCTCTATAATTGCCAGCTCTTATTAAAGGAAAGAAACGAAAAACTACACTACAGATGAACAGAGAAAATAGTGAATACATCTAAAAACTGCGAATGAAAACTTTGAAAAGAGTGCAATGGTATTCATACTGATGACGCCTCGTCAGAAAGGCAAGTCCTTATACCCCTTATATTCTCATATTGATGATAGAATTTCCCTGTAAAGCCTGTTCATTGGTCCATTCTTGGGTAAAGAAATATCTTAACAAACTTGCTAGAGGTATAAATGAATTTCAGTGTTTGTGCCTTGAATGTCTGTACATTGTTGCATACCAGTAGAGATACAACAATAGAGCAAAGTTGTCCAACAGGCATTCGAGCCTTTGTAGGGAGATGTACTGAAAAACTTAATTCTCATAGGGTGATTGTTGCATTAGAGCCTCAAGAACCTAGGAGAGGATTGAAAGTTTATCAGCGCAAATGATATCTATTGCTTTGTATGATATACAGCTATTCGACTACTGATCTGGACAAATGCAAGCTATTGAGTAATGCATTGAATCATACTCGAGGGATATTACATGTCTTCTGATTGAATACCAAGTGATCCTAGTTGCAGAGCCAGAGATTTCCGAGAAAATATAGAATTTTCGATACTTTCTGTAAATGTGATCTGCAAGGAAAAGGAAAAGTGAGATTATGCAGTGAATCTCGTAGTTGTATAGCTCTGTAGCCATTACAATGGAAAACAGCTTGTGAAGGGACCATCTGTCGTTTCGGCAAAAGGGTTCCTTCACAGTGAGAGTATATTAAGACTTGACGGTAGATTTCGAACTGGGCAATCAAGTCAGTAGCTTGCCCCCTCTCCCCTCTTGTGTGAAGATACAGATGCGTTTATTGTATTGTTTTGGTTAGTAGAGCCATGCGTTATAATTAGAGTCTTTTTTTTTTGTTATCAAAATAAGTTTAAAAACTAGCACATTTGGTTTGCCATCACGCGCAACGGCATGACTTCTATTTTTGTCAACAGGACTACTTTAGAATTAGCGGGGTGCAACTTTGATCTTGGGAAAGAGCATACTCATTCTGCACTCTTGGCTATCTCTCTTTACTCTTTACCATTTGTTTGTTTTCCTGTTCCGCTCTGTTATTATCTTTTTGGAAATAGATAAGCTGGGGAACTGGTTGTTTACAACCATGTGCTTCGATTTCTGTAATCTTATTTGATGATTTCTTTTGCTGTGTTACTGTTTTTATTTAATATCATTTTTAATAGACAGTTTAAGGTTAGCTTATGCATAAATATATATCATCTCTACTTTATTAACATGCTTGCCATGACAACAGTTACCATAACGACACCCAGGTACCCTTTTTTGTATGTTACTGCATCTTACTGTTTTTGTATCGGAGCCTTATTTAGAAAGATAAATTTTTTTTTCCCTTCTACATGTGTCTTGTCGTTTGTGTGTTTAAATGAATGCATTGAAATCAAATAATGAAATATAAATGAAACAATACATTAATTAAGCTTTTAATATATTTATTTATAACGAAACTATCAAATTGGTTTAACAAACATTGTTTGGAATTCCTATGTACGAGTATGTCCTATTCTATCATTATAATCGCCGATAAGAATATTTAAAAAACGTGGTAACGCGGATTTGACCGAATAGTAAAATAACAGGATCTGTTAATAAGCGTATAACAAAATATAGAAAAAGATAAGCATGATTGTTTACTTGATCTACACTTTATTATTTCTCAATGTTTATAAAGAAAGAGAAGTAAATTAGAACAATAAAGAAATCTCTACTTGCAAAAAAAATGAAAAAATGAAAAGGCACATCACCTTTTTCATTAAGACGCGTGCGAAAATTTTTTATTTGTTTCTTTTTTTGTTTTTCATTCAGTAGAACACATCGTAGGTTACCGGCCATGAACTATCCGGCTTGACCGATTTATTCCGTTAGGATTGAAAGGCGAAAAGGAGAAAGGGGGGGACCCTCATCAAGAGTACAACAAAGTGGCAAGAGTGTATCAGGAGATTAATGAATGAACTTGAACGAAAGGCTACACAATAATGTGACGTATTACCCCAGAGGAAGTAGATGATGATAACCAAAGATGAAGGAACTGGGAAAGGTAACTTACAAGGCGGGCAAAAGCGGATATTAGAACCAGTATATGATTGGTCATTAATGATTCATCGTCCATAATCATTGGTCCATTGTACTAGTGGTATTGTAAATGCCCCATATGAGAGCGTCTATACTTGATTAGGAATACAGGATTATTTTTTTTAAACTTTGCGTCCCCTGCTCGTGCTGAGATTTTTTGTTTACTGATCTCAATTGTCTATAAAACCTCAGTTTATTCAGATTCCCTTTTTAATTTCTTTTTTCCTCTTCTTTTCTCTTACTTTTATAACAACTCCAACCATTCATTTCCCTTTTTTATATTAATTCTTGTATTGGAATAACAACAACATAAAAGAAAAAGAGAAAAAAGAGTAGCAAAAAAAGGCATCAATCTTTTTTTAAAAAATTACAACAAATAACAACTTCCCTCTCTCTTAAATCATGACTGAGAAAACCGAAACTCAACAAGTGATCGTTAGTGAAGAGACCATCACTACGAAGACTGTCAACATTTCAGGCGACCTTACTACCTTAACTGTCGAGGAACTCTATGATAAGGAAAAGTTTGATTTGTCCACCATGGAACCTGGAGATGTATTTCAACTTTTACAGTATGTATCATAATTAGTTGATCCCCCCCTTTTCTTTTTTTTATCTTTCTCTCCTTTTTCACATTGATTTTCTTCTTTTGTGATATTCTACACTTTCTATACACATTGTTTCTATATCCCCCTAATCTATTTTAATCTCCTTATTTTATTTTCATTATTATTATCCGCCCTCTCACAAACATACAAGCACACGCATACACATTATCTCTCTTTTGCCCCCCTCCCCACCCCTGTGCCTCGATTCCCCGTCCCTTTTTTCCTACAAAAAAATTTTTTTCTGTTTCAAATCATCGGGGATCAACTAATTTTTTTTAAAATACATTTGCTAACGTCACATTCTTTAGAACTTCCTCCAACGGTTTAACTTCCGATGAAGCCGCTCGCCGTATCGAAAAGTTTGGTCGTAACAGAATTGAATCCAAGGAAGTAAACCCTATTCTTCAATTCTTGGGCTTCATGTGGAATCCCCTTTCCTGGGTTATGGAAGCAGCCGCTATTGTTTCCATCGCTCTTTCTAACGGTGATGGTAGACCCCCAGATTATCCTGATTTCATCGGTATCGTCCTTCTTTTGTTAGCCAATGCCACCATTGGTTTCATGGAAGAACGTCAAGCTGGTAATGCTGTCAAGGCTCTTATGGCTGCTTTGGCTCCTGAATGTAAGGTTAAACGTGATGGTGAATGGAAGACAATGGAAGCCGCTGAATTGGTTCCTGGTGATATCATCAGTATCAAGCTCGGTGATGTTGTCCCTGCTGATGGTCGTCTCATTGCTGTAAGTTGTATATATTTCTTTTTATTTATTTATCTAATTTTGTTCTAGGCTCACGGTCAAGTTTCTATTGATCAAGCTGCCCTTACTGGTGAATCTTTACCTGTCGGTAAGGAAGCTGGTGATGAAGTTTTCTCTGGTTCTACTGTTAAGCAAGGTGAAGCTGAAGCTATTGTTATTGGTACTGGTACAAACACCTTCTTCGGTCGTGCTGCTAAGCTCGTTGGTGATGCCAATGACGATGTTGGTCACTTGCAAACTATTTTGGCCAAGATCGGTAACTTCTGTCTTGTGACCATTACTCTCTTCATTGTTCTCGAAATTCTTGTCATGTACCCCAAGTTCCATTATAGATACAGAACTGGTATTGACAACATCTTGGTCTTGCTCATTGGTGGTATCCCCATTGCTATGCCTACTGTCCTTTCCGTAACTCTCGCTATCGGTGCTAAGCAATTGGCTGAACACAAGGCCATTGTCACTCGTATCACTGCTATCGAAGAAATGGCTGCTGTTACCATCTTGTGTTCCGACAAGACTGGTACTCTTACCTTGAACAAGTTGATTGTTGACAAGCCTACCATCAAGACCTATGCTGAATTCAACGGTGATGATATCATCCTCTTGTCCGCCTATGCCTCTCGTACTGAAAACCAAGATGCTATCGATTTCTGTATTGTCAACTCTTTGCCCGACCCTAAGTTGGCTCGTGACGGTATTCAAGAATTAGAATTCAAGCCTTTCAACCCTGTTGTCAAGCGTACCGAAATCACCTACAAGCGTCTCTCTGACGGTAAGGTTCTCCGTGTTACCAAGGGTATGTCCCACACCATCTTGGATCTCTGTACTCGTGATAAGACTGAAGAACAAATCAAGGCTTTGAACGATGATGTCGATGAATTTGCTCGTCGTGGTCTTCGTGCCCTTGCTGTTGCCGTTGATGAAGTTCCCTCTGGTGAAGTCGAAGGTGAAGGTTTAGGTTTCCGTCTCATCGGTCTCTTGCCCATCTATGATCCTCCTCGTTCTGATACAAAGGAAACCATTGACCGTGCTATTGCTCTTGGTGTCTCTGTCAAGATGATCACTGGTGACCAATTGGCTATTGGTAAGGAAACAGGTCGTCGTCTCGGTATGGGTGATAACATGTTCTTGTCCAAGACCTTGAAGGAAGGTCCCCCTGCTGGCTCTGGTTACTCCTCTGTCGATGAAATGGTCTTGCACTGTGATGGTTTCGCTGGTGTCTACCCTGAACACAAGTACGAAATTGTCGAACGTCTTCAAGCTATGGGTCACATGACTGCCATGACTGGTGATGGTGTTAACGATGCTCCTGCTTTATCCAAGGCTAACGTTGGTATTGCCGTCGCTGATGCCACCGATGCTGCTCGTTCCGCTGCCGATATTGTCTTGACTGAACCTGGTCTCTCTGTCATTATTGAAGCCATCATTGGTTCTCGTCAAATTTTCCAACGTATGCGTAACTACTCCATCTATACTTGTTCCGTTACCATTCGTGTTGTTGTCGGTTTCGCTATTCTCTGCTTCGCTTTCCAATTCAACTTCCCTCCTTTCATGGTCTTGATTCTTGCTATTCTTAACGATGGTACCATCATGACTATCTCTACTGATCGCGTCAAGCCCTCTCCTTATCCTGATGCCTGGAACTTGCGTGAAATTTTCTCATATGCTATCATCTATGGTCTTTACCTTACTGCTTCCACCGTCGCTTTCTTTGCTGTTATCTACAAGACCAACTTCTTTGAATCTCATTTCAGCCTTCCTCATCCCCTTTTGGATGAATCTGGTAACAAGAACCCCAATGATCCTGTCTACCACTCTGTCATCTACTTGCAAGTCTCTACCATTTCTCAGGCTTTGATTTTCATTACCCGTTCTCGTGGTTTCTTCTTCACCGAACGTCCTTCCGTCATGTTGATGATTGCCTTCGTTGTTGCCCAATTGGTTGCCACCTTCATTGCCGTCTACGCCAACTGGGGCTTCACTGAACTTAAGGGCTGTGAATGGAACTGGGCTGGTATTGTCTGGATCTGGAACATCATCTGGTTCTTGCCCATGGATCTCATCAAGTTCGGCATGCGTGCCTTATTTGAACCCAAGAACGACTTGAAGAATACCAAGACTCCCATGGCCGGCCAATCTCGTCGTGCCTCTGCCCTCTCTGGTACATCTTCTGCCCGTTACTATGCTAACCGTACTCGTTCTCTCAAGTCTCTCGAGCGTCCCCAAAACTTTGGTAAGAAGCTCTTGGGTATGAACAAGAAGATGAGTATGGATGCCAAGGAAATGCGTCGTTTCTCTTCTGTTCAAACTAACCACGCTGCTCAAGTTTTGAACAACAATGCTAGTTCATAAATTAAAATAATTACCCTTTACACTTTCTTAAATATACATCTTTTTAGGAGAAATTCTTAATCTGTTATATATATGTTTATTACTTTCTTTATATAGAGTTTTTGTTCTTTTTTTTAACATTAAAAAAGGGTCATTAAAAGAAGAAGTGTTGCGTCATGTATATTTTTAAAGTCTTTATAAAGTATAAACATTTATTTCTTTATCTGTTGAATAAATAATAGACCGAAGAATAGCACATCTTCTTTCCAACATGTTTAAAAATTTCTCCATTTGCTCAGTAGACATACGATCTAGTAATGACTTGAACTTGGTGTCATCTTGTTGAGGATCTATCAGTGACTTCTGTTCTAATAGCAGTACCTTTTTAGATAATTCCTCTTGTTGTTCTTCACGTGGTCTTTTAGACTTTGTGATAGATCGAGTCATTTCACCGTGTAAAAGAGGCTGTTTATTTTGTTTTTGACGAACTTGTAATGGTCTATGCATATTGTACTGTTTATAGTATAATCCACACGCGTTACAGAGTGAATGAACGCGATCTGGCGTACGACGCCATAAAGGAGTCTTGGTTACATGACAATTGTAACATTCTATATGACGTGTATCATGACTTGATCTCTTCTTCTTTGGTTGTTCTATTTTTGATTCTGGAAAAGAAGACTGTTGTTGTTGTTGCTGTTGGTGATGATGATGATGTGAAGGATAAAAGGTATCTAGATGATAATTGGGAGTATGGTTGAATAGATACATGTCTATAGGAGGTGAAGGAAGAAATAGTTCGGTCTGAGGCATAGAGATTCCTTGATCGAATACGAGACTGCCAGCAGTTACTTGGTTCATGTAGTTTGCTTGTTCGTTCATTGTACACAAAAAGAGAGAAAAACGCGTAAGAGTACAAAGAGTAGAAAATAATAAAAAGAAAAGAAGTGACTGTATACAAACTATTTATATAGGTTTTTATTTATTTATATATGCATGTTAACTCTAAAGTCCCTTTATGCTGTTGTTTACCCCCTCTAAAATTCATTTCCTTGCCTTATTTAACTACAGTCATTCCCCCTTTCATAGAAACAAAAAAAAAGATCTACTCTATTGTGAGTCATTATATCCAAGACTCTCTCTCTTTCTACGCCGCTCTCTGAAAAAGAATACCCACGCGAATGCTCCTTTATTATGCACCAATCAGCTTATAATTTGACCCTATTGGGCTAAAAACTACTTATCAATTACACAAACTCGTCAACTGATTCTTCATTTTGTTTTTGGCCCTGGAGGATCTTTTACTGCTTCAGAATACAAGAACGCACGTGCTATGCAATGAGGCGTATATGTTTCATAGGGTTAGGAGTAGATTAAGGGGGCGGAAGTAATTGTATATGTGTATATATATGATAAATGGATGAGCGCGCGCGCGTATACGTCAGACCTAGTTCGCCTATTAGTATTCTTAATGTCCCTTAACAGTATGGAAAAAGGTGACCGATTTGAAGGAGGAGTACAGTAAATAACTTCTTTTTGACCTCTTCTCCTTTAATAAAAACAACGACATTCTCGATACACATTCTTTATGGCACTTTTTTTTATTTGCCAAGCTTCTTTTTTTGTGAGTTGCCACAGTAACCCTTAAAGCAAATGAGATCAGAGGCTGAGTTCTCCTTTTCCTCCTAATTGTCAACCTGTTCCCAAAAGACTGTGCTTAGATTAAAAGGTCATTGTATTCCTACTATTTAGAGTAATGGTTATATCTGTCATTGAAGCTACAAGTTGTTGTTGACTATTGAATTAACAATGATAATAATATATGTACTTGGCGTATCTATTTTTATTAACACTATATGAGCTGTTTAGTCCATCTTTTTTTAGTCAATTGATATATAGCTGAGAGATGCATGCCCTATATGTCATTAAAGAGTACGTATATGATACCTCTTTAGGTTTATATACATGTTGTTTATTACCTTGTATTATAAACAAGTAAGAATTAATGGTTAAATTGAATTGTTTATGATGAACATCACTTTCTAAAAATATTACTGCTTCTCTAAATGGTTGTTAAAAGCCGAGACAATAAACATGATTCATATCCAAGAATGGATGAATTAAAAAGAAAAAAGTTACATATTCTACACACTTTTGAATAAAGAAAAAACAAGACAACAAGACAAAAAACAAAATGAATGTATAAATCTGATTTATATATTGATGATTTTCTAGACGTACATATTTCTTATTATCAGAAACCCTTACTTTGTAGAGTGTAATAGTATACTTTTGAACATAAAATGTGGCAAACAACGTATAGAGATGTCCCCTTGCTGATGGATTTGCAGCTGCAAGATTATGAAACAATTGCTAGTTAGCGAATGCTTGTCGTGCATTTGAAGCTATCCTTTTGAAGAATAAATCATTTACCAATTTTATATTTATTGATCGACATTATAATCAATTGGTTATTCACAAGTAAAACGAGATCTTTTAAATATAGTTAAATGAAGCTATCTAATGTATGTATGTATTTACATAATCTCAAATATGCTTTTGACTAATAGTCTAGACCGTGCGTATAATAAATGACTTTATCATGCTATCATTGCATACAACGCACGATATGTCCTCATGAGAAATGGTAATGTAGTGTATTGTATTAGTGAAATTCAGACGAAAACAATTATACATCATATTTCTTTCTCTTGCTCTTCTGCTGTTACTTTCATTTTGAGCACTCTGTTCATCTTTCTGGCCTACATTAATATCAAGTACTATGGTAGCAGTTTGCCTGTAAAAGAGATAACTAAAGTACATCACCACTTTCCCTTGTTTATGAGTCCCTTTCTCCTCTCACATTTTTAATTAACCTCATAATACCATGAGCTCTTCCTGTGTCATTGTCGATAAATATGTTTATGATACTTGCCTGCTAGATATACTTGAGTCACGCGCGCGCTCGGATACAAGTTAATGAGGAGGGAGCACAAATAAACTTGCTCTTTTTTTTTTTGATAGATCTACATCATGTATGACTTTATGGAATATTGTTTGAAGCGATTCTATCAAACATCTGGATGGAATGAAGAGAATCAGTACTCTAATCTCTGTTCTTGGTCTCGAGCATTACTCGATTTTTATACACCCAAGGGCCTTTCACTCGTTGTTTCAAAATTACCAACACCTTACTTTAAACCTTCTTATACTCTAACTGTCCTACCCACTCTCAACGGCAGCTTAGGCTACCTTTATACCTCGAGAGAATTAGATATTGGGACAAGTGCAACAGTGGATTTTCAAGATTTGATTGATAGATTTAGAATTATTGTGGATGAACCTCACAAGAAGAAGCATATAAACCATCAAGCCAATCCTGATTACTTACTCTATGGTCGCATGTTTTTTCCTGGAGCAAGAATGGAGGCCATGTATGTTCGCAGGATATCTGAACATCTACAGTATCTAGTAACAGCTGTCAACACACCTAAGACGTACTCAGCGCCCCAGGTAAGTTTTAATCTTTAAGTGATGAATTTGGTTTATTTAGCATAAAAAGTAAAGTAGATTGCTATGCAGTTACAGTATGATGTTGGTAAATGGTGCTCAGAGTGCTCCTATACCTCTGATGATGGTCTATTGGGACTAAGAGCACTGTACAATTTTGGACAGCCTACATCTACGGGGCAGTGGTCCGTAGGAACAGAGTTATATTATGGTACCTTGGATAAAAGTGGTGGAAGTAAAGTAATGTGTGAGTTCTTAACAAACAAGAGAACTAACCTCGAAATATTCATCTAGTGTCAATGGGTCTTCGATATCGTACCCTGAAGGCATCTAATGCACCACCTATTAGTTTCACATATACACTTAATCCAATTGTCGGGCACATGTCGACAAGTTATGTAGCAAAGGTATCAGAAGAACTTGCACTCTGCTCCAGATATGATTTTAGTATGTACTCGTATGAGAGCGATCTGGCTTTTGGTTTTGAATATCGAACGAAAAAGCCATCAATTGAAACAGAGTCAGAAAATGGAGTGATTACTCTTACAGCTGATCGTACAGAGAAACTGGAAGGTTTGATAAAGGCCAGATGGGGATTTGTCAAGGGCCTGGCACTCATGTGGGAAGGACGCTTCAAGAAGACATTGTTTAGCTTAGGTTTAACAGCAGATCTAAAAAGCACAAGCCCTATCCGTACCATTGGCTTAGAGATACAATATTTCTCTTAATTACATACATACACACATAGATACGCATACAGAGTCATTTTATTGTGTAACTAGAAAAATAATGAATAAAAATAACTCGTTTTATACTTACCGAGATTGTAAAATGTTTCTAGAATGAAAAATGCTCTACTTTAGACAATACTGTGAGGGTAAATGAACTATGAGTCCCAGAATTGAGACACAGATATAAAATTAGAAAATGGGATATGCATATATTCTCAAATACATACCGAAATAAAATGAAAAAGAGGAGTAAAAAAAAACAGACATATCAATAAAGTTAGTATTTTCCTATACTCATTTTTTCAAATAAAACTTACCCTAGGTATTATTACCAGCGGTAATAGG